GATAGAGAAAATGTACTGAACAAAGGTCAGACCGATAAATAAATGAATGGATGAAAAAAAATTGAATTGAAATATTAATTTAATCGATCAAACCAACGCCCCCCCCACAATCATTCATTCATTAACTGATCGAATCATCATCATCATAATCATCTTTCATGCTTCAGCATGAAATGAAGTAAAAAAAACGCCCATCATTAATGAGTGAGAAAAAAAGAAAAAAAAATTCACTTGACAATGAAAAAATGTCAGCATTTTTCTCACACCACCATCAACAAAACACGCACACACACACACCACACGTTTAATTCTGAATTCAAATGTCAATCAATCAATCGTTTCTCATAATCATCATCATCACCATGAATGATTACATCTAACCTTGAAATGTGATCGTCATCATCACCTAAAATCAAATAAAATGATCAATCGATTGATCGATCGATTGATTGATTAAATAAATAAACGATTGACAACATACTACGGCAACTTCATACGTAAAAAAAAGAAATTATTTTGTAAAAAAAAATAAATAAATGAAATCATCATCATCATTCCAAATGGGAAAAAAAACACGATTGTATCACCGAATGAAATCGGATATGTCATTGTACAACGATCGATCGATACATTACAATAATGAAAATAAATATTGAATATTGAATCTACAAGGTTAGTTGTTTTTGATTTTAAAATAAATAAATAAATAATCGAATCTAATCGATAAAATAAAATCAGATATATATTGCCATTAAATTGATTGATTTCATCATAATAATTTTTTTTGTTTAAATATAATAATAATAATAATAACGGAAATCAATCGATTTATCATTTCATTCGGTTTTTTATAAATATAAATTTTTTCTAGATACGGTCATGATAATCAAAGAGCAATAGAATGAGAATGAAGTTGATGAAATCAGTTCACTGGCATTTCTGAGGAAAAAAAATTTTTTCGTTCATTTCGTTCGTTTAGTGATTATTTTTGAAAAAACCTGTGTGAACACATCAATCGAAAGTCGATGTGATGTGATGCAACAATAAATTTTTAGAGAGAACGAAAGAGAGTGAGTTTCTCTCTTCTTTTTATTTTTAGGTTTCTATTTCTTCTTCATTTAGCATTTAGGATTTTGAATTGCATCGATGATTCATTCATTCATTCATTCATTCAGCCATCCGGTTCATCGTCATTGAATGATTTCTATTTAAGAAAAAATTCATTCATTCATTCATTCATTCATTCATGTATGTGTGTAATATATACATTGCGATCAAATGACATCACTGATTGATGATTAATGATGATTCTTTTTTTTCAATTTAAGATTCATAAGAATAAGAATGGTATGTATGAATGTGATGATGATGATGATGATTGGTGGCTGGAAAACAAACAAACAAACAACAAACAAAAATATTTTCATTTCAATGATCATCAAAGATTTGTATAAAAAAAAAAATGAAAATTCTAAATATAAAAGAATGGGAAAAAAAACACTTTTTTTTTTCACAATCGTAAACACACACTCACACACACACAGAGAGAAAGTACATGTGTAGCTTAAATTTCAAGAAAAAAATTTTTAAATTTAAATTTTCTTTCTTGTTTTTTCAACATTTCGTCATTGTAAATGAAATAGAGAAACACGCACACACACACACGCAGAGAATGATTTCATTCAACAAAAATTGAATCATCATATTCATATGGTTGGTTGGTTGGTTTGTTGTTTAAAACAAAACAAAACAACAACAACAACAACACCCATTTTCATATCATCTCAGAAATATGTAAAAAAAATGGAAAACTTTTTTTTCCTTTATTTATTCTCAAAATAAATCTTTTCACTACCGTAAAAGTTCTTCCACTGGTACCGGAAATCACTTGCTACAAGAAAAGAGCAACAACAACAACAATCAACTCCAGAGGAAATTTTTTTTTTGCATTTTTAAAATTTTCCATCTACCACCACACCACCACCACCCCTCTCCAAACAACTTTCTGACATAAAGTTTGATTTTCAAGCCGGATTATGATAATGATGGAGATGATTTTTAATATTAAAAAAAAAATCCAAGGAAATGAATATTTTTTTTTTTTTTTTGGTTGAAAAATATAGAGAATATTTTGGGTTAAAAATTCCTCGATTTATTTTTTTTCTAATATTAAAAAATTCAGTTCCATTCGTTGAAAACAGAATCAGAATCTTTGAAATTGGAACGGCTACGTGTTTTTTCTACTTTTTAGAATTTTTTTTCGCTTTTGTTGTTGTTGTTGAAAATGTGGTAGTAGAGAATCAAGATCATTCACAATAACATCATCATCATTGTTAATTAAGATGGGCTAAAAGCGTCAAATTTTACAACAACAACAAAACAGCCACATTTATATTTAACCAAGAGAAAAAAGTGCATGAAATTGACAATCCAAACAAAAACAAAACAGAACAGAAAGAGAGAAAAAAAAACAAACACAATACTTACCCATTAAACAAACAAACGGTAAATTTCATTTGAAATCCATCATGTAAACAATTCATATTCGTGTGTGAAGGATTCATTTTCGTTTTTTTTTTCTCTCGTCATCTTGATTTTAAATATAAAACACACACACACAAAGAGAGAAAGTGAAAAACACCTTTGGAGAATAAGAATAACATAATTTCATTTGAAAATTAAAATATTTTGTTTGTCCAAATAGATGTTTCCAGGAAAAAACTTGTTATTTTTACTTGTAGAGAATGATTCAGAATGTTTCAGAATCTAAAAATGGAAAATAAAGAAAAAGAGAAGAAAAAAATTAATCAACCCTCTCTCTCTCTCTCAATTTACCTTTAATGGTCCAGAGTTTTTTCTTTAATTGGTGATTTAGTTTTTAAAGGTAGTAAGAAAAAATTACCAATTTCCAAGAAAAAAAACGCGATAATTGTAATAAGAAATTAATGTGAACACAAAACAGGCCATTTTCTCATGAATCCGATATATGAATTTTGGTTGATAATTTTGTTATTACGTTGTTATTATCCAAATTAATTTTGACAAAATTTGTGATATAAGAACCGAAAAAAACGATTTCATTAGAAATTTGGCTGTAACCAATATATAAAGATTAATCGGTATTCTTTGGGTAAACAAGTTGGAAAAAAAAAATTTGCTCACAAAAAGGATTCGAATGGTTTGTTATTGTTATTGTTTCGATATATCGGTGAGTAAACAATCGATATTTCGGTCTATCATTAAAAAAAAAATACGGGTGGCAATTCAATATTTACGACTATTTAATCTAGAATCGACATTTTTTTTCTCTTTTGGTTATTGATTCAATGTCAATAAGGATGACGACAACAACAACAACAACCACAGAGTATCATCTTGTGTTTTTTAAATGGCAAATTGATTGGAATTGTGAACTTAAAAAAAATGAAATTTTTATCGGTTTTTTTTCTCTTTCTAACAGACTGGCTGGTTTTTTTTATCATTTGACATTTGTCGAAAATGAACCTCGTTCTTTTTCTGGAATCATTGATGTGAATGACGTGTGTGTGTGTGTATAATAGCCAATTTGTTCATGATAATGATGATGCAAGATGTGCGAAATCCGAAATTTGCAATTTGTCAATGTACCTATGGAGTACAATTTTTGTTTTGTATACAAAGTGAAATGTTTTTTTTCCTACTTGGATTCATTGAAAATTTTTTCTTTCGAGTTTTCTATTATCTATTTTATTTCCAGTCAACCGAGTTATTTTCCCCTCTCTCTCTCTCTTTCTATCTATCTGGAATCTAAAATCCAAAAAGAAAAAGATAACCGTATTCCCTTACGTGATCCATTTCATCTTTCCAAGTAAGTTTTATTGATTTATACATTCAACAAGAATATTTATTTTTTTTTTTCATTCATTTTCATACCAAAGAAAAAATTGTCAACAAAATATCCATCGATTCTCTCTTGAAATGAAATATATTTCTCCACAATAAATACCATTGGGAAATCAGAATTCTGATTCAATTGGCAAGAATTTTTTTTTCTTTTCTTTCGTTGTATTGATTCAATGATTTAATGCGGGTGACAACAACAACAACGACGACAACGACAACGACAAAATCTGTTTTCTTCATCCGATCTACAATCATCAACAAATAATTGGCCTAAATTATTTCTTGTCATTTTCGTTTGATTTGGTTTCGTATTTGGAATGACTAAATTGGTAGCCAAGGGCCAAATAACAATGATGAAATTAAAAACAGAAATACAGACGTTAATCCACAGGCAACACTATCATCATCATCATCATCAAACATTTCATCCGTCGCCATTAGCGCCTAATATGGCGCCCTAACAATGAATGAATCGGCTCTGTTTTTTTTATTGCCATATACAAAATATATATCAAATTGCCGGGTTCATCATCATTTTTTTTTTTTTGGAAAATTTTGCAATATTGCTGCAATATATTGAACATTCATTTTTTTTTGTCTTGCAAGATTGCTTTTCGGAAATAAATGATGATAATGAAATGAATGATGTGTTTATTGATGATGATGATAATATCTAATAGCAAAATTGTACGATTGGCGTCAAAAAAAAAATTTTTCTGTATATGTGTGTGCGAATATATAAGACAAAAATGGCAGAAGACAAACAGACAGACTGACTTGGCTATATTGTTCGATGATCATCATTACAAATATATAAACGTTGATTGTAGCTGCGGCTGCGGCTAATCGTCATTTGTACATTGGTTATATGGTGATGGTAGTAATGTTGGTATAGTTTATTATATTGCTGTCGTCAGTATTTTATCATCATCATCATCAGTTATTGCAGTCGTCGTAGTTGTCGTCGTCGCAAGATTATATAAATACCAGTGGAATAATTGTGAAAAATTTCAATTCATAATCCACACTCAATTTTTGCCATTTTTGTTGACTTTGTCGATTTTTTTCAATCTCTCTCTCTCTCTCTCTTTTTCTATTTTATTTTCACTTTTTTTTCTATCGATGTGTTTGCCGATATTTAGGAAAAAAAAATTTCAACAAAATAAAATTCAAAAATGGCGCCATCATCAACAAGAATATCCACTACAATGACCAAAATGACTGGTAATTCAAACGATGACGATATTCAACATGTCAAAATGAATGAAAAAACATTTAGAAATTATTCTTCATCACCATTATTATTGTTATCATCATCATCATCATCATTGAATCCAGAATTAATCCATCAACAGAATCATCTTGAAAAGCAAATAAATCAGAATCATCACCAATTTCAAACATTTCATCATCATCACCATCGTCATAATCATTGCCATCATAATTTATCAAAAAAATTATCAACAATTACCATGGCCATTTTAATGGCATTAATATTTGAAAATGCACCATTCATATCATCATCACCATTGCCACCATCATTAGCGCCATCTATAATGAGAGGTGTATATGTTACGCCTATATTTCATCATCATCAAAATGATCAATCAATGATAAATCAATTATTGATGAATGATGATGACGATGGCGGTGATAATAGAATTATTGGTTGGACAAATTATCCATCATCAGCAACAAATACAAATACATTCCATAATGATGATGATGGTGATGGTGATGATGATGATGATGATTTAGATGTAGATTTTGATGGCCTAAATAATTATAAAGAACAGCCATTAAAAACATCAACAACGACAACAACAAATCAGCAACAGTTATCACCACAAGCGGTGCAAAAAAGATCAATTCAAATGGAAAAGAAAAATAATAAAGAATCACTGTATGATTGGTAAGTGTTTGCTTATATAAAAGAATATTTAGGTCACACAATGATGATGATTCTGAGTTCAGTTTGATTGATTGATTGATTGATTGATATCAAACTGTGATTTGATTTAGATTCAAATGAATCCATCATCATTGACATTGTTCACAAACAAAAACAAAGCAAATGATGATTGTCGATTCTCTAAAAATAGAATTTTCATTTTATTCTACCGTCATTGATGACAAAGAAAAAAAAAAAAAATGTGCGAAATGATATTTGATAATGAGATTCACTATTCGTAATTAATCAATTTTTATTTCCGATCAAAAAAAAAAAAAAAAAAAAATTCCGTATTCCGTATTCAAAAAAATTTTGCCACTTTTCTTTGTTTTGTAATCTGATATTCTTAATACAATGAGAGTGAAAATGAGATGTAGATGATGATTCTTTCAATTCTGGTAATTTGATCACATTGAAAATGTTTTTCCTATTTATTTTCAACTGCCTAGATATCGATTTTCATTTTTTCCAGTGTTTTTTTCGACTATTTCAATCCAACAAGTGACATCAAGTAAAAAAAAATCGGAAATTGAAAATCAAAACATTTCCATCATGATGACTACAAATAAACATTAGCAATCTATTTACCATAGACCATCGTATCGATTCAAGTGTTTGTTTCTCTCTCTCTCTCTCTCTCATTTCATTTCATTTTTTTTTTTTTTTTGATTTGTTTTATTGTGGATAATAAAGTTTTGTTTCCATTCAATGATTTCAATTTATATTTGTCATTTTGTCGTCGTTGTTGTTGTTGTTGTTGATTTCAATTTCAATTTCAAATCAAATGTCAAATGAACGCCAATACAAATATGAAATCAGAAAATGAAAATGTGATCAACACACACACACATACACACGCACACCACGCCTTTAATCTAATAATATTTCTGAAGAGATTCTGAAGATGATTATTCATTTCTTTGATTTGATTCTGGTGATAAAAAAAAAGTTTGTGTTTTCAAAATTTAAAGGAGTGGCCGCTATTGTTTTTGTTGTTTTTTCCTGGTTTTCTTTTTTCTCACTTTTTTTCTCTTGTTTCTGTTTGGTTTATTTGTCCATGATTGATTTAATTTTGTTTTTTTTTTTGATTTGTTTTTTTAATTTTCAGGCTGATTAAGAATAATAACAACCAGAATATCAAAAATGGCCGCATGAAACGTAGTGGTATCGCTGATCAACGTTTAGCTGAATTATTAGAATTGGCACGTTTAGATATGATAAGGAAATTAGTACGTGATAGTACAACACATCATTCATCAACATCGATTGATGAAGATGTTGCATATGGATTGATTGATCCACATGTTATGTAAGTGTTTTATTTGATCAATTATCATGAATCTGAATCTCTGAATGATCTAATTTTCTGTTCTGATTTTTTTCCAATTTCTAAACAACAGTGGTCGAAGACGAAGACGTAGACATTATGCAGAATCGGTTGATGAACAAAAACATCGATCAACAACGCTGCAGAATGAACAATTGCAACGGAAAATCAATGATAATCGTCCAGTACGATTATTGTTATTATCACGTGAACAGCAGCAAAAAAATCTGATAAATCACGATCATCATCAACAACGGACAAATGAAGACAAGAATTGATGGAAAAATTTTTCGAATTTTTTTGTTTTCTTCTTAAAAATGGATCAAATATTAAAATGAAAATTCGAATACCGATCAAAACATCATCACTATATTACGGAAAATCGATCACCACCATCATCATCAATCAATCAATCAATCATACAATGGATGGATCCAGAATTTTATCATCAACTAATCTAACCAAGCAACCGGATGAATAACGCCTACTTATTATCAAATAGTTGATTTTGGAAAGTAAAAAATGACAAAGTTTAACACAATCTACAAAATGTCATTTGGTTCATATATTCTGAACCAGAAAAAAAAATTTGAAAATTCACAAAAAAAAATTCCTTTCCACCACCACACACACACACATAGACACGAATCTTTTGCCATTTAACTCTTTGATATAATAACAAACAAACAAACAAACAAAGATAAACAACGCCAACGCCCATTAACATCATCATCATCATCATTATTATTATTATTATTACCATGATTGGCGAAAAATGTTCAAATCTACATCTAGTCACATCGAAATACGCGTGCACACATCATACATTACATACATTATTTTCATTATTGAAACAGTATTAATATATAGCAGCCACACTATATCTACCTGAAAAAAAATATTCATTTTGATCAGATCAGATCTGTTGTTTGGATCTGATATTTTGATAAATTTTTTTTTTTTTTTTGATATAAAAAGAAATTCTTTTTTCGTTCTCGTTGTCCCTAAAATTAATTTTGTTGTTGTTGTTGTTGATTGACCACTACTACTCTACTTTATTGATTTGATTTCAGTACACACATGCACACACACACACACATTGATAAATCAATAGAAACCGGAAGCCAGCCACAGCTACACCACTGATTTGATTATCTCTCTCTGTATCTCTGTGTTTTGATTGTCTGTCTGTTTGTTTTTTGTTTTGTTTTTTTTTTTTGCACTCAATCTATCTATTTTTCTCTTTTCACAAACTTGTTGTTTAAATTGAATAAATTTTCATTTTTTTTCCTTCAAAAATATCGATCATTATCAATTTGATTGGTTCTTTTGCTGCATCTTTTTTTGTTTTGTTTCCTGTTGGTCATTTATGTAATTCTCATGTTGATGGAAATTGAATTAGAGTTTCAATTTTTAATTAAAAAATTTTAATTAATTGAAATAAAAAAAAACAAAATTCCATAATTAACGGCAACCATTAAGTGTACAGAATAATCAGTACTCATTCTTTTTCGGCCATTTGGGATCCATTTGTTGTCGTTGTTCCAGACACATAAAAAAAAAATTTTTATTTTTATTTTTTTGAAAGAAAAAAATCTCAAGACTTTTTTTTTGTTTTATTCATTGAATATAATCCATTAGTCTAAGAAACTATAAATGAATTAGTAATAAGAAGCGAAACATACATTTGGCTTATTACCACCACCCACTAAACAGAATTTGTCAAAAAAAAAAAAAAACAAAATTGAATTTTTTACTTGTGTGTAATGTTAATGGGCAACAACAACGAAAAAAAAAAAAATTCTTTCATCGTCCTCGATGGATGCGTATGTTATATGGATGATGTGATGTGATTATCAATATTGATGAAAATTCAAGGGCTACTACTACTACTACTACTACTGCACTAGATAGATAGATAGATAGATTTTTTTTATTCTCGAATTCTGTCGTTTTTTTTAAAGGAAAAAACCTTGACATGAATCAACAGAATAATAAAAAAAAATGTAGTACATTCTATTCAATATATAAAAATTCTGAATTAAAAATGAAACCCATGACGCCATCTATGGATTTTCACTGTGAAACAAAAATTTTTTAAAATTAAAATATAAAAATTTGCGGCAAAATTTTTGTGATACAAATTTTTTTTTTTTAATCACTGCATATGAATATGATTGATTGATGAAAAAAAATCGAACTTTTGGATGTGGACGATAATTGAGAAACGCACTAATGAACATTCTCATCATTCATGTCCGATGCCCGAAGCTTTGCTTTGCTTGTCGTTCACATTTTTTTTTCTCCAATTTTTAATTAAGAAAGTGAATGATGAACATCCGAATTACAAATAATATCAATAATTGATCTAGTTTTCGATGAAAATTTCAAAAAAAAAAATTCAGTGCAAGCAAAAAAAAATCAACAACAACAACAAAAACTAAAGTGTAACCTACAGCAAAATGACCAACAGAAAGAAAAAAATCAGTCGTCCAAATTTAAAAATAAATCAAAATTCAAACAACAAAAAACGAAAAACTGCCCGAATCCGTTAACGTTGTAGATCCGGTTCATCAACAACACGGTCATAGATTATTTAACCATTCAAACGCGACAAACAATTTTTTTTGCGATGATGATTAATACATGAGCTAATAGATGATATATTTCGAGGCTATCGTCACAACAGAACGGAACACCATGATTCTTTCTTTCTCTTTCATCATGATTATTGGCTGAAAGAAAGAAATGGCCAAAACAAACAGAGAAAAAAAAATTAATTATCACTACCACCACCACTAATGATATGTATTAACGACAACCAACAAACCAGAGCCAACCAACTAATCAACCTGCTACTAATACATCGCGTTAGAGACATTTATTATCTAGATAGATTTGTGGTAAACATTTATTATCATCATCATCATCATCAATGAAAGCTACAATTTATCGGTGAATAGTAGAAATAAAATAATCTTCTGTGGTGGTTCATCATTATCATCACATATATTTAAATCAACCGATCAAGCATGTAAATGAATGAGTGAACAAAAAATTTCATTTTACAACTGCTACTGGTTGATTTTTTGTTTTTTCTTTCTAATTCACAATTTTTTTTCCACTTTTCCATCAATTATATAGATCGATTGATTGATTGATTGATTAAATTGATTTAATTTTTTTTTGTCGTTGTTGTTGTCAACTTTTTAATCTAATAATTTGCAAGTTCCTGTTTTGTTTGTGTGTCTGTGTGCGGTTTAGTTTTAAGCTAATTTTAGCCGGTAGTGAAAAAAAAAGTTCATTTCATTTCATCACTACCGCTGTGTGTAAAATATTATAATCCACACACACACACACACCCACAGCCAAAGACAGACATTTAAATGATTCAAATGAATCGAATGTCAATCGATTTCCGTTTTTTCGATATTAAAATTGATTTAATTGTCACCATCATTAATGATAAACTAAAATTTTAAATTTTAAAAATTCACCGGAAGAAAAACACCACCTACTACTAATACCGTGGTAAAGTCGGTGATAATCAAATCCATCAGCGCTACTACCGTTACCTACACTACACACACACACACACACTGGGTGGATGATAATTGTTTCCGGCTAGTTTTGAAAAGTAAAGCAAAAAACAGAAAAAAACAGAGCAAAAAAAAAAAAAAAAAACAACCAATGCGTCTATTGATGATGACTACTTTTTTAAATTTTTCTTCTTCTGTTTTTTATCTTGTTGAAATAAAGCATATATAAAACACGCAGACACACACACACACAGGAAGATAATTAGATTTAATTAGCTAGATCATAAAAAACGAAAACTTTTTTTTTTCTTTCCTCATTATTGTGCATATGATCCTGGAACGATTTTTTTTTTGCTTCTTCATTTCTCAATAAATAGGTAATTGCATTGAATTTTTATTTTTCTTCTATTGTATTTTTATGTATATAACGTGTATAATGGTAATATATACAAAAACAAACGGAAACGTGAACACGTGCATTTTCATGATTAAAATGAATGATAAAGATCAGATTATTTTGTGTAATTTGTGGTAGAAAAATTTTCAGACAATTATCAAATATATCAATATATTGAATGGTCATCTGTGTGTTTTTTTTTTCTTGTTCCATGTTGACAACAAACAGATGTCCATTACATATATTATATTTGATTTTTGAATATATGAATGGTCAATGGTATATAATTTTGTTGATATAGAATCACGTGAACAAACATACTATACTCAAGTACTACTCTTCTTCTCGGCTTCTCGCTACAAATTACAGGTGTGTTTAATCATTAAATCCTTAAATAGTTGCTGATATCGGATTTTCGTTTGTTTTTTGTTTTATTTTGCCCCTTTCGCAAATCAACGAAAATATGTAATTAGCATCTCTCTTTCTCTCTACACAAAAAAAAAACACACATCACCAGGATGTCAAAATGAAAAAGAAAAAAAGAGATTATTTTTGGCCCAACGATAATAATTTGTATATGATGATGATGATGGTCATTTAACATCTCGATGGACTACGCCGCCGCCGCAAGGCTAAGCGCTACTGAATCTATTTTCAACGAAAGAAAATGTAAATGATAAAGGATATTCAAATCATCACACACCATATGCAATGGTCATCATTATCATCATCATCATCACATATGGTTATTATTAGTTACTGGAGATTAACACACGAGAAAGAAGAAAAAAATAATCCGAAAAATCATTGAATCGATCATCATAGGTGTTTTTGGGCTGTGGTTGATTTTTAAATTTTATTTTTTTTTTTTCTCCAACGATGATCTGGAGGTGGTGGGTGGTTTGATGGATTCAGCACAAAAAAATTGTTCTTCCCGGGAAATTTTTTTTTCAATTTCCCGAAAAAGTTTTCCACTTTTTTTCTCAATCAGGATTTCAAAAAAATTTTTTTTTTTGTTGGTCAGATTTTAGATGAAATTGGATTTTTTTTTTTTTTTTGAAAATAAAAAACGTACATACATTCAATCAATGAACAACGTATTTTTGTCAATCAAATGAAATTCGATCCACGATCAATGATGAACTGATCCAAATGATGATGGTGAAGGAAAATTTTGTACGATGAAATAGAAAAAATCATGGCAATAATTTTGATTCTCGTTAAACTTTCGACCTTTTCTGTTGATTTTTTTTTCTTTTCCGATTATATAATATTTGATCATCATCGTTCTCATAGGTGAAAATTCCAAACATTTGTTACAGGTTTTGTCACATATAAAAGATTTTGGCTAAATGAATTTGGCAAAAATGTAGTGATTCACAAGATGATCAATAATTGATTTTTTTTTTGAGAAAGAAAAAATCGATTTTCAACAACGGTCAATCACAACATTTGAAACGACATACTTTACATTTGCCAGCCAATCTACTGTTTACTGTTTGACGTATGGACTTGATTTGAATTTTTTGTTTTTCTTTCCATTGTTTCCATTTGTCGTTGTTGTCGTACAGTATAAAATACAAACAGATTTATGGCCATTGATGGATGATAATAGTACTTAAAAGTTAAATCAAAAGACAAAACAAGAATCGTATTCAAATGTTTTACATGATAAAAATATGACGGAAATGTGATTTTTTTTCCTATGCATAATTCGCGATAGTATCGATATTCTCGTACACACACACACACACACAAAAAAATCATGTTTTATCTTCATCTTTGTGATCAAGATAAAACGAATGAATGAATGACAGCTTCACTGGTTGATTATTATCACCATCAAATCAAATCAGAAAAAAATACTCATGTATTCATGGATCGATTTGATTCATTCGATCAAAAGAAAAAAAAATGATTACAATGAAAAAAAAAAAAAAAGAACATTTCCACCTAACCTCGAAAAAAAAAATTGGATACAAACAATCGATAGTATCGTTTCGATTGAATGTTGATTGTTTTTTGTTTTCTTTTTTTTTCGGTGACCACAACAATTTTCGGACATTCAATTTTAAAACGAATATATACGACACAAATTATCTTTGTGTAGTTCATTCAAACAACAAAACAAATGGATGGATCAAGATATGTTCAATGTTTTTTTTTATTTACTGTTTTTGTAATAATGAAAACGCACACAAAATTTCGTATATCCAAATCAAGTAAGAAAAAAAATCAATGTGATAAAAAAAATGATAAAAACAACCACTTGTTGTTGTTGTTGTTGTTTTGAGAATGTAAATGGAACGACAAAATCTTTGAGCACAAAAACAAAACAAAACAAAAAAAAGTAGATCGATCCAAACAACATTGGTCCAGTAGCAGCAGCAGCAGCAGCAGCATTTGTTCCAAATTTCAAATCGAACTCATAATGAAAAACGAAAAAAACATTCGTGATATTGAGACATAATCATCATCATCATCATCATAACAACAACAACGACAACAAGTCATGCAATGTCAGTGATCCAGTTTTTCTTATTCATGTCCGATGATGATGATAAACATTTAGACTTTTCAAAAAAAAAAAATTGACCATTCAAATAAAATGATAAAGAACGACCCGTTATGATTTTTGTTTTGATGATGATGATGATGATGATGAAAAACGAAATTAAACGGTAATCATTTTCAGAGATATGTGAAAAACAAATTTGATGATAATAAAGATTTTCTTGTTTTGCCACAGATTATTACAAATTATTGAATCAATAAAAAAAAGGTGAAACTTGATATTGATCGATCGATCCATTAGATAGGACCGGCCATGTTATAAAAACGCATTCACATGTAATAATGACGATGACGATAACGATGAATAAAATTGAATCGATAAAAAAAATGGAACCAAACAAATTCAAGGTTTTTGTGAAACCTATATAAATCAGACAATATCGATCAATAAAAGAAAACAAAGAAAAAATGTTCCGTAATCCAAAAATCCGGTAAATCAAATTATATATGATAATGATGGTGATAATCGACCAATTTACAATCCTTTACAATCAATGAGTGTGTGTGTGTGTATGTACGATTAATGTTATCATTATCCAGAGATAATCGTTTTGGATCAATATAATCATTATCATTGAATGGCAGCCACGATCATCTAGATATAATTGAAATGAAAGAAAAAAAATAAATAATTAGATAATCTGATTGAACAAAAAAAAAAATAAATAAATAACGGTAACATGACCTGCATATAATTCACGAAACACGACACGATGCCTACAATACAGAGATAAATCTTTGATCCGGTCAAGTAATCGATACCATATATCGGGTTTATATTGGATTTTAATTCAATTTTTGTTTTTCCGCTTGTCCATCCATTTTTTTATTATTGTCATTGTGATCATACACCGAAACACGATTAGCTTGAAGCATTGAAAAAAAAAAAATTTCCCCTTATCATTCGGCTTTGTTTATTCAATCGTTATCGTTATCGTTATCGTTGTTGTTGTTGTTCCAGAAAAACATTTTCAAATAATAATTATTATGATGATGATGATCGATAAATAAGAGAAAATGATTTTGATCTAATTTTTTTTTTTTTTGAATTAAATGAAAAAAATTTTCCGCTTGTCGGTCGATTGATTGGTGTTTTTTGGTAGGTCGGTCGGTCGATCGTTTCGGTTTTTTTGCTTTGCATCAACATCATCATCATCATTAATTGAGATTAGTGAACATCACTTTCCTTGTTCATATGACATGTCTCTTTAACAAAAAAAAAAGAAAAAATTTTTTTTGATCTTCATTTTTTTTTGTTTCACAAGAAATTTTGCTCACCAATTGAATTTGACAATTTTTCAAAACATTCGAAATGGAATGATGATGATAAAACAGTGGCGGCTATGTCGACACTGTTGTTGGTAATTGTGTATAGTGAAGAGATTTTTTCGAACGCGAATACGTTCATTCACTGCTTGTCATCCAATTTTTTTTTTTTTTGTTTTCTCTTCATTTTCGCTACTTTTTTTTGTATTCATCGAATTTCTTTGATTTCTCCAACAACAACAACAACAACAACGACAAAAAAGTTTTCATTTTCATTTTCATTTTCATTCTTCGTTTTCCACATTTGAGAACCATTTCAACATTTCGCACCTTTTTGATTTCACTCTCAAATTTCAATCTTCAATCTCTTATATGCACATTAAATCATCAGGTGCATATAAAAAGCTTGATGATATAGATTTTGTTCCCATTAAATCATCAGGTGCATATAAAAAGTTTTTTTAGGGCCCATCGAATTTCGATTTCTCCAACAACAACAACAACAATGATGATATAGATTTTGTTCCCCATTTTGTTCCCCAATATATTTTTTTTTCTTCTCCACCGTCTTTCAACGTCAAAGACGATAAAAACTTTGTCGTTTTTCTCTTTGTTTTGTGTGTGTGTGTTTTTTTGGTTTTTGGTTTTTGTTTTTCATTCGAAACAACCAACCACAACATTGTGTTCGATCTGTGTTTGGGTGCAGGTGTGTTTGTCTGTCTGTGTGTTTATCAATTTTTTTTTGTCGATTCTGGATTCATAATTTATATCCAGATTTTTCTTTGTTGTTATCGAATATTTGTCCTTATTTATCTGTAAGTAGAGCCTTTCTTTTCAATGTCAAAGTTTGTTATGAAAGTTCAAATTTTTAAATTTAATTTAATTCAATTATGATGACCATTTTTTTTCGTTGAAACTATGTTAATGGATTTTTTTTTTGTTTCTCCAACAGATTCGATTCGAATCATTCGTGTGAACCACGACCACACACACACACACACACAAACAAATGTTCAAACACACTACAATAGTTCATCATTCGTAATCATCAAGTGATTATCATCATTATCGTGAATTTCGTTTTTCATTTTTTTTTATTGCTGTGAATGTGACAAAATCGAATGACGAAAAACAATTTTTGTATTTGGAAATGTTGACGAAATATTTATCTATTATAACGATTAAAACATAAAGTCCTTGATCTTATTTTAATTTTTGTCATCAGAAAATTTATTTAATTTTAATTCAATCCTTTTCTGTTTCATTCATCATTATGGTAAGTAATTTTTTTCCCACTTTATATTTATGTATAATTCTGTAAATGACACATTTTTTCTTTCTTACAATCTCCATATCATAATCAATCAGGCTTCAAAACAGAACATAATCATCATTTTGATGATTGTTTCATTGATTAATCTATCCATTGCTATTAATAATCATAATAATGATGAAACATCAACTATTCCATCATCATCATCATCGACGACAACAACAAAAACAACGATAATGAATGATGGACATCAACATCAACACAATCATGATCATGATCATCAACATCATCATCATCATAATCATCATCAATCTGATCAGATAGCAAGTTCATCAGATCAGGTGATGGATGAAACAAGTAATGATAAAAGTCGTGAATCATCATCGGTAACTAAACCACAACAACGAACCGGATCGGTTCAACCGATGGCTGAAGCATTAAGATCTGGATCAAATAATAATCACAATAATAACGTTGTTGAATCAACAAATTCACAACGTTTATTACAATTATTACGATCAACTGAACCTGGTCAATTTATACCAATAACAAATCGTGAAGTTGGTGAAGGACATGTTACAATGATTGGTTACACAACACCTATTGTTAAAGTAGGTGATCCAATACCAATTGAACAATATCTACGTGAACAACGACTGATACATGATCGTAATCAACAACAACAACCACATCAACAATCAATACAAACGGTATCGTCGAATGTACCACAATTAATACCGGCATCACCAACATCACAAGAAGAATTTGCACGGATTCTACAACGTTTAAGTCAAAATATTCATAATCCAAATTATGTCCAAAACAGTAGTCCATTGGTAACAGAATCATCATTGACTAATTCAGCACAAGAATCAACAGATATTCCACTTCGATTAGTATTTACACCTAATCCATCAGTTCCACAACAACGGCAACAATTTGTTGATGCTCGTGGAACATTATTCACATTGAATGATGTCAATGGCATTGCATCTGGCACACAATCTCAAATTCAACCGGTCACTCGACCCGAACAAGCCAACACAATCGATGCAACAAGTAAATTGTTGAATATTCAAGATGGTAATTCAATTATTGTTGATAATACTGCAAACGGATTTCAAAGTGGTATTCCCGATTTTTGTAAGTTTTTTGTTTGAATATTTTGAATTTTTTTTTGAAAATTCTTTTATTTTTTTTCATACATAGTGATTAGAGGAGCTGCACAATTGGATGCTCAACTTGCACAACATGAACAACAATTGACTGCTTCTAGTGGATCTCAACAACAACAACAACAACAATTATCATTACAATTACAACAACATCCTGTTGAACAACAACAGCAACAACAACAATTTGTACAACCATTGGAAAAACCACGCCCATTTGTTGTAATGAAACCAGGTTTTCGTAATAATCAAAAATTATTACATCAAATTCAAATTGAACATCAACAACAACAGCAACCTCAAACTAACGGAATATCATCATCACAATCAACATCGGAATCGGAAAATCCATTTTTACGATTCAATCCATTGATTGGTGGTCAATTAGTGCGTGCACCACATCATCATCATGGTGTTCAAATTCAAACACAATCACATGTAAATCCTGTACCTGGTTCGTCACCAGCATTTTTTCAACATTTTTCCGCTCAACTACCTGTTGGGCAACCACTTTTCCATCCAATTCAAGCTGTTAGTCGTGTAACTGGTGGTAATGTTGGATCATCACAAAACTTGGGTCAAGCACATTCATCATTCCTAAGATCGGCTACACAAAGTTTTCCACCATTAACACCTTCAGGTGGTTTCCTTAGTACTGGTTCACAACAACAATCTCCATCATCATCAACATCATTAATTCAGCATTCAGCACCGCAGCCATCAACATCATCGTTTCTAACAGGTAGTAATACTGTATCACAATCAATGCCACAACCATTTCATGTTGCAAAGAAACAAACTGTACAAGTGGAAACAGTAGAAGGACCACCATCATCAACTGTAGATACAAAAGCTGAATTGCAGAATCAAATTAAACATATATTAGCATCATCACCAAATCTATCGGAAGATTCACGTGCAAGACATCGTGAAGCCATTTTTAAAGCTGTTCATTCGTTAGTTGAACCAACTGATTCATCATCAAGTCATCATCATCAACAACCACAACATCAATCAACCGATTCATCGTCATTATCATCACCAGTCCCAAGATCACCATCATCCAATATCGATTCAACGAATCGTTTTTCAGGTTTCGAACCATTTCATCCAAAATCGACGCCATTCAATTTTCCAGTTTCACAAACACAATCGCTTTCTGGAGCACCACAACGATTAAGTTCGACTAGTCGTCAACTTGGTGCTACGCCATCTACATTAGCTGTATTAGGTGGTCCTAGTCCAGGATCATCATCATCATCTGCACAGTTTCAACAAGCTGCAAATGTTGGCCAAATTCGTCGACCATCACAAATTCAAATGGAACAATTTACATTGCCACCAATACAACCATCGGGTAAATTACCATTGAATTTACTCTCAAGATATCCATCATTATTACCTGGATTTCAACCACCGATGCTTTCATCACAAGCCGATACCGGTAAACAAGATCAAACGAATGAACAAAAAATTCAGACTCAGATTCAAGCCTTCCTTCAACAACATGATCCACAGCGACTACAATTGACGCAACAACAACAATCACAACAGCCAACTTTATCGCAAGAATTTCCCGGTGGTTCATTCATCATTAATCAACCAATGTTTGGTCAACCACAATCACAACAAGAACATTTGAATTCAAATCAACGATTTCAACAACAACAAAATGGTCAACATATGGCCAAGATTCGTTTGGCACCAGGACTTATGTTAAGCTCTGATGATTCAACATCATCATCTTCTGGTCAATCGAATAGTCAACGACAAATACATACACAAGAAGGTGGTATTACTATTACACGTGGTAAACCGATTCCAATTCCACCGGAAGCGAATAGAATTTCAGTGGCTACACCAACCGATAATAATGAGAATAATAATCTAAGATTCCATGTTAATAGTATGCAGGCTAGCCAACAACAACCACATCATAATCATCAATTCCATAATCATCATCCACATCATAATCGATTTCAAACATTTCAATCAGAAGCCAGTATGATGACACCAAAATTAAGTACTCGTGAATTTTCTGAATGGTGGAAAGAACGTGCAGTGGCTCCATCCGATATTGCATCATTGACAATGTTGACACAATTGCCTGCTTAATTAGATAGGAAATGTATTTGTTTGTTTACGTGTAGGTGTTGCGGACAATCAATTATTATCATTAACAACAACATTATACTGGATTATAATGTGAGTGGATCACTAAAAGAATCGAATCGATTTTTTTCCCGATGAAAGTAAACATCAACATAGACGACCACTATCATATAGAATCTATATTATAGATATATAGATATGATGAATGAAATTTCAACTTTTTTTTTTGCTCTTGATTTTTTTTCTCTTTCTCTCTTTATCTATTATTAATTTTGGCCCTCATTTTTATTATTATTATTATTTGTTATTGGCCATTTCGATTTTAAATTGAAAATAAAAAAATGTACTGTACAATTTCATTACCTAAATGATATAAAAATGGTTTATTTGTTTCATTTGAACACATACACACACACGAAAAAAAACCCCACAGCAGTCCAGCAGTTATGTTTAGAAATGTTTTTATTTATCAAAAAAAAAAAATTTAATTTAATTGAAATTAAAATCAAAAGTTTTAAGAACGAGGTCATCATCCATGCATTGATCCATCCATCCATCCATCCATCCATCAAAACTCATTTGGATAATAAACAGAACAGAACAGAAAAAATGGCCAAAAGTGACTAGCGGTGATGATGATGATTATTATTAGGATGATTATCAGCAATGTATCAAAGCAAATGACGATGATGATTAAGTTTGAAGAGAACCATTGAGTTGAGAAAAAAAAGAAAGACAAAAAAAAATTAACATGAATGTTAAAATTAAAAGACACACACACACATATTGGAACAACAACATATGAAAAACACAGACAGATAAACAAAACAAAAAAAAAAGAAGATGAAGAAACAAATATACTGTGACGAAATAGTAATGGTGTTTTGTAAAATTTGTAAAACTAACTAGAGAGAGATAAAGAGAGAGATAACTAAAAATAATTTCCGATTTTTGATTGAGCATCATCATTATCGACAAAAAAAATTGTTTCAAATCATTTTTTTCATCATCATCATCGGAAATTATTTGGGTTATCATCAGTCTTTTTTTTTTGATTTATATAAATTGTTTATATTATTATAAAACGAAATTGTAATGGACGTTTTATGTTTGATTTGTTAATCACCTAAAAAAAATATCATTGGTCAGTTTTATGTGTGTGTGTGTGGGTGTGTGTGAAAGAATCAAAACAAAAAGGAACCGGGTATTTTGCTTACCAGATAATTTCGGACTGTATTTTCTGTGTATATGTATGTGAAAATATAAAAATTATAAAATTTTTTTTTGTTTTGATGAGCAACAACAAAATAAAATTGATATATATATATAAATGTATAATAAAATGATGACAAATGAGAATGAATTGTATGATGATGATGGTGATGATGATGATGATGATGACTATTTTGACTGACAATCAATTTATTTTTTTTGATGACAAAAACACATTTTTTAAATTAAGAAAAAAAACTAAATAAAATGGCATTAATAGAATGCTGAACACATTGTCAAATATCACAAACATTGAAACGGAACAAACATCAAAATGTTTTTGTGTGTGTGTGTGTGTGTGTGTGTGTGTAAACTATAAAAAAAAAGAAAAGTCAACAAGAAAATGAAATCATAATTTATCGTAATATACACAGTAGTAGTGTGTCAGATCAATCATCAGAATCTTCACGTTCAGTAATAGATGGTGATGATGATAATGATGAACTTCTTTGTCTTCTTCGTTTTTGTCCAATACTGTTGGTATCAATCAATTGAGTATTTGGCCGATCATTAGATAGTTCTTCTGATTTGTTATCATCCACTATTCCACATGGATATTGTTTGAGTGTGATTAATGAATTAGGTTTATCAATTCGTAATTTTCTTGCCCTTTTTTTACCGATGTTTAAATTTAATTGATTTCCATCAACCGTATGTCCACCACCATGTTGTTGTTGTTGTTGTTGTATACAATTATTTGATGTCAAAACTTTTTTCATTATTTTCGTTGTAGTAATCGGTGGTGTTTCAATTGTTGTTGAAGAAACTGTATTCGAATCATTCATCAATAATTGTTGTTGATCATAATCATCATTATCAGTATCATCATCATCATCATCATCATGATTATTGATATGATTTGAGTATGAATGATATTGATCCTCCTGCTGCTGTTCGAATGATGATTCCTTTTCAAGTGGACAATTTGATTTAACAATTAATGATTCATCATTTTCAATCTTGGATTTTTTAACACAATTTCTAATTAATTTAAAATTTGGATAATGTGTAAATTGAAGAATATCGGAATTTGGATCTTTGAAAAAAATGGAAAAATTACTTTTTAAAAAAAGAAAAATAAATTATGTTGAATACAACCACATACTTTTTTTACAAGTATAATTGGTACCAATATCTAATCGAAATAGATGATTTTTTTGTTTTACAATAAATTGATTTGAATTTTCCAATTTAATCCGCACGCCATCCAACATTAAATGATGTTCTATTTTATTTTTTACATGAAAAATCAAATCAGTTTTAAATACTTTTAGTTGATCAGTATTATCATTCTGGTGATGATTTATGGATTGTGATTTTTTCGATTCCAGTGGCAATACATTTGATGCATGAACAAAAAGACGATCCTCGATTATAGCATCGAATAATAAAAAACCGGATTCATGTTTTGCTATCTATATCATCAGTGAAAAAAAAACCAAATGATTAAAACATTGAAAAAATTCTTTTCAAATTTACCTTCTTAAATTGTTCGCTTAATATGGAACCAAATTGAAATGATTTATAAGTGACATGAATAGTCAACTCTAATGGTTGTTGTTTTTCGTTTTTAAATTCAATAGACGATACAGTATTATTATTATTATTATGATAATTAAAATTATAACGTCCATTTCTTGCATTATCGAATATTCGTCGTAAATCAGCTTTTGTACAAGTGAATCCAATTGTGGCATAAATTTTTTCCATATTATTTGAATTCATAATTTTACCACTAGGAACATATAATAATGACACAACAAATGGATCACAATTCATTTGTGTATAATCAATGAGTTGATCATTGAATCTGGTTCTATTGGGTAAAATTTGTAAAAATTTCGAACGTTCTTCTGGATGTGTAGCCAAATATTTGTAAACATCATTTTTAATATTCATTCGATTAAATTGTTTATCACAAATTTCTATTGAATTTTATGCAAATGAGAAACAACAAAAACAGAGAAAAATTATTCACAAATCACAAATGAATAGTGGTGTTCAAAAAATATTCTTACCAATTTCAATGACAATTTCAATTATTTCCTGATATTGTAGAAAAACTGTTTCAAATTCCAATTCAATACCCTCATTCGGCGTGTGTACGTAATCGGCAATAATTGTATCTTTTGAATTCAAACATCGGCGTGATTCAACACCGGTTATAATTCGTGTAGTGAATTGAGCGTTTATCATATTGACGCTATCGGCGTAATGATTTTCATTAAAATCAAAAGCATTATGGCTTTGTGGGATTTTTTCTAATTTTGTTGATGAATATAATGCCAACATTGATGATAATTTACTTGTACCATCATAATTGTATTGGCAAAAATTGGAATCAAATGTTTTGAATTTGTACAGTTGATTTTTTTGACAAAATGGGTCAAAAAAACCACGTTTTAAATCATAAATTACCGATGAATTAAAATAAAGAATTAGAATCTAAAAATGAATTTTTCGTATAAAAAAATTAATGATTTTTGTGAATATAAAAATGGTATATATACTATTCACTCACATCAGCTGAACATCGATCAATTAATGACAATGATCCACATGCGCCGAAATAATATGTTTCAAAGATAATATGCAATGTACGATGATATGTGTGGGTACATTCCAATGGTCGACATTTCAAATTTCTGGATGATATCTTATCATCATCATTCTTTGGATCATTAAAACGACAAAATTGAAAAGATGATAAATGCCATTTAATAGACATGACAATTTGTAAATTTTCTCCACAATTGTCCGTCCATTCGAACGAACCGATCCATGGACGTTCATAATGGACATGAAGATTATCATCATTAGAATGTATGCTAAAAAAATTAGCATTTTGATGATAAAGGGACCATTCTCGTGCGATTCTATCAGTCTTTTCTTCATTATCCAGCACTGTTATGTGAATGATGAAATCATTTATCATTTCTATATATTTTATGAATAGCAAAATAGATGAACAACTTACCAAGTTTCACTTTTGTCATATATCGTGATATAGCATTGCCATTATACCTATGTTTTTTACCTCTTTCTATACGAAAACAATTTTGTTTATCAAATACGGTGACAAGTATATCACGCGTAAAATCATTGGTGGAAATTTTGTAATTATCAATGGTCATGGAGTAACGATAAAAATCATTGATTTCTTGCATTTTCTTGAAACAAACAAACAAGCAAAAAAAATTTCGATATTAGATGAACACAGAGAAATTTGTAGGCAGGAGATTGGAAGTTTTTTTTTTTTTGGATCAGAGGCAAAATCATGAAATTCGATTTTCAAAAAACATTTCATTCATCTTTTTCGTTTTCAGCGTAATGGTAAAATTAGTGTATAGAATTTTTCGTTTTTATAAACATTTTTTTTAGAGACTAAAATACGTTTCTCCACAATTGAAATAATAATAGAATAGAATTTCGAATTGATGATGCTGATGAAAACCATGCATGTGTGTGTATGCGGCTAAAACAATGAAAATCGAAAAGTGTTACAATTAACAAATTGCATTCAATTCGTATACATACCAAAATGATGAACAAGAAAATTTGAACAAAATTTAAAATCAAAAGAAAAAAAAAGTCGAACAAAACAAATACTTGGCTTGATTTTTGGTTTACACTAAAAAAAAAACAAGCGCCCAAAACATCGAAACCTGGCTCACGTTCGACAACGATTTCGATACAATCGATTGTTTTCGATATGAAAAAAAATTATTCAAAAATTTTTTTTTTAATTTTATTTTCATCACATCAGATTAAAAATTATAAATCAAACGATAACTAATGAAAAGAATGAATGTAAATAATAATAAAAACAACATGATCATGGTAAATATGATAAATTTTGAACATTTCAAATCGATTGTTGCTCGATGTTGTTTTCGTTTTTCGTTGCAGGCGGCCACCATAATCGGTAATGATTCATTCAATTTGGAATTTGTTTTCGTCGCAATCATATTATTCACCGATGTTGTGGTAGTGAAAATTTCCGAATTTTTTCCAAATGTTGTTGATTCAGATGATCGTTGTTGTTGTTGTTGTTGTCGATTACCATCATCATTCAGAATCTGTACAGCAGGTAATGATGAAAAATTATCCGTTATCTTTGCTGCTGTTGGTGCTGTTGATGCTGCGGATATTGTATGATAAACATGATTTGTCTGTACATCCTCGATGGACGAATCAAAACTTTGATAATATTGATGAAAATATTCCAATTTATCAGCCATCGATTTATATGATGATTTTCGTCCATTATCAATTTCGATTGATTTATTATCATCATGATGATTCTGATTATTATTACCATTACCACCACCACCACCATGATGATAATAATCATCATCATCATCAAATAAAACATATTTTGAACGGCTTGAATTTGGTTGCCAGAATTTTATTTTTGGCCACATTTTCAAATCGATTCATTCAATTCGAACGAATTGTTGTAATGATGAAAATGAAAATGAAAAAAAAAAATGAAATCATTTTTTGTCCATCTGTCCATCATCATCATCATCATCATTGTACGTGATATCAAACGAATTTTTCTTGTCAAATCAAGCAGCATCCATAACGAATTTAAAAAAAAACAAAAACATACTACACACTGGTATGACAATTTGAAGTTTTTTTTCCATTTTTGATGACTGAAAACTTTTTTTTTTTTTTCGTTTACCAAACAGGTATATGATGTGTCCATCATACTATATATACTGTAGTAAATTGATTGAAAGCCGCAGATTTTTTTTCATGGTAATGGTAATGGTGTGTGGTGTACAACAAAAAAAAAAATGAAAAGTTTGGTGATATTCTATTTTTCAAACAAACAAACAAAAAATTTTGACATTTATTTTTTATTTCATTTCATTTTTTTGTAAAAGGAACAGAATTTTTTTTACAAATCTGGCCATTCGATCATATTGTTGGATGATATCGATGTGTAAATGATCTCACAAATTTTGCTAATGGATCATTGGATCTAATCCATAATTTTAATCGACTAATTCGTTCATTATTTTCAATCATTTCCACACTCTGTTTCGAATTATTGGCCATATTGTAGAACATTTCATTCAGCCATCCAAATCGTTTCATGATTGCATCCAAAATTTTTTTCGGCAATTGCATTATCATATTCAAAAAATTCATTATTTGACCATTATTATCGGATGTTGGTACATCATCATCAGCATCAACCAATAATGATGATGATGGTGATAATGTCATCATAATGATTACGATGAAAATTGGATGAAAATGTTTGAAAATCATTATTGATTGATTGATTGTTGGATGGATTCGATCGTTTCGACTGAATGATGTCTTCAATCAGACTGCCAAGATATGGATGTGATTGATTTATTCATAGCAAAAACAAAATCAACGATTTTTCGATGAACCAAACAAATGGTAAAGGTTTTTTTTATGTCATTCGTTATGGATCAGAATTTGGTATTCATATCGTTCGACATCTGATAATTGAATCATTTTTCATCGTTGAGTTTTATGGATCAACAACAATCAGATGAATAGTTTCACCCATTGAACCAAGAATCTGAATGTCAAGATCAATGCAATTTTTTTATTTTCAAAGACAAATCATCATTTATTATTTATTTAATTTCGCAAATATTCAGATAATTGAATTTAAAAACAAAAGACAAAAATTCAATTAATTTCCGATTGATTGGCTGCTGGGTGGATCATTGACGATTCGGTCTAAAATGTATTCCATTTTCATCTCTATAAACTATAAAACTGAATTTTTTTTGATTTTCCGGTTCCAGTAGTACTAGCCCTGAAAACAAAATTGATTATTGTGAATGAAAAAAATTCATCACACACACACACACATACCTGATGGACAGTCATTTTGTAATCGTTGTTGCATATTATCCAAATAACGGATAAATCCTTTACAAATACTATTTCCTAAATCTTTTTGACAATTTTGTTCATCCATTTCATGTTGTACTGATTCAATTGTATTACGTATATGTTGACATTGTTCTGGATTCAAATTTGAAAGTGAATATGGTTGCCGTTGTTGTTTAATTGGTCCAATATTAATATGGAAAATTTTTTTATCTTTATCATATGTGATGAATGGTTCTAATGATGATGATAATGATGGATCATGAACAATTTTTTCAATTTCGTCGATTGAAAATTCCGTTAATGGATCATTGACAATATGGTGAATTTCATCGATTGATAAATCATGAACAATTTTTTTGATAACTTTAACAGATAATTCTGATTGATTATCATTGATAATTTTTTCAATTTCATCAATTGATAAACCAGATAAATTGTTGACAATTTTTTTAATCTCTCCAATTGGCAATTCCGATATAGCGTCGATAATGTTATTGATTTCATCGATTGATAATTCAGATAATCTGCCATTTTCGGTTACATGGCTAAATTATTATGTTTGTGAATAAAAAAAAATGAATATGAATTTTCCATGTTTTTTAAAAAAAAAAAAATTGAAAATTTACCGAGAAATAACCAAAGATGGTAAATTAAATATCAAAACGATTGCAGTGGCAAACAAAATCGTTGATTTAGAAATGAAGTACATGATTGATTGATTGGAAATTTGTTATTCACCAAGGGATGATGATGATTGTTGATTTGATTGACAAAAAAAATATTTAAAAATGATCACCAATTTATATATGAATGAAAATGTGTTCAATATATTTAAATTCGAATATTTTGGTTTCATAAATGTCACGACATTTTTGAATGTCACACTATATAATGTTTTGTTTTTGAATAAAAGAAAAAAAATGTCAACAGTCATCAATTTTGATTATTAATCGAAAAAAACAAACAAAAAAAAAAAAACAAACAAACGAAAAATGAAACATTCGTCTATCCTATGTATATTCCATTTCGGGAGTAGTTTGACCCATTGGTCCAACGAGAGGCACCCACACACACACGCACACTTTCTCAAGGTTGAATCAATTAATCGATAATGTGTTAATCCACAGTAGTTGATTGGATAATTGTTTTTGATTGATTTATGGATTGATATGCGAATTATTTAATCTTTTCGGTCATTTAAAATACAAATACAAGAAATAAGAAAAATTCCTATTAAATGAAATGCAATCAAATCATCGATTGATAATGATTGTTCCCATGAACTGCACCGGTGGATTGTCGAAATATTGAAAATCAAAATGAGTAAAAAAGATTAGTTTAGTTTAGGTTAAAGAGGTTTTACACTAATATTGTATTTAAACAATCTAGAATAGAGATATTAAAATACTATAAATCGGTTCATCGGTTGAATGTATATGTATTTTTAATCGATTCATTTTCATAATCCAAAATTTTCAGTATTTGGCTATTTTCTGCCTTGATTTTTAGGGTTTGGCTATTTTCAGCCTTGGCTATTTTCTGCTTTATTTCAGTTTTGGCTATTTTTAGTATTTTGATATTTTCAGTATTTTAGCTATTTTCTGCCTTGGCTATTTTCATTTTGGCTATTTTAAACAATTTAAAATACAAATACAAGAATAAGAAAAATTTATTAAATGAAATATCATCGATGATAATGCCAAATAAAAAAACAAGTTGTTGATAAGAATAATTTGTAATAATCCATTTTGAGTAACACCATTTTACAATTTATATCAAACATGAGAATAATTTATTATTGGACCTGATTTGAACCCACATACAAATTGGTGACTTGATGTTATGTAACGTCAATCTTTATTATTTTTTTCTAGATTAGAAAAATCCATTATATAAATACCCGACAATAGTCGCCAATTGTCTCATAAGTTACTTGCTCAATTCATTTTTTTTGTGAATCAAATCAACAACAAACGACAATAAAGCGAAAAAAAATGACAAAATTTTTTACCGTTTTGGCTGTAATGGCCACAATTCTACTTCCAGCTACCATTAATTCATTACCAAAACATTCAAATGATCAAGTTTGTACTAGTGAACCATTGGTTGAATTGAAAAATGGTGGTCGTGTTCGCGGTCTTTGTAAAACCGGTTTAAATGGACGTGAATTGCATACATATCTATCGATTCGTTATGCACGGGCTAATCGTTTTGCTCACTCCGTTGCCGAAGGTCCATGGGATGAAGTTTATGAAGCCACCCATCAACGTGAAGCATGTCCACAAGAAGATCCAACTGTTAAACATTCGGAAGATTGTCTTTATCTTAATGTTATTCAACCAATTGACAGTGGAGATAAGTTGAAACCAGTCATGGTTTGGATCTATGGTGGTGGATTCAATCTTGGATCTATTCATGGTGTTGCCAGTATCATATATGATGGTTCAGTTATTGCATCATTAGGTGATGTTGTTTATGTCAACATGAATTATCGTTTAGGTCCATTCGGTTTCTTATATAGTGGCACAGATGAGGCACCAGGTAATCAAGGTGTTCATGATGTAATAATGGCATTACGATGGGTTCAAGATAATATCGAAAAATTCGGTGGTGATCCAAACCGAGTGACAATCTTTGGCGAATCAGCTGGTTCATTTATGTCTTCGATGTTGATTTTATCACCAATGGCTAAAGGTCTATTTCAACGTGCCATAATGCAATCTGGTGCTGTAAGTGATCTGAAAAATTTGTCACCGGAATATTCATTAGAAAAAACACGAGAATTTGCAAGAAAATGTGGCTGTAATCAAGATGATGCTGATGAAATGGTTGAATGTTTGAAACGAATGCCAAGAGCAAAATTAACTTTGCACGCTGGAGGTTTAAATTTTATAGCCATGTTCACAGGTAGACAATTAGTCATAATGCGGAATGATAAAGCTGGTATTTTGCCAGATCTGCCATCAAAAATTATTCGAAAAGGTCAATATAATCCTGTGGATCTTATGTTTGGTTTTGTTCATGATGAAGTTGCTGAAATACTCGTCCTATTGGATTTGGAATTACTAAATCCACTGAAATTATATACACGTCACCATCTTAAAAAGAAATTATATCCAATAATTAGAAAATTCACATTGGATGGACACGAAGAAGAATTATTCAAATATTATTTTAAAGATGAACATCGTGCCCTGATAAAAAGTGATACAGTAAGACGTAAAATGACCGATATGTTTTCCGATCCAGTTATGAACTGTCCAACTTATCTATTTGGACAAAGATTAGCAATGGCAATGGCTAAAAATTCGTCAGCTACAAACCGTAATCGTTTCTATTCATTCCGTTTCGATCATCATTCACCATTTATGGCATTTATTGGTTGTGAAAAATGGATGGGTGTATGTCATGCCATGGATTTACCATTCACATTTGGTTTACCCATACGAAAAGATATTGTTAAATTGGCTTTCACTAATAAAGATCGTCATATTAGTGAAAATGTTGTCCGTGCTTGGACACGATTTGCACATACTGGTAATCCTGAACAAATGGGTGATGTTGAATGGCCCGAATTCTTTGGTGATAATGGTAAAACGATGCGTCAAATGGCAATTGATCTTAAACCTCATGTTTTTGAAAATGAATATCGTGATCGATGTGAAAATTTTTGGATTAATCTTCTATTACCACAATAATTTTAAACAATAAATCACAATCAAGTCGAAATAGTTTCGAATCATACAACAACAATATTTACAACCCATATGGTTAGCCAATTTTTTTTTCTAATTTTCCATTCATTTATCTGTTATTATGTGAATTTGTTTTTTTTCTGTTTATTTTTTCTCTTGTTTTTCACAAATCAATCAATATAACATTCAATCAATCGATTTTTTTTTATAAGTTTCGATTGATAATCTCTTTACATTGTTCTTGTTTCAATTTTCTTTTTACATTAAATCTTAGTCGTTTTAAATGTTTACATTCAACAGTATGTTTTCGGTCATTATCATAACATCTCATTATATTCACCAATTCATTGAATGTACGTTTTGTAGATTTCAATCCAACACATTTAGCGATACAGGTATCAAGATCATTTAATTTATCCACTGCTTCTTCAAGGATTTCAACGAATATTCTTCCTTGTAGCAATTCAAAGAGCTTACGGTCGAGTACTTCCAATTTCTCTGTTGTTCTAAATTATAATCAAAACAACAACAACAACAACAAAAAATGGTGAAATTAAGAAAAAAAATGAAAAGTTTTTTTTCATACTCAAAAAAAATTTACCTAGAAATAACCAATGATGGATAATTAACAATCAAAATGATTGATATGGCAAACAAAATCGTTGATTTAGAGATGAAGTACATGATTGATTGATTGATTGGAAATTGTTTTTTTTAAATTTTCGTTGAAAAATAATGAAAAATTTCCATGATATTTGATCATTTTATATAGGGATCATTGTGTATCATTTGCATCATATAAAAAAAATTGTCAAATGTCACCCAGAATTCAATGGCCAAAAATTTGAATCTAAATATCATCAATATGCCATTCGACATTAACACATGAACCTTGTGTGTGTGTGTGTTTGTGTGTGCAAAATTTTGACATTATGGCTGTTATTAACAAAACCCTTATTGATTTCTTTTCATTCAAATGTGCCAATTTTTGCATGGCTCTTTCACGGGTAAGTTTGCATTTGTTTTCTTTTTTTTTGACAGTAAAATAAATTTTTCTAATAAACAAATTTATAGGTCCAGATGATTATTGTTTGATTTTAAATTTTAATGAAACAAAACAAAAAAACAGAGAAAAATTAAAATCAACAACTGAGATAATTCATCCACAATAAAAAAATCATCATCATTATCATCATCATCAATGATAACAAACAACAGCCACCACTATTAATCGTCTTCATTAATATTATTGACAACTTCTTCACAATTTTCATGTTTCATTTCTCGTTTTATATTATCAATACGTCGTTGTAAATGTTTACATTCAACAGTATCTTTTCGTCCTTCTTTATAACATCTCATGAAATTCATCAATTCTTCTAATGCATTTGCTGCCCATTTATATGCAACACATTTGGCTATACTGGGTTTCAATTCATTTACTTTGTCCAATGTTTCTTCTAGAATTTCAACAAATTCTCTTCCTTCTTCCAATTCTTCGATTTTATGAAATGCTTCATCAAAGGCATCGATGTCAAAATTTTCTTCTGGTCTAAAAAAAAAAATGTGATAAAATAAAGAAAGAAAATGGAAAAAGGAATTTTTCATTAGTTGAAATTTGAAAAAAAAAAATTTCATATTGAAAATTTACTCAGTTTGTTGTGAAAAAACCGATGATGGATGATTAGCAATCAAAATGATTGCTGCTGCTGCTGCAAACAAAATTGCTGATTTAGAGATGATATACATGATTGATTGAAGACTGATTGATTGATAGATTTTTCGTTGAAAAAAAGTTTCCAGAATAATTTTTGTTTTGTTTCAAAATTGATCAATTTATATAGGTTTTTTTTTCTCTGTCTCTTTACATTGTGTATCATTTGCATCAGGAAAAAAAATTGTCAAATGTCAACCAGGATTTGAATCTCCATGGCAAAAATTTAAATATCATTCAAATGCCATTCGACATTATCACATGAACCGTGTGTGTGTGTATGTGTTGAAAACTAAAAACGACCAAATCGATTTTTGATTATTGGCAAATGTTTGACATTTATTAACAACCCCTTATTGATTTTTTTGAAAAATTTCCATCCCAAAATGCCAATTTTTGGCATGACTGTTTCACGGGTAAGTTTTCTTTTTTTTTTCTCTGTTTGATTTTAAATTTCAATCAAAAAAATCGGAAAAACAAAATTCATCATCAGCTGATTGTGTATCTAGATTTTTGTTTTGTTTCATTCGCATGTCCTATTTACATTCAGATTTATAGTCAACCAGAATTTTTTTCCAATATCAAAATCTAAATTTGAAACATCACCATCACCATCATCAGAACAAAAAAAAATCATTCTTATCGATTAGCAAAAACAAATTTATTGAATTTTTTTGACGAAAGACACAAGACACAAAACAAATTCAACATTGAAAAATTAATAACAAAAGAAAAAAAAATTCATTCAACATTCAAACAAACACCATGTTTATGGACAGTTGGCATATTTTAATTCTCTTTTCAGATTATCCAGCAATCGTTGTAAATGTTTACATTCAAATGAATCTTTTCGTTCTGCTTTATGACATCTAATTATATTCATTGCGGTTTCTGTTGCCATCAATTTTGCTTTCAATGCTGCACATCTAACCAAAACATGATCATCATCAATTTCAAGCAAACGAATTGTTTCCGCTATGATTTTAGCAATTTGTGCATTTAATTTACCAGTATTTTTAAATATGTTCAATACATCATCAAAACCAAAATCATCTTCATTTTCAACAATCGGATGTTCGGTCGTTGGTCTAATGGGGTAAAATCATCGTGATAAAGAAAGAAAATTAAAATTTTTTCATATCCAAAAAAAAAAAAAAAAATTACCCAGAAATAACCGATGATGGATAATTAGCTATCAAAATGATTGCTGCAAAGAAAATCACTGATTTAGAGACGAAATACATGATTGATTGGTTGGTTTTTTTGGTTGTTTTGAAAATGATGAAACATTTCCATGTTAATTGATCAATTTATATAGAGATTTTTTTCTCTCTCTCTCTCTCTATCTGTATTGTGTATCATTATCATCACTTGTATCAGATAATTGTTAAATGTCAACCATAATTTGAATCTAAATGCCAGAATCTGAATCTAAATATCAACATCGCCTTTAACATAATCACATGAACCCCCTGTGTGTGTGTGTGTGTGTGGATGGGTGGGTGTGTAGAAAATAAAAAATCTAAATAATGGGCAAAATGTCATTTAAAAATGGCGACCATTTTCCAAGGTCAGTACACTGAAAAAATGTGTTTAACATCATCATCATCATCATGAAAGAAATTTTCACCACCCAGTATGCATGTGTACAATGTTCAAAAAAATTTAAAATTGGCGCTATTTTATTTTCAGTTTTTAAAAGTGCTGCCATCTTTTAACAGAAAAAATGAACCTTTAGTAAGTATTTTAATTTTTTTTTCTCAGAAAATTTTTAATAATTATTTTAAATCATTTAAAAAATTTGAAAGAACAAAAAATTGATCAGAATTTTATTTTCAATCAATCAATTACAATAATAATGATAATCTAATATCGTCATATGTTCATTGTCGACGTCGTATTGGCATTGGCATTGGTGGTTGTCGTTGTTGTGGATGATAAACATTTACATTACGATTCATAATGACAGCATTTCTTCGTTGTTGTTGCTGTTGACGACGATCCAATTCCATTAAAAATTTCAACATTTGAAATGTAAACACTTTCATTGATGGATCAGAATTTTCATTATGGATTACAATTTCTATTTGTTTTGGTTTTGATTGACATGATGATGGTGGTGGTGTTGGTGTTGGTGTTGGTGGTGTTGGTGTTGGGTGGTGGTGTCTGTAGTGTTGGTGTTGTCGGTGGTGGTGTTAAATTCGGTTTCGGTGTTGTTTGATGTAGCTTTTTCGTCACTACTTGTTGTTTCTTTGTATCCATTGGTATCATGGTAGAATGGCTATACAATGGTAATCGTGTTGATCGTAATGATTCATCATCATCATCATCAATTGTTGGTTCGACACTGGAATCTTTTCGAAAATATTCAGTTTCCTCATTCTTTGATCCATAACGTTTATAATGGATATATGTAGGAGGTTGATTGTTCTTTACATCTTTAATACGAATATTAAAATCAATATAATGTTGCTGTTGTTGTTCTGGTTTTTCAATTTGTTTTTGTTTGTTTTTCATCGTATTAATAATATCATCAACTAAATCTTCTTCAACATTTTCTGATCTATGACGATAATAATCATCATCATCATCATCGTCATCGTCATCATAATAATCATCGTCATCATCATCAATTGATCGATATTTCGTTGGAAATCGTTGCATTGACCAGGCCATTTCCATCATCATCATCATGGTTATGGACATTAATAATAATTGTATGATGATTATTCGGGACATTTTTGTCATCTTCATTAGTGTGTTTTTTTTCAAACTTGATCAGATGAATCGGTTGTTTTTTTTTGTTGAATATGGATGATTGTTATTGATCGATGATGATGATTATGATGTTTATAATATGTTTTTTTTTTGCTCAAAGTTTTATAATGTTTGATTTGATTTTATATTTTAGCTGTGTAGGTTTTTCAAATGTCCAATGATGATGATGATAATGGCAATGATGATATGGATCAAAGTGGATACCTTTCATATTTGCATGCTTTTTTTCCACATCAGATCCATCAGGATTTAGTTCATTTCATCATCATCATCATCATCATCATGGATCAATGATTTGAGTTGATTTCATTTTTTTTAAATCAAAATTCCGAACAGAAAAAAAACCACAAACCTTTGACATTTGTTTGCCAAAAGTTGAAAAAAAAACAGAAAAAACATTTCAATTTCAAATTTTCTTTATTTTTAGTTTATGAATTGAAAAAAAAAAAATTTAATCAAAATTCAAATTTTCAATATAATCATCATCAGGAATTTGATATTGTGGTTTTTGTTTTTTACAATCACCAAAACCATCACCACAACCACTAATTTGATATTGTGGTTTTTGTTTTTTACAATCACCAAAACCATCACCACAACCAGTAAGTTGATATTGTGGTTTTTGTTTTTTACAATCACCATAACCATCACCACAACCACTAAGTTGATATTGTGGTTTTTGTTTTTTACAATCACCATAACCATCACCACAGCCACTATTTTGATTAACATTTTGCCTACGATATCGGCAATTTGGACAATCATTCTTCCTTGGTGGTGGTGGTGGTGGTGATGATGATGATGGATAGATTCGATTGATATTTACATTCGATATTTTCAATTTTGGTTGCATTCGATAATCATTTCGTTGTTGTTGTTGTTGCTGTTGTTGTCGTCGTCGTTGTCGCATGATCCATTGTATCATTTGATACGTTAATCGTTTCATATATCTGGATTCATGATTTATGATTTTAATTTTGATTAAATCATTAGAATTACTTCCAGATACATATGGAGGTGGTGTTGGTGGTCTTTTTACTTTAAACGATATTATTTTTATCGGAAATGCTGCTGTTGCCGATGAATTTTCGATTTTTTCACCATTATCATTTCGATTCTTAGAAATTGTCGATTCTTTGTCAAATTTTATTGTAAAAGATCGATGATCATTATCATCATTCAGTGCCATAGCCATAGTGATCAATGATAATGACAAGAACATTAATACTAGTGGTGATGATCGTTTCATATTGGATAAAAATTGAAAAATCTTCCTGAAAAAGTAAAAAAAAGTCGTAAAGTCTGAAAAAAATCAAACAGTTTTATAACTGGGAAATTATCAATGAATTTTACCATTTAACGAATGTTTTTTTTGTCATGGATCGATTATAATCTGTGATATATTTTTTTGGTGACATTTATTTTGATAATAATCATCAATCAGGAACTTTGACATTTTTTCTCCAATCAATCAATCGATTGAGTGATTGATTGATGATGACTATGTTATCATAACAACGAATATTATATTGATTGATTATTTATTGATTTGTGAAAAACAAGAGAAAAAATAAACACAAAAAAACAGATTAACATAATAACAGATAAGTGAATGGAAAATTGGCTGATCATATTGGTTGTAAATATTGTTGTTGCATGATTCGAAACTATTTCGACTTGATTGTGATTATTTTTATTAATTATTGTGGGAATAGATATTTATTCCAAAATTTTTCACAACGATCACGATATTGATTTTCAATAACACCATTTTCAACGTTAATTGCCATTTGACGCATTGTTTCACCATCATCGCCAATGAATTCTGGCCATTCAACATCACCCATTTGTTCAGGATTACCAGTATGTGCAAATCGTGTCCAAGCACGGACAACATTTTCACTAATATGACGATCTTTATTAGTGAAAGCCAATTTAACAATATCTTTTCGTATGGGTAAACCAAATGTGAATGGTATATCCATGCCATGACATACACCCATCCATTTTTCACAGCCAACAAATACCATAAATGGTGAATGATGATCAAAACGGAATGAATAGAAACGATTACGGTTTGTAGCTGTCGAATTTTTAGCCATTGCCATTGCTAATGTTTGTCCAAATAGATAATTTGGACAGATCATAACTGGATCGGAAAGCATATCGATCATTCTACGTCTTAATGAATCAGTTTTTACCATGGCATGATGTTCATCTTTGAAATAATATTCGAATAATTCTTCTTCATGTCCATTGAATGAAAATTCTTTGATTATTGGAAATAATTTCTCTTTAATATGTTCACGTGTATATGATTTCAATGGATTTAATATTTCAAAATCCAATAGCATGAGTATTTCAGCAAGTTCATCGTGAACAAAACCAAACATAAGATCCACAGGATTATAATGGCCTTTTCGAATAATTTCTGATGGCCGACTTGGTACAACACCAGCTTTATCATTCCACATTACGATTGGTTGTTTACCTTCAAACATGGCTGGAAAATTCATACCATCACCTTTCCAAGTTAATTTTGATGGTGGTAATCGTTTCAAACATTCAACCATTTCATCAGCATCATCTTGATTACAGCCACATTTTCGTGAAAATATTTTTGTTTTTTCTAATGAATAGTCTGGTGAAAATTGTTTCAGTTCATTTAAAGCACCAGATTGCATTATAGCACGTTGAAATAAGCCTTTAGCCATTGGTGACATTATCAGCATCGAAACAAAAAATGAACCAGCTGATTCGCCAAAGACTGTCACTCGGTTTGGATCACCACCAAATTTTTCGATATTATCATGAACCCATCGCAATGCCATTATTACATCATGAACACCTTGATTACCTGGTGCCTCATCTGTACCACTATATAGGAAACCGAATGGACCTAAACGATAATTCATATCAACATAAACAACATCACCTAATGATGTAATAACTGAACCATCATATAGGAGACTGGCAACACCATCAATAGATCCAAGACTGAATCCACCACCATAGATCCATACCATAACTGGTTTCAATTTATCTTCACTGTCAATTGGTTGAACAACATTAAGATAAAGACAATCTTCTGAATGTTTAACAGTTGGATCTTCTTGTGGACATGCTTCACGTTGATAGGTGGCTTCATAAACTTCATCCCATGGTCCTTCGGCAACGGAATGAGCAAAACGATTAGCCTTTGCATAACGAATCGATAGATATGTGTGCAATTCACGTCCATGTAAACCGGTTTTGCAAAGACCACGAACACGGCCACCATTTTTCAATTCAACCAATGGTTCACTAGTACAAACTTGATGTTCATCATTATCATCAGCATTTGAATGTTTTGGTAATGAATTAATGGTAGCTGGAAGTAGAATTGTGGCCATTACAGCCATAACGATGAAAAATTTTGTCATTTTTTTCGCTTTATTGTTGATTTGAATCACAAATTTATAATTTTCTATGTTGATTTTTTTTCCTGGTTATTTGCTGACTTTCAATCACAAGAAAAAAAAATGAATTAAGCAAATAACTTATGAGACAATCGGTGACTATTGTCGGATATATTTATATGATGAATTTTTTTTTTAAATTTTTATCACCAACTGGCTTTTTTAAATTGTCACAAAATAATAAATTACCCTCATTATTTATTGATTGGTTGTTTTGCAAAATGGAAAAAAACTCAAAATGAACCAGGATTTTGGATTATGATCGATAAAACATAGTCAATGGTTTATCCATTAATAATAATGAAGATTAGTGTAAAATTCTTTCATTTTGATCATTTTTTTTTCTTAATTTGGGTACATCATCATCAATCGATGACTTTTGATTGCATTTCATTAAATTGGAATTTCTCTTTATATTGTAATTAGAGTTTGAATGGCCGAAAAGATTAAATAATGCGCAATTTGTGTTAATATATCAATCAATCAAACAATCAATCAAAAAGAAATCAACTAATCAACTACTGTGGATTATCACATTATCGATTGATTGATTCAACCTTGAGAAAATGCGTGCGTGCGTGCTTGTGTGAGTACCTCGCTTGTTGGAACCATTCATTCCAATGGGTCAAAAATCATCTTTTTGGTTTAATTTAATGAAAATTTTATCATCATTTGGTTTAAAATTTTATTTTTTTTTTTAATATCATCAAAAAATATATGCAAATGTTTGATACAAATGTTTTTTGTTTTGTTTTCGGTGCTGAGTGAGTGATGTAGACAAAAAAAAAGACAATGACCAAATGGATTTGAGTGAATGCGATCAGGTGTACAGGAGAGATTATTATCATTATGTTTTTTTCGTCAGTTTTAAATTTTTTCAATCATGAATCAATCAAGGTTTCGTTTTTAATATCTAAAAACAAAAGAATCAAAAAAAATATTAACCCATTTGATAATTTTCATTTAAAAAATTAATTGTATTTACTTACCCGCCGCCATGTCCACCACCGTACCGTAACCACCACCACCACCACCACCATATTTTTCTTGGCCATATCCACCATGATAGCTTTCATAATGTGGAATTTTAACTGGATATGGTACTTTAACATAAACTGGATATGGAATTTTCACTGGAATCTTTACTGGTATAGCTATCGGTACTTTTACTGGCACTTCAATAGTTTTCACTTCTGGTTTTTGTTTGACCATAATTGGCATTGGTACATGGTATGGTACTTCTTTGATAATTTTCATCGGTACTGATACATGATGATGTACAACTTCTGGTTCATCTTTGCCTAATAAATCATCAAGCATATTGGCCATTGTTTGTTGTAGAATTATGGCCAATACTAATAATGATTGTAATTGATATATTCGATTGTTGAAATGCATTTTTTTTGGTTGTTTTTGTTTTTCGATCAATATGTTGATATTACAAAATGAAACACATGAACAAAACAAACGAATTGAATGGGATGATTTGAAATGGATGATTGAAGTGAAAATAAAAATCTTGAAGTTTATATACTATGTTTGTGTTTCCATCATTCAGCATTAAAAAAGGAAAAACATTTGAAGAAAGAAAAAAAAGGAAAAACAAACTGGATCCACAATTTATTAATGATGACGATAACGATGACGACGATGATGATGATAATGGCCGGCCCATATTAGAAAAAAAATTAGAACAAATTAAATCTGTCCGAAAAAAAGAAGTGAAAGAGAGAGAGAAATTTATTTACAACAATCCGAAAAAAAAATTTCTTACCATGTAATCATCAAATGTAATACAACAATGTCATCATGAGAAATGCCTCCAATTATGGTACACGAATGGATCATTAATGGGAAAAAAAATCGTGAATCATGAATGAAATAATGGAACGCACAAACACAAACACACACACACACAATGAAAACAGATTGATTTTTTGATTATCATCATTATCATCAGTGATTGTTGTTGTTGTTGTCTGAAAAATTATTTTTGCCATTGAAATGATACAGGCATACAATGTCAAGGCCAAAGATTGTTTGTCTGTTATTCAATTTTATTATTATTATTTAATCTCTCTTCGGTGGTGATTCCGGCGAAAACAAACAAAAATAAAAACACGGTCCATTATCAAATTGTATGGGCCAACCCATCACCATTTAGTATTAAAAAAAAAATCAAATTTCAATCGAATTTGATCCAATTTCAGCATTTTTCGTTGTTTTCAAATTATTGAATTTTTTTTTTTATTTGTTCTTGTTTCATTTTTGCTCGAGGCTCACAAAATAAAACTAGAAAATAAAGTGAAAAAAAACGAACACAAACGCGCGCGCGTTCCAATTTTCATCATTTGTTGTTTATCTTTATAATCAGTGAAAATGCAAATGGTGTGTGAATAGCCTGTGTGTGTGTGTGTGTGTGTAAATAGTTATTTTCGAACGTTCCAATAATCCTCCAATAATAATAACGAGTAAAAGGTCAAACATTTTAAATTTTTTTTTAAAAAACAAGAGATGAAAAAATTCTATCGATTTAATCAGAAAAATTGATGAAATCAATTTTTCAATTCCTCAACATCGAAACAGTTTTTTTTTTGTTTATTTCAAACAAAATTGTGAATTATGATCATCTTTGTGAAAAGTTTGATAATTATCAAGATCAAGATCAAGATACATTCATGTCCCAAATCATCATCAGCCATGACATTATAACATAGTTAAATTGTAAGTGTGTTTGTTAAATTCAAATAATGAGACAAATTATGATTTGTATTTTTTTTTTATTTTATTTTAAATTTAGAAATTTTAAAATGTAAATGTATAACCAACTTTATGCCAAAAACAAGATCTAAATATTGATGTATATTGTTCATATGATGGCTGGTCATGACAAAATGATTCAAATCTATTGATTGTTGATTGTTTCAATTCCATTGCATATGTATTGTTACAACCTCGTGCAACATCTATTTCACATTGTAATGTATACCATACGAAACAACAAAATCCAAGTGAATTAATATACTAAATAATTATTGTGGTGATATGGTATGTATAGACACGAAATGAGAAAATCAATAAATCGATAAAAAAAATCCAGAAATGAATCATTACTTACAAAATCATCGATTTTTGTACCATAATATCGTAGTGCTTTTATTTCACAATAATCAAATGCTTCTTTCTGTTCCATTGTACATTCAACGGGTGGCCCGTAAACAGGTTTATATGGATAACGTCCACAATCAATTTGATCAATAATCAGCATCATCGATAATATTACTATGGACAACATTTTTTATTCCGGTTTTTGGCAACCACCACCACCACCACAAAAGTGGTTTCTGTCTGGGCAATTTCAAGTAAGAATCAAATTTTTTTTTTGTTTGAAAAAATTTTTATTCAATTATTCTAATGATGATTGTTTTGTTTTAGTTTATTTGTTGTTGTTTAATTGAATGAATGAATTTAATTACATATTGCATCTTTTCCTAATCTAAAATAACGATATGGAATACTGGCCAAACCACCACTAACAGTTAAAAACCATCTCCATATAGTTGCCAATATTTCTGGACAACTATATTCGGTGATTAGAATCACTATAGTGCCTAAACCGCTCCAATACCAGAAATTTTTTGAATTTGCTGTATCAAACATGAAACATTTGGTAAAAAATTTATTCAAACGATATTCATCCAATGTTAAAATTGGTTGACAAAATGATCCAAAATCATTATTCATTTTATAATTTAAATGATATGCAAATGTTTCATTACATTCATGTGCCACAAGTAATTCACATTCACATTGTGCCCAAACAAAACAGCAAAATTTCTCTGTTATTTCATACTTGGATAAATTATTGAAAAAATCATAATCAAAATCAAAATCAACAAGAAAAAAACTTACAAATTCATCAACATAAATATTGAATCTTTGTTCCATTTGTTCTTGGCAATCATTAAATTTTCTTATATGTGATGGATTACATTCTTCGGGTAAACCATTACTATCTAATAATGATTTATATTGATATACACGACAAGAAATCTGATCAATCATCATCATCATCATCATCATCAATAGCCATAATATCCAGATTGAATTGAAGATTTTCATGATTCTGTTACATTGTAATTCTACTACTCTATTTGTGATTTTATATACATCCAAAATGGAATTTCGAATGCTGAGGAGGTAATAATTTCGAATTTTTTTTCTTTTGAAAAAAATATTTTTATTTAATTAATTTTTTGAATTTTGGATATTTTTTTTAGGACTGTTGATGCAAACAACAATCTATTCTCTAATGTCATGTAAATATCTTTCATAATTTACATGATAATTAACTAATGGATCCGGTTGTTTAAAACTAAGAAACATGCCAGTAACCTGTGTAAAGATACAAAATCCACACATTGGACCCATCCATATGCCGAAACCGATGGTCAATAAAATGGCAGCTATAATCACTCCACCAAATATCATTAAATCGGTGTTATTATAATAACAAAACCATGAAAATTGTCCATAACCATTTTGTTCACAAAACGGTTTAAACATGTCGATTGATGTTGCCTCCAATAACCTGGTGAAATTGGCCGCATTCGTATTGGATTTAACACAGACTTTAGCAATTTTAATTTCACATGATAATTGTTTCCAAACAAAACAACAAAATTTTTGTGATATTGTATACTATTAACCACCACCACCAGCATCCATCCATTCGTCGAGATAGAAAAAAATGTTCAACAAAAACACGTGATATATAAACAAACAGGAAGAAAAAAATACATCATACATACATAATCTTCAACTTTTGTTTTCCAATAATCAGCGGCAAATATTGTACAACTATAGAATAAATTTATTACTTCCAATTCTTTACATAAATGTTCAGGTAATTCTAATATTGGTTTATATGGATAAAATTTTAAAATACTTTCATCAGCACCGGCCACTATTTTAACAGCAATGGTCATCATCAACATAAATGTTGTTGTTGATTTTTTGAAGATAAACATATCAGCATTATTTTTTTTTTCAAAAAATTTTTTCTTTCTTTTTATATTCAATTTTCTAATTATTATTATTTATTCATTCATTCATTCATTTATTTTTATTATTATTATTACCACTACCACTACTATTGTTCTGGATAAATAATTTTCTTACCAACATTAATCATTTCAAATATTAGACCATCTGAATCTGGATGTGGTTCCCAATATTTTTCATTGAAAAATGTATTATAATATTGTGCACCAATATTATAGAAAAATAGACCAGTACAAAACAATGTAATTGGTCCCATTGGTGTTAAATAGGCAACAATAGCCAATATAACAATGGCAGCCAATGCAAGTATCCATGTTTGTTTGGTTGCAAAACAATAAATATCATCATATTTGATTGGTTTACAAAAATCGCCAAACATTTTTTTAGTTGCATTCATTAAATTATTACCATAATGGGATTTTTTTTTCGTACATCTTTCAACTATATATAATTCACATTTCAATTGTGACCAAACAAAACAACAAAAATCTGATGTTGACATATACTTTTGTGTATTTATAAATATATAAAAAAACAAGAATCAAAAATCAAAATTTATCAAATGTATAACACACATACTTACATAATCATCGACAGTGATACGCCAACGTTTTCTTTGTTCTTCTTCACAACGATCAAATTCAGCACGAAATGCTGGCTGTTGACAATCATTATCGGGTAAACCATATACAGGTTTATATGGATATAATTGTAATTGTTTATATATACTAATTGGTTTCGTATTGTTTACATGTTTCGATGCAAACGATCTGAGTTCAATCCATGCTTTAATTATGCTCATTACATCAATTGATTCAATACCATTTGGTAAAATTAAAATTGATAGTAAAATATATTTTGTAATGATGATGATAACATAAACAATAACAACAAAGACGATGATTGTGTTGAAATAGTCGCCATTCGATTAATCATGTTTTTTTGATAAATTTTCAATTTGTTCATGACTTTTATATGCAAAAAAAAACAAACAAAAAATGCTAATTTGATTTGAATGAATTTATTTTTATTTCCACATATATTCAATTAAATAATTTTGTTTCAATTAAACGCACCATATATGATTCTGAACAAGTATTATGAACAAATTGACCGATACAAAAAGCAAAAAAAGATACATTTGGAAGCATGATTACAACAGTTCCCATGGATAAAATGGATATTAATAAAAAATAACCAGCATATTGTTGATTCGAACAAAGCATATCATCATATTTGATTGGTTTACAAAAATCGCCAAACATTTTGATGGTTGTATTTTTCAATTGATCACTATAACGTAATGTGGATTTTTTTTTATTACATTTTTCAATCACTTTTAATTCACATGATAATTGTGACCAAACAAAACAACAAAATTCTTTTGTTGATATCAACTAGACCATATATATGTGTGTGTTTGGTGAAAAACAAACCAAAAAAAAAAAAATTAATCATACATAACACACACACAAAACACATTCACTTACATAATCATCGAGTTTAATATTCCAACGTTTTCTTTGTTGCTCTTCACAACGATTAAATTCAACACGAAATTCTGGTTGTAAACAATCATCATATGGTAAACCATATACTGGTTTATATGGATGTAATTGTAATTCTTTCAATAATTTTATTGTTTTTTTCGATTCAATTTTGGATGGAAAAAAAATTAAAAACGATAATAAAAGTAACAACAGCGACGACCACGACAACGATAATGATTGTGTTGTTGAAATAGTCGTCATTCGATTCATCACGGCTATATTGGTCATTTTGGTTTTCTCCATACATTGGTATTTAAAGTGGTTGGTTGTTTCGAATCAAACAAAATTGGTCAAATGTTTTTTTTTAATTAAATTTTTTTTTATTTATTAAAAATTTTACAAAAATGAATTGGACAACACACCCATTCACCCACCTACACATGCATGAATATCGAAGCAAAAAAAAAATTTTCATTTGTTTGTTAATTTGTTACCGGAAATTAAATTAAATTAGATTAAAACATTCATTTCGCTATAATCGATTTGGAATCGATAAATTTATTTTATTACCACTTAAATTATTTGTCATTTTCGTTGATGTCGATACTAACAATGGTTTTGTTGTCGCTGTTGTTGATGTCGATAATATACCCGATACAAATCGATTATAACGGATACCTTGTGATAATAATTCAAAATCACCAATAGGTTGATGATATTGACGATCCGGTAAACAGATTGCCATTAAAAATCCACGATCCATACCAGATTCTTGAAGATTTTCCACAGAAAATGTTGGATTATTCAATAGATTTTCTTTATTCATTCGTTTTAAACCAGATTCCAGGGCAAATGATGCACTTTGATCATATGTACGTAATGTACTACGTATAATGGTTATTTTGGTTTTTGTTGCTGAATTTTCCTGTTGCTGCTGCTGGTGTTGTGGACCAAATAATCGTCTTAATAATTGTTTCAGACCATAGATTACATTCGGTAAAATTGGTCCATTAAAATCCAGCGTTGTTATCGTTCGATTATTTGAATCCATTCCAATGTCGGAAGCAGCAGCGTTCACCGTTTTATGACGAACGATAATTGGACGTAAACATGCTCCATGAAATGCAACAGGTGCCAATATCGTCGGTGGAATACCAGCCAAAGGACCAGAAGTGGAAATACAAATCTTTCGTTGATTAATAAACAAACCTAACAATGATTGTAAATTTGCGATACCATTCACACGTATAAGACTTCGAACTTTGCCTTGAGCACTTTGATCTTCGATTTGTTTTTTTCTTCGATGTTTTTACCAGCACCACCACCACCATCCTCTGAACTTGTCATTAATCGACGTCTTCTTAATGATGATGTTTCCAAACTTGGAAAATCTTGTTGACTAAGTCCTAAACTTTCTAACCATAGATTCGAAGATTCTTCATCTTTTTCATCATTATCATTTATATCTTCATCATCATCATCATCATCGCTACTAAAATCTTCCATTTCAATACCTGAAGATGATGTAGATGTTTTGGAATTTTCATCATTTCGATTCCCAATGGTAGTCGATGATGATGATTGATTCATATCATAAAATGGCATTTCAAACGGGATTCCTTCTGTTTCAAGTAAACGTCTAAAACCAATCGTCGTTGGTGTGATTAATGCATGTGCATCATTTGCATTGGTTATGCCGGATGCACGAAATAATATGGTGAAATTATTGGCACAAAGATAAAAATATGGACAATATTTTGTTTTTAGTAATTTAAATAATGAATGAAGAGCTATACAAAAATCTGAATATAATGAATCAGCAATTGAACCTGTTGGTGATATTTGAAACATTGGCGGTTTCATTGATGATACATGAGAGCCTGGTTTCAATTCTGGTTGTCGTGGAAATAGACGCATCCATGATAAATGTGGATATTGCCATACTAAACAATTACGTTGAAGTTCAGAACAGAAATTCTGTTCCGTTTTTGTAGAATCAATAATACTATTATCAATCATTGATTGTTGATCATTATTATTGTTTGATGTACCACGAACAAATTGATTTAAACCATTAGATTCATCTAATGAATTAAATGTACCATTAAATGGTATTGAACGATTAAAAACAATTTTCATTCGTGTTTTAGACTCCAATCAATTTGTGGTGAACATAATGGATAAAAATCCGAAACAATAACATTCTTCTGTTGATGTTGTTGAAATGAAGGAAATGATATCTGTGCATTTTCATCATTGAAATCCAATACACGTGTGAATGTATTTTTCTTATTATTTCCATTCGATACCTGTGATAATGAACGTCGAACAACCGGGAATGAAATCTGTGAATTATTATTACTACAACGCCGTGGTGAACGCAATAATTTTTTCATCAATGGTGAAAAAGTTCTTTGTTTTGGTGATTTAGTTGATGATGATGATGATGAGGACGAATTGTTGTTGGTGGTAGATTGCTGTTGTAAACATTTTAATGGTGAATAAATTTTCTCCACTGTTTCAATTGGTAATTTACATCTTCGTAAAGCAGCTGTAGCTTTGCTTGGTGAAAAATTTTTCTTTACATTTGTATTCCGTTGCTGTTGCAATCGTCGACGAAATAATTCTGATGGTTTCATAAATTTTGGTGATGATCGTGGCGATGATGATGAATCGGATCGTGGACGTTTTTTTGTCGGTGTTTTCAATGGAGATTTGTCCATGTTTTTTATTCAGAAATTTCTATTGCAAAACAAAAAAAAAAATTCAGAAAATCATAAAATGGCTATTCTCAGCATATTCTACTTACTCAAACATCAATAAATAAATGAGATCAATTTTGGCTAGATGATCCAGAGAATCAAACTAGGATTCTTTGGATCACTTTGAATGACCACAGCTGAGAAAGCAAGGGGTCAGAAAACTTGTCGAATAAATTTTTGGAGCGCGCTCAAACACACACACACACACACACGAAACTGCTCACACACACAAGTACAGAAAAAAAAACCGTTGATATTCATTTATACGCATGCGCAGTGATTTTATTGCCATCACTTAACCATAAACAGTTGGCTAGCGGTATAAATAAATGAGTGTGTGTGTGTGTGTGTGTGTATGAAACGGCAAATGTAAAAATTCAAATCAATTTTTGAACGAAAAAAATGGCGCCAAAAAAAAACATTCGAAAATTATTTTATTGAAAAAAAAAAAAAAAATCCAAGATAAAATCGACGATATGAACTGAAATTTGATATATTTTTTTTATCGATCATTTTGATAAATCAATAAAACAAACAAACAACGCAAACACACACACATGTTCATTATCATATCATACGAATCAGAATCATTTTTTTTTTGTAACTTTCACCATTTTTCCCTTTTTTGGTCAGGCTACAAAAGAAAAAAAAGGGGAAAAAAATTTTGCTGAAACAACTACAACGCACAGCATACATTGATTGATGATATGATCAATTTCGATGGATGATAATGTTGATGATTTCAAAAAAAAAAAAAAAAAAATAAAAAAAATTATTAAAAATATCCAATTACACAGGATGAATGATTGATAAAAAAATTCATTTTTCAACAAGAAAAACATTACCATCATATATTTGCACATTTTTCGACGAAAGAAAAAAGGCCCATGGTCATGTTATTTTTTCGAAAATTCAAAAACATTTCATTTACAAATTGTGGTAAAATGATGGCCAATAAATCTACTACTTTGGAATCGACAAAAATCATCATCATCATCATCATCATCGTCATCGTCATCAACAAAATCTGTGCATTGGATTTATCAAAATTCTGGTTATTCACAATATTCTGGCTGATTATCGTTATGATTATTGTGATTATAAGCACATCGTTTTATGTTTATTATGGTATTCAAGAAAAAATGATGATTCCACCACCATTGCCACCACAGCGATTGAATGGCTATTTTTTGGTGATGATAAAAATTGTACAACAACAACAACAACAAATCTCAATCATCAACAACAACAACAACAACAACATAGTGGTACGAAATCAAAACAAAAAGATGGACGTTGGGCATTAATGTTTGATGAATTTGTTGAATCAATCAAATGTTTGGGCAATTTGATTGAAGATTCAAGGCAAAGTATGTGATTGGAAAATTGGAAATTGGCCCAAAAAAAAAAAAAAATTTAATTTTTTTTTCTCATCAAACCCAAACCCAAACCCCTCTCCCCAAAAAAATATATGCAGATCAAGCTGAATCATGTTGTCGTTATGATGCATTCAAACAGGTGCTTGTTGAACGTGCAATCATACGCTGTCCAAGGCTAGAATCGGAACCAGAAAAAATTTTACATCTATTCACACCATTAAATCGTTATATGAATCATAAATGTAAAGATGTTGATACCGATACATTTGCATGTCAAATGATGTCATTGGTCATGACGAATTGATGATTTTTGATTATCGAAATTTTTTTTTTCATTCCATCCATTTATTTATTTGTTTTGAATGATGGTCCTTTCACAAACAATGTGTGTAATATTTGACTTTTTTTTTGATCAAAAATTTGTGCGAAAAAAAGTAATAAAAAAAAATTGAAAACAAATGTATCCATTTCACTGGTGATTAGAAGGATAATGTACGTTTTTTTTCATTTCTGTGTTGTTGGAACAAATATTTGTCGACACAAACAAAATTCAACAATTTTTGTTTGTTTGAAATTGAAATTTGACCCAAGAAATCCTATGATTTTTTTTATGTAATACACCGACTATTCCGATGAAGAAATTTGATCATCAAACATTTCGTCATGTTTATCAGGTTTTTTGTTTTGTTTTTGTCAATCAAGTTCAAAGTATCATTTTGGATCAGGATATTTCCGTGGTATTTTCGTTTTTTTTTCGAGTCAACAATTTTTTTTTGATCCATTAATCGTGACACATCAATAGCCCGATAACAAATCAAATACAAATCAACTGTGCTGAGTACGACCAACCAACCAACCTATAGCAACCACAATGGTGGCAATAGTGTTTTCGAATGTTTTAGTTGGCTGGACAAATGAATGAAAAAAAAACATTCGAATTTGAGAAAAAAAAATCATCATCAATTGTCGTCGTCGTCGTCATCGTTCAATGTCAATCAAAACGGTAATCATAATTCACTTTGAAAGGAAAACAAAACATTTTTTTTTCTCGTTCGTTGGCAAATATTTATGCATCATTGTCGTCGTGGTCCGAACTGGCTAAAACACTAATTATTCAAATTGTTTCGTCCATTTTTTTCCTCGTTCATCATCATTCATTTTATTATATATACCTATAGTATGGTTTTCACATGTAAGTTTTTTAAAAGGAAATTGTAATGAATTTTTGTTTTCAAAATTCTTTCATTTCATTGATGATGTGATTAGGTAATTGAGATGAACTATCTGGCAAATGAACAAACAAACAAACAAACACAGTGGTTTTTTTTTCTTTTTTATTTCATCAATCAATTTTTTTCTAAATGATCATTCAATACAATTGAAGAGATTGGTATAATGTGGAAAAAATCAATATACACTGTGCTCATTGATGATTATATCCATGGTGATAATCAAATCAAATTATCATCATTGATATTAATCAACATACAAACATCAGCCACAAATTTTTAAATGTCAACATTTGAGCATATCAACAGTCTAATTTATTTTTTTTTTTCTTGTTTAAAATAGCAACCAGTGTGTTTGCCTGTGTGTGTGTGTGTGTATGTGTGGATAAGGTGTTTTGTTTTGTTTGATTTTTATCAATTATTTCTTGTGGAAAGTATTATATCTCGTCGTGTATTATGTTCAGATTTTTTTTTTGTTGTTGGATAGTGAACTTTTTTTTTTTGATTTTCAATCATCATTTTAAAGAAATGCCAACAACAACAGCAACCACATGTGTGATCTGAATGATGTGAAATTTGATACCATACATTGAATGTCGGTATATCGGTTTTTTTTGTTGTCGTTGTTGATTTAAATCAGATTCTTTGAAATCATAAATAAACAAACAAACCAGTGATTCTTTTCTTGATTTTGATCCCAAAATCAAAAGTTTTTGTCTTCAATCATAATCATCATTCTGCTGATGCAATTAAATTTTTTTTTCTTCACACAAGGTTCATGTAATCAGTGGTTTTTTTTATAATTCTGAATAACATCTCGAATTTCACATTCGAATATTTTTGTGATTTCATCAAACAAGAACAAGTAAATCATTTCAAATCACTGAAATCAATTTTTAATCATTATCATTTTTTTTTGTAATATTTAGCTGATATTAATCTTTTTTTTTCTTGTTACAGGCGTCATCTTGACTATTACTAAAAAATACATCGGGTGTTGTATGGTGGTGGTGGTGGTGGTGGTATTGATTCTCTATTGATTTATTGAAAATTTATACACTAACTCACTCTTATCATCATTGCATATATATATTTCTTATATTTCCATTATCCAAAAATGATAACATCATTGTCATATGAACAAATGAATGGATGATGAATACTGCACATTAACAAATCAATAGAAAGTTTTCGATATAGATAGATAGATGGCAAGAAATCATCATCATACTTAAATATATTCCAACAATCATCAAATAGATAAGATTGTAAATCATCCAACATTTACAATCCACACACATAGCAGACTACCAGTACGGTTGGGACCCAAAACAATATTATTGCAAAGAACAAAGAAAATCTGTTGATTGGATTGTTTGAAAAGAGCAAAAAAGAAAATTATTTGGCAAAAAATTGACAAAAAAAATCAAATTTTCTATTCATTACAGTTCATTCTGATTTTATATATATAATAACATTTACAAATTAACAAGAGTTGTTCATTTGCAACGTATAGAAAAATGTCAAGAATTATTCCAAATCAACAATCATCAATTTTCATCATTATTTCATTGTTTTTGTTGTTGGCTTTATCATCAATAACCGAAGCCAAACAAAAAGATGGAAAATTTGCCACAATATTGGATGAATATCATTCAACAATTAAATGTGTGATAAATATTGCTGAAGAAACCATTCCAGGTATGTTCTTCTCGAGATGATATAATGATGATGATGTTAATTGATATTTTCTATTTTTATATTATGAATCAAGAATTGGATGATTATGTTGCATGTTGTGGATTTTGGGCCATAAATGATTGGCTACAGAATAAGGTAAGCGAAGAATGTGAAGAAGATAACGTGAAACAAGTACAACATATTAGTGGCCTGGTTGAACCACAAATTCGTCAACATTGTACAGCATATGAACGTGGATCATTCACATGTCGAATGTTGATCATAATGCCAATCGTGATGGTCGTTTTGTTTATATTGTTTGTCATTTCATTCTGTATTTGTGCACATGTATCGTTATTTAAATGGATCCAAGTACGACGTAAATATCGTCGTGTTGTAAATCTTAATCTACAATCTGATGAACCATTTGTATCGGCAAAAATGATGAATGAAAAAACCAAAGGCAATGGACAGACAATGAACAGCAGTAGCAATGATTATGGTCATCATCATCATCAATCATCACGATTTAAAAATCAACCATAGAAAAAAAAACGAAAAAAATGCATGTTTTATGTTTTTTTTTCGATTGTAAATAATTATTAGCTTAATTTAATTTTTATTAGGCTCAAATATAAATTTTTGGAATAAAATTTTTCAAAATGAATAAATAAGAACCGTAATGTTTGCGCATATATATGATTTATATCGAATCTGTAATCTAATAATTTGATTTTAATCAAATTTGGTTGCATCAAAATTAAAAGCCGATGGTAGTTGTGAAACATTTGATGTTATTTGTGTCACAAACTTGCCTCTACCATAGGTTAATGTAATTGGTTGTTCCGTCATATTTTGCTGTTGTTGTTGTGGTACCATCGATGATGATGATGGTGATTTTCCCGAAATTTTACTTATGGTTTTTTTTGATGGGCTGGTGATTTTGAGTTTCGATCCTGGTTTACCTCCCACCGTCGTCGTTGATCGTTTTGGTGATAATGATGATGGTGGTGAATTTCCGAAAATTTTACTCTTTATGATTTTTTTTGGTTTCGTTCGTCTAAATAATTTTCGATATCGTTGTTTACCTGTTGGTGGTTCTTCTGGTATTGTCGACAATGATGGTTTCCATCCACGTATTTCCGGTACATGATGTCTATTAATTTTGCTATAAATCGATAGCTCTATCTGTTTTAATGGCTCCTTCACTTTTGGTACTTTCGGTAATACTGGATTCCAATTTAGCGGAATTTCAGGTAATGATAAAAATTCTTCATATTCAGCTTCTGTCAACATTCTTGGTTGATCGGATTCGGAAAATTGTGGAATTGTTTCAGGAACAGATTCTAAGGCTGTAGTCATCGGCGGTGATAGAGGCCTAGCCATCATTTCCACCGTTGGTTCAACAATTGTTGTCGCATGCGGTGATGGCGGCCTAGGCACCATTTCCACCGTTGGTTCAACAATTGTTGTCGCATGCGGCGATGGCGGCCTAGGCACCATTTCCACCGTTGGTTCAACAATTGTTGTCGCATGCGGTGATGGCGGCCTAGGCACCATTTCCACTGTTGGTTCAACAATTGTTGTCGCATGCGGCGATGGCGGCCTAGCCACCATTTCCACCGTTGGTTCAACAATTGTTGTCGCATGCGGCGATGGCGGCCTAGGCATCATTTTCACCGTTGGTTCAACAATTGTTGTCGCATGCGGCGATGGCGGCCTAGGCACCATTTCCACCGTTGGTTTCACCAATGTTGCCGCCGATGTTGTTGGTTTTGGAATATTCTCAATGGTATTTGTACTATATAAAGTTTGTTTCAAACTAAATGTGACCAATGACAGAATAATATAATTTAAAAAATCAATTTGAATTTTCATTCTTACGTCGTTCCATGAACACTTTCCGCTCCTCCTACAGTGGTGATTGTTGGTTTGACAATTGTTGCCGATGGCGGCCTAGCCACCACCATTTCCACCATCGGTTTCACCACTGTTTTCGTCGATGATGTTAGTTTTGGAATATTCTCCATTCTATGCAAAGTTGGTTTCAAACTAAATTTGACCAGCAGCACAACAGAATAATAAAACAGATGAAAATCAATTTCATTTTTTTTTTTTTTGCTATTCTTACGTCGTCGTTCCATGAACACCTTTCGTTCCTAGTTCTATTACGGTGGTGGGCATTGCTGTTTTCGTTATTACCGGCGGCTTAGCTACTATATTCATCGCTGTTGTTGTTGGTTCAACAACTGTCGTCGTCGTCGTCGATGATGATGGTGGTGGTGGTGGTGGTAGTTGTTTTAACGTTTTGACAGGAAAACCGATTTTTTCCAGATTTTTTCCACCCACTATATTACTACTATTAAAACGTTTTGTTATACATCCAATTATACAACCAACAATCATCATCAGGATAAGAGCAATTGCAACAATAATACAAATGTCTTTTCTATCTTCGGTAAACCAACAGAAAAAACTTGAACGGCCAAAACTTTTTGATTGACAAATTTGTTCAAACATTTGTAATGTTTTCTGTTCAATCAATTCACTATATTGTTGTTGTTGACATTTTCTTGCCACCGGTATTTCACATTCCATTTGTTGCCACACAAAACAGCAGAATTTTTGTGTTGGATAAAACTAATGATGATGAAGAAATCAATTTGTTGAAAGAATATATCATACATACACACACATAGACACAATTCTTACATATTCATCCAATGTAATTAGCCACGATTGTTTTGCATAATTTTCACATTCATAAAATTCTTTCCGTAATTCATGTGCACAATTCAAATGATCAGGTAAACCATATATTGGTTTGTATGGAAATCCAGTCATATTAGTGGCCACAGAATAATCACCACCAACATGTATAACAATTGGAATTTGATGCATAGCCACCATCATTAAGGTATTAAACATTAGCCATAATAATATTGTGGTAGACATGGTTTCAAAAAAAAAAAAAAAAAAAAAATTTTGACATTTTTTTCCATACTAAAATCCACAAGAATTTATACATGTTGTGAGAATGAAAAAAAAATTTGTTTTTTTTTAATTTTAATTAAATTTAGCCGTTTTTTTAAAATTTTGTTCGTAAGTAGGGTACCGGTGGTCTGTAATTTATACACAAAAATGTAATAATTTGATTTTATGATTGTCTTCGTGTTCTTATAATGTCTACATTGGCCAATGATGATAACGATGATGTTGAATGTGATGGCATTGATGATGATGATGATGGTGGTGGTGGTGGTTGTTGTTGTTGTAAATCTCTTGCAATCATTCGCATAACATCCATTAATATCATCTGATCAATGGTTACATTATTGGATTTTAATGATGATGATGATGATGATTGTAAATGATGAAATTTTGGCACCAATGATGATGCTGATGATTGTAATATCTGTAATGGTTTAGAATCAGAATCCAAATCATCCGTATCGTCATTTTGTGTTGTGAAACCATTTGAATACTGAGAATTAAAAAAAAACAAAATATTTCACATTTAGATATTATTCATTCATTCATATCCATAATCAACATACCTCAAGTGAAGAAAATACTTTACGATCAACAAAACTATTTGATGGTCTCTCTAAATTATGATCATGACCATGAGTATGATTAAATTGTTTCAATAATAATGGTGGTGTCATTGTAGTCATCATTGGTAATTGTTGTGGTGGTGCCATAGTAGTAGTCGATGTTGTCGTAGTGGTCATCGTTGTAGCCGTTGTCGTGGTCATTGAATCAACTGGACGAATACGCAGAATATCTTCGCTACCGAAACCGATATCCGGTAATAAAAGATGACCATTATTATTGAATTTATTCCTTGATTTTGATTTCATTGTCAATGATGGCCATGCTATACGTTGATTATATTTATTTTGGCCATTAGAAGTTACAATCGGTACAAATCCACCAGATTGTAGTAACACAGATTTTGATGGCGATTGATTCGAAATAGACATTGATGATTTTATCGGTTTCATCGTTGTGGTCGTCGTCGTTGTTGCTGTTGTTGATGATGATGATGATGATGCAGATGATTTTCGTACCGGTGATAATGATTGTGGACGATATAATTTTGCTTGTGAAGTACTAATTGTCGTACGAACATTATTATTATTATTATTATTATTATTATTGGGAAATCGAACACCAAATTTTTTCATTACAAGATTTGGATTTGTTGATGATTGATGAAAATTCAGAAATGGTGAATTGTATGGATTGGCAACACCAGGTGGCAATACTGGCACTGATATTGGAAATGTCATTCGATGATTGGAATCATAATTACTACCACCACCAACAACACCATTTTTGCTATTTTCCATGAATGGATCGAATAAATTATCAAAATTTTGCAACATAAATGTTCCAGGTGATGCAACAGCAGCCGATGACATTAATGGACTTATATTATTGGTACGTTCAATTTCAAAATCTGGAACAGCCATCTGTGGAATAGAAGCCGGGTATACGACATTGAATTTTGGACGAAGTTTTAAAATTGGTGAAGAACTTCGCAATGGTTTCATGTTGGTGGCCGTAGCGATCGGTTTTGTTGATTGAAACATAAGATTTTGTAATCGATTTTTCACTGGTTTAATTATCATTGTAGCACCTGACATATCAGCTTTTGCTTTTGGCAAAATAATATGATCAACCAATGGTAGAGCAACTTGAACTCTAGATGGTGATGATGAACTAGAAGCTAATGGCATCGATTTCGATTCTGATGTTGTTGGTTCATTTGGACATCGATCTACAATGTGAATCTTCCAACCCATAAATCGATGAAGATAACATTGATAATAAATAAGATCAGGTGTATTTTGATCCGGTGTGAATTGAAGACGAGCAGATTGACCTTCAGTATCACAATCAAGAGCAAGAGTTTTTCGAAAATCTTCAAATGTTGGATACGTATTATCAATATCATTGATATTTGTTTCCGATGTAAGGTGCCATTTACAGCTACGACCTTCTGCTATTGGATATATTGTACCGTTCGGTGTGATACCAACACCAGCCATTACACGTTCCATTCGTCGTTCATCGGGTGTTTTATATTCAAATCCACCTTCATCACTGGTAGTCAGATAAAGTGGATGTCTTCGGGCATTATTTTCATGATCATTACCGCCTTCCACCCAGAAAGTATATGTAGTTCCACGTTTCAATACCAATTCAGGTATCATCAATCCATTAATATACCAGGCAACACCCCAACCTTTATGGCCGGTTCTTGCTTGATAACCACGTTTTGGTCCACCTACTGGACCCATTTGTGCCCAAAGAATACCATCCTTTGGACATATAATTTTCGGTATTGTCCATGGTTTTAATTGCACATTTGTAGATTCATGTCGAGTTGTGTCTACAGTTGTTGCATTCAAAACGGATAATGGTGATAGAGTAGCAGAAGTTGTAAACGAATCAGCCGTTGTAACATTGGATGATTCCGATATCATTCTTGCATCTCTCGTATGACTCGCTGATGATGATGTTTGATTGGAATTTGATGCAGCAGCAATCAACTGTTGCCATTTACGTTGTTGCATTAATGCCTGATCTGGACTTGGACAATTCCATTTTGGTGAACGAGCAAAATCTAAATATCGATTACCATATTGGTGATTAGTATGATATGATAATTCATTACGAGAATTCAATGGTCCATATGCCCATATAATAGCTTGTTGACCATCGGAATAAATGTGTTGATCAAGTCGTTCATCTACACCAAGCTGTGGCCGTTTAACGGTAATCATACGAAATCCATTAATAACTGCTGCATGTAATAATGTAATACTGTCAGTGGCACCTGGATGATTCAAGTCCGGACAAACACCATGTTGTCCAACACATGGTTCTTTGGCACTGATATAATAATCTTTAGCATGTCCTTTACCGGATGCATCGATCCAGGCAACTAAAGCATCGGCACCAATCATCAATGATCGACTATCATCACGTGGCCAACCTATCGACATGTATTCATTGGGTAACATACGACCAACTAATTGTATGACAATATCATCTCCATCCAGGATCCAACGCATTTCGAAACCACGAAGATCATCGAAAACTTCACAATTCAATTTAGCTTCTGGTTTCAAACCTAACATTGCCGGCGATGGTGGTACACGTACATGTTGTGGTATATGAACATGACCAAAATCCACCTGAAAATCTTCACACCAAATGCCTAACCAATCAAAATCGTAGACGGTTTTTGTATCTGGTAACATTAACATGACAGTTTCACCATGATAAGCACGTAATGGCCGTACAGATCCTTTTTCATCTTTCAACCGTAAACCTTGTGGTGATTGACGTGGTCCACGAGTTGCCCACCAATAGGCTGCTGGACCAAGGCCGTCATACCAAAAATTCGGTATCAATATGGTTTGTGCATCAACAATGGTTATCGGTGATGAACGAACTCCGTGTGCTAATGTATTCAGGCCAGGCAGTTCTAATGGTCGCGGTAGATCCACATCTACTGGTATGGTTACATGACCCATTGATAGATGATTATTTCGATTCCATACGGAAAACCAACGTATCTCTCGAATTGTACGACCATCAGGCAGTTTAAGAATCAAATCTTTATTCTGATAATTGCCCAATTGATTGTAACTAAATTAAAAAAAATATTAATTTTAAGAAATCGATTACAATCAACAGAACAGAAAAAAAATTATCAATCATTACATACGTTCCTTTATCATCGGCAACAGTAAAACCGGTACCATCAGGTAAAAGTGTTGATCCAGCTTGAAAATAACTATATGGATTACGTGTACCATCAAAATTGAAACCTTTGATAAATATGGTATTCTCATCCGATGCATATACATGACCTGTGGCAGCACCAGGCGATAATGGTCCTAATGGTGTACCATAATATTTATCTGTTACCAATTGGCCACCATTATTTGATGATGATTGACAATGGACAACTAGAAATTCATAAAAAAAAAATTTATAAAAAACTCAGTATCATCAGAATAGTTAAATGGTCTAGTTTAGTATAGTTAATAAAATTTCTCAAAATGTCCTTGGTATATAGTCTCATTTGGAACAAATGTGATGGACATGATGAAATATTATTATTATAAAAACAAAAAAATAGATGATGATGATAATTGTCATAATCATCATCATCATCATTATCATCATCCATTTTAATCACCCAAATTATCATAATCATCATAATGATAATTGTTATTCGAATGAATTAAAAATGGTCCACAACCATTGTATTTAGATAACCACTACTAAAGAAGATTCTGTATATATAAAAATAAAACGCACACACACACAACAAAACCAAAAAAAACATATGAAGCAATTTCCGATGAAAAAACCCAAAAAAGTGTTGCATATATTTTTACCATTATTATTGATGAATACGCCCATAAAATGGAAATAGATTAATAATAACGATAATACAGATGATGATGATAATGGCAACGGTGGTGGTGGTGGTGGTGGCCACAAACAAAACTTTTGTTTTTGTTTTTGTTGTCCATAAATTATTGTTGTTGTTGTTGTTGTTGTTGTTTGTCTTTTATTCATATTTTTGATGATTATTTGTATGATGATTGATATAACAGAAACAATTGACAATAACAATGGTTTTTGATGATTGAATGTAATCGATAACGATGATGATGATGATCTAATGGATGTGGAAATGGATTTTAATGGTTTCATTGTTACTAAATTCAACAATAATAATAAAGATGATGATGATGATGATGATGATAAATGATTGTCCATTTGTCGTTGTGGTCGTCGTCGTAGTGTTTTTTTTTATTGTTTTTGCTGTATATAGATTATCATGTCAGCATCATCCGAATCTCATCATTTCGGTTTGATGATGATGATGATTATTATTTTGATGTCTCATTTATTAATGAATTTTCGAATAAAAGAGAAATCGATACTATTTTCATTTGAAAAATTTCCCAATGTTTCCCAGGGTTTCTTTTCAATGATGACGTTATGATGGCGATATGTAAACAATTGTCTCTTGGATATTTTCACAATTTTTCCGTTATTTTTGTTTTCAATTTTGTTGATAATAATCTCCCACCATCATTGACACACACAGGTTAATGATGTTATATCACAAATCAACACGAACCAACAAAAAAAAGTGTTTAATTTTCTCACTCTATTGTCGTTGATCGTTGAGCACAACAACAACAAATTTTCTTTACTTTTTCATCATCAAATTCACTTCCTATGTTTTTGTTCATTAATGATGATGATGATGATGATGGTGGTGGTGGTGATAAATATCGTTTAAATTAATTGAATTCCATCATCATTATTATAGATTGCGATTCAATTGTTTCCATTCAAATTATAATGGTGATTGAACAGAAACAAATGGTGGTTATATCGACCAAAAAATAAACAGTAGCGTGTCTGTTTCGTAGGTCGATTGTTGTCATTTTATATTCATAATAATAACCATATATGAATTTAATGACGACGATGATTATGATGATGATGAAAAGAAATCCAGGAAATCTTAAAAAGTAAACAAAACAAAACGAAAGAAAAAAAATGAAAACACAGGTGTAATTATATTAATATAATGGATTCAAATTGTTTAAATTTCATCTTTTTTTTCCTGTATAAATAAATAAATTTAAAAAAATGAAAATGAAATTATCACCTGATGATGAATGACAAACACAAAGCAAAATGGATCAAAATAGTTGTTGAAATGATTTTAGGCAAGCAATAGGTGACAATAGTCAAATTCGAATGATGATCATGATGATAAACAACAACGACAAGAAACACACTAGATCACTAGAATGATCACAATGAACTAAATGATCCATCAAACAGAAAAAAAATCACTACAGTGATCATCATTCATTCATTACTTCTTCATTTTACAGATTTTTTCTCTCTCTCTCACAATGTGTCTTCTTTTTTTCACGTAAATCCTAAATAGAAATTATCCAAATCCATGCCATCATAAACAGTTGTGTGATTGAAACCAGCTTCTCTTTATTCATTAGATTTTCATTCATAATCTTTCTCTTTCGTTTCGGCCATGTTTTACAATCCTTCAATTTTTATGATTCAGAAAAAAAACAAAGTACAGTACACACACACACAAAAAAATTGAAATGTAATGAATACGAATGTGAGAACTGACGATACAAATCAATTCATTTCAAGTAATGTTTTTGTTTTTTTTTCTTTTGCTGTTCCAAATTTGATTGATTGAAATTTTAAATTACAACAAAAAAAATTCTTTTGATGATAATTATCATAAAAGTGAATGGCGAATATATTGCGATTATGAGAAAAAAAACAATCGATTGTTTTGAGGATAATGAAAACATTCGAATTTTTTTGTTAAATCTAAAGCCGGTATGCATGAATGAATGAATGAATGACTGGACAATCAATTATCATTTTTTTTCTTCTTTTTTTCGAAGGCTTTTTGTACTTGACCCCAATTTATCATCATCATCATCAAGATCAACAAAAACCACACGGTTTTGTCTAAGTGAAAAACAACAACAACAACAATCATAATATAGTAACGTGAGATGAAGATCTTTATAATACGAATGAACAACATGAATAATTTGTATATATGAATGAATAATTTATCATTTAAAGCTTAATATTAACATTTCTGTTATAGTTTTGTTGTTACAGATCGTTGAACATGGTGTGCCGGATGGATTCACTGTAATTCGTGTGTGTGTGTGTTTGAAGGGTTAAAAAATCAGAAAAACTGAAAAAACGAGGTTCATGATTCGATAATAAGTGGGCAGATTATTTAATTCATCGAACCCTTTGATTCATTTTGTCAAATGCATGAAATGATGATGATGATGAAAGTTTTCATGATTAAATATCGGATGATCAAAAATGAAAAAAAATGACAAGATTGAAAAATGTCAATGGCAGACCAGTATATGAATATAAATTATCTGAAGCGGAAGAAATTGAAACAACAACAACAACAACGACGATGACCAGAAAAATTAAATTAAATTTGTTTGAACAAGACAAAATTCAACACACAAAACATCATCCGATTTATTGATGATCATCATTGAAAAATGAAAAAAAAACATTTGAAAATCTAAAAATAGAAATGAAAAACAAGATTTAATCATCGAAAATCTTTTCAGTTACTCAATGTGTAAGTGTGTGTGTGTGTTGTTGTTTTCAAGATAACTAGGTTGACCTTGTTCATCAATTGGTTTTTTTTTTTTCATCTGCCTGCTTGATGTTGTGGTGGTCAATGTTTTTTTTTTTACTGTTAAGCATGCTGCATGTTTGTTTAGACAATTATTATCAAAAACATCATTATTATTGGCTGATGTCCATTCATTTAAATTGACATTTTTCTACTTCTTCTTCTTCTGTCATGACAAATCACGATTTCTTTGCAAATACAATATGCGAAGAAACAAGAAAAAAAACCAGATAGATTCGAATCGAATCATTTGATTCACGATTCGATCGATTGATGATTTGATACGAAGAAAAAAAAATGGATGATGATGATGAACAAATTGGATTTTGTTAGGTTTTCTTTTCAACTTTTTAGAGAGGAAAAAAATTTTTTTTTTCACAAGTGAATGCTATGTGTGTGTGACATTTGATCATTTCTGGATGAAAATCAATTTTAATCAAATTTTAATCAAATCTGGCGAAAAGATAAGATCTACACACACACACAGTGTGGAAAAAAAATCGATGGAAACCTGCCACTACTACTACCACGACAACGACGACGACGACGACGATGAAATTTAAATTAAAAAAAAACAGTAACAAAAATCAGAAAAAATTTGGCCAATCCATCCACATTGTGTTTGATTCAAAATCGGTAAGTGGTAGAGGCAGATCACGAAATTAGCCCCGATCAAAAAAAAAAAGAAAAATTTTGTTCAAATCAACGATAATAATAATAATAATAATGGCTTGCCGGTAATAATAATTCGATTATCGATGAATAAACCGATAAATTGTATATCGAACAGAAATAAAAATAAAAAAATTGGCACAAACCTAGAATACCTGGTTTCAATGACCAACAAACAAAAATGTCATTCACCATGGCCAAAATGAAAATCACGAAATTAACCTTCGAAAATATGAAGCAAAAGAAAATTAATGGTAAAAAAAAAAAATAAATCTAATCCAAATAGATCCAGGTCGATTTTTCATAGTCTTGCAACAGCAGAAGCAGCAGCAGCAACAAATGACAATAAAGATAAGAATCTGAAATTTTGATGAAAATGAAAAACATTTGAAAATCTAAAAATAGAAATGAAAAACAAGATTTAATCATCGAAAATCTTTTCAGTTACTCAATGTGTAAGTGTGTGTGTGTGTTGTTGTTTTCAAGATAACTAGGTTGACCTTGTTCATCAATTGGTTTTCTTTTTTTTTCATCTGCCTGCTTGATGTTGTGGTGGTCAATGTTTTTTTTTACTGTTAAGCATGCTGCATGTTTGTTTAGACAATTATTATCAAAAACATCATTATTATTGGCTGATGTCCATTCATTTAAATTGACATTTTTCTACTTCTTCTTCTGTCATGACAAATCACGATTTCTTTGCAAATACAATATGCGAAGAAACAAGAAAAAAAACCAGATAGATTCGAATCGAATCATTTGATTCACGATTCGATCGATTGATGATTTGATACGAAGAAAAAAAAATGGATGATGATGATGAGCAAATTGGATTTTGTTAGGTTTTCTTTTCAACTTTTTAGAGAGGAAAAAAATTTTTTTTTCACAAGTGAATGCTATGAGTGTGTGTGTGACATTTGATCATTTCTGGATGAAAATCAATTTTAATCAAATTTTAATCAAATCTGGCGAAAAGATAAGATCTACACACACACAGAGTGGAAAAAAATCGATGGGAACCTATCACTACTACTACTACCACGACAACGACGACTATGAAATTTAAATTACAAAAAAAACAGTAACAAAAATCAAAAAAAAAAATTTGGCCAATCCATCCACATTGTGTTTGATTCAAAATCGGTAAGTGGTAGAGGCAGATCACGAAATTAGCCCCGATAAAAAAAAAGAAAAATTTTGTTCAAATCAACGATAATAATAATAATAATAATGGCTTGCCGGTAATAATAATTCGATTATCGATGAATAAACCGATAAATTGTATATCGAACCAAAATAAAAAAAAAAGTGGCACAAACCTAGAATACCTGGTTTCAATGACCAACAAACAAAAATGTCATTCAATGGCCAAAATGAAAATCACGAAATTAACCTTCGAAAATATGAAGCAAAAGAAAATTAATGGTAAAAAAAATAAATCTAATCCAAATAGATCCAGGTCGATTTTTCTTTCTTCATAGTCTTGCAACAGCAGCAGCAGCAGCAGCAACAAATGACAATAAAGATAAGAATCTGAAATTTTGATGAAAATGAAAAACATTCAGACATTTTCAGCAATTTAGAATTTGTGGAAATTGAAATTTTTTGTCCAACAGAAAACAAAATGAAATTGCATAATTTTGTTTTGTGTATAATTAATACTGAAAATCATGCATCATCATCATCATCATCGTTTGAAAATGATCTTGTTACGTTAAATATTGCTGTTGTTGTTGTTGTTGTTGTTTGTGTTAGTTAAATTTTGTATATATGCATCCCCAAATGAATGAATGATGATGATGAGCTATGTTTTTCAACAACAACAACAACAACAACAAATGTTTCAAAATCATCATAATTATGATTATGATGTTGAATAACAACCTGTACGCATACACACACACATGCACACACACACACTTGTTGATTAGTGGTGATCATGTACGCCTCCGAATTTGTATGTGAATGGATGATGATGATGATGATGAAAAGGTCAAAATGTTTTTTTTTTTGTTTTTTTTTTTGAATTTTTAGAATTTCAAATTTTTTTTCTCTCTCTGTGTGTGTGTGTACGAGTGTGTTCAAAGATTTTTTTTTTTTACTGATTGCTTTCCATACGTGTAATGATGAATGAATGAATATTCAGATCAACAACAACAACAACAACAACAAAAAAACTGTTGCACTTTACTGATGATTACCACCATCACCACCACCACCACCACCACCACCACCAACGCACACACACACACAATGAATGAACACGTTGAATTGAATTGATTCTAAATTTAACCTTCAATAATAATAAAATGTTGATGATGATGATGATGATGACCAACCATTATTCATCATCAGTAATGACCATTAGATATTGAATAAGTAGATGAAATATGGGTGTGTGTGAATAATGATATACACACACACACACACACATTATGTGATTTATTCATAATCAAATTTTCTCTATGACTAATTTCTCAATCATAATCTAATTCAATGATGATGAAAAAAATGGTGGTGGTGGTGGTGGTGGCAATTTTTGTTGTTGTTGTTGTTTTTTTTCACTGGAAATAAATAGAAATTAACCAAAAATGAAAGGAAATTACAAATTACAAATTATTATTGATTTCTGTATGCAACAAGTTTGTGTAAATTTTGAAATGAAAAAAAAGATGAGTCAATGTGGAGAATCAACAAAAAAAAAAGTAGAGCGAATCGGAATTTTATCATCCGAAACGAACACTAATCACTAATTCAAATTGAAACGACCAAAGATATCTAGATCATCATTATTTTATCACCGAGTGAATGTGAGTCTGGTGATCGACCAACCGAATGAATGACCAAATGATTTTCGGATTTGAATAATTTTTCCATTTTATTTTATTTTTTTTTTTTGTTGCAAAAATAAAAAAAAAATTTTTTTTCCTCTTCCACTGAAATAAAACTTTGAAAACTTTTTTGCGTTAATTATCCGGTTCAATTTCAAAGAATCTGATTTTTTTTTTCGTTTTGTTTGTTTGTTAAGGATTAGAATTGATAACCTGATTTACTTTTGTGTGTGTGTGTGTGTGTTCATTGTTTTTTTTTCATTCAAATGATTTTTTTGTATTTTGTTGTTTTTTTTCCACTTCTTTTTCGTGCACAGGAAATCAGGCAATGGATTGAGGATTTCATCAGGAAAAACAAAACGTTGGCCACCACCACCACCACCATCAGCAGCAGCAAAATGTCAACAAAACAGAATAGAAAACGACGAATATCAATCAATAACGAAACCGGAAATGTGCATTTCACACACACACAGCCACAGAGAGAGAGAGAGAATGGCCAAGGACATTACATAAGAATCAATATAGATAAATACATTTCAATTTCAATTTCCTTCTCACCAATTTAGTGTGATTATCGTTTGTCATTTTTGAATCAAATGACGAACAATATCAATCGTCGTCAAAATTATTATTATTATTGATTATAAGTCTCTCGATTTTTATGCAACACATGTGAACACATCCGCCATATATATATAAAAGTGTATAAAATTCTTGTTCATGTTCATATCAATGTTTCATTCGCTTGATGTTGATGTGTTCAATTTGATTTAACATTGTGAATAATAATGATGACGATGGTGGTGGTGAAGAAACCATCAATTTTCGTACTGTTTGTGGCCACATTGGCTATTTTCTTCATTCCAAATGGTCAATGTCAATATGGTAGCGCCAAAAATAAAGGTGTTGTGGGTGAGTTTGTTTGTTTTTTGGGATTTATTTTTGTTGTTGTTGTTGTGAAAAAATTCTTTAAACATTTCCTTTCTCTTATTTTTTTTTATCTACAGTGGAAACTAGCTATCAAAAACCAGTGATCGAAACAAGTAATTATGAAGAAGAACCAATATGGAAAGAGGAACCAGAATATCAACCGGAAATTATTAAAGAAGAAAAACCAAGTTATACACCAAAAGAGGTGATTGTTAGCAAAGGTAGCGGTAGTGGATACGGTAGCGGTGGTGGTGGTGGTGGATCGAGCAAAAGTGCTGCCATACGTGAAGAACCAATTTGGCAAGAAGAACAACCAAGTTATTCACCAAAAGAAGTTGTTGTAAGTCGTGGATCCAGTAGTGGATATGGTGCTTCGGGCAAAAGCGCTGCCATTTGGAATGAACAACCAAAACAAGAAGTATGGAAAGAAGATTATCATCAACAACCAAAAGTGATAACAAAAATAGTCAAAGAACCAGTAGTTATAACGAAAGTTGTGAAAGAACCGGTAGTAGTGACAAAAGTGGTTAAACAACCAATAGTTAAAGTGATTCGGGTTGTGGAAAAAGTACCCGTCTATAAACAACCTGTTTATCATAAAGTTTGGGTGAAAAAAACTTATGGCGGTGGTGGTGGATATAATCATGGTGGTGGATATAGTCATGGTGGTGGATATAATCACGGTGGTGGCGGATATAACCGTCAATGGCGTAGACGTCGAAGTATATCGAGAAATGTTGATAATCATCCCATTCAAAAACGTAAATCTAAATGGCGTGAATATAAAAAACAAATTAAACAGGCTAAATATGGAGCAAAACAAGAAAAACGTGAAAAATGGCGTCAATTTAAAAAAGGTGACTTTGGTGGTGGATATGAACAGCCAAAACATCATGGTTATGAACAACCAAAACATCACGGTTATGAACAACCAAAACACCATGGTTATGCACAACCAAAACACCATGGTTATGAGCAGCCAAAACATCATGGTTATGAACAACCAAAACATCACGGGTATGAACAACCAAAACATCATGGTTATGAACAACCGGAACATCATCATCAAAGTTATGGCTATGGACATCGTGCTCGTCGTAGTTATAATGATGTTAATTACTATGATGATGATGATCAATATATTAACGATCAATATCAATCATCATGGACTAAAGAACAAAAATATTATGATGAAGAACCAAAAATCATACAAAAAGAAGAGAAAATTGTACAAAAAGAACCGGAAATAACAAAAATCTATGATAACGATGAAGAAATATCAAAATTACCAATTGGACAACCAGAATTGACACCAGAAATTAAAGATTACAATGCAAATCAACAAGTTTCCATTATAAAAGATGAAAATGTTTATCAATCACCAGTGGATGAACATAAAAATGGTTACAACGAACCACAATCACAACAAGAAGAGAAAATTATTGAACAAACCGTAAAACAAGAAGAAAAATATGTACCAGAAGAAGAATATACATCAAAAGTTATTGAATCAAAACCAGAAATAATCAAACAACCAGATCAAGAATCTTATCAAGAAGAGGAGAAAAAAATAATTGAATATGAACCAAAAGAAGAATCAATTAAACCGGTAATAGTGACGGAAAAGGTAAGTCAAGATCATTGTAAAAATTTAAATCTCAAATGATTTTTTTTCTTGGTTTCAACTCGTAGAAAATAATTCAAACGAAAAAAACAACGAAAATAATCACAACACCTGTATGTAACAGTATAATGGACAACATATTGGAACATTTACAACCAGAATTCATGCAACACATGTCCAGTTATGTGATAAATAATGTTGAACCAATACGTTTAGGACGTTGGGGTCGAGTACAATTACATGATGGACATTTCAATCATATGGGCCCGATTTGTCGTGGTAATGATTTCCGGTCAACAACGTTGGGCAATGATAAATATATGATCGAAGGAACCATTCAAGTGCCGGAACCAAAATGTGAATTTGAAGCTGATGCTGGAATGTATAATCGTTTACGTTTTCGTAATCAATGTATACGATTGGCGGCCAAAGATGCAACGTTTCATGTGGCAATGTTTTTGGATAAAAAACGCAATACCGTTCATGTTGCCGAATTGGAACCACTGGAATTGAATGATTTCCATATGGAAGATGAACGTGGCCGAACCGCTAAAAATGGTGGCATGCGTTGGCCATTCAAACGCATTAGTCAATGGCAACTGGAACCACATCGACAGCAATTTATGCAAATGTTAACACATGAATTGTGTGATAAATTTCGTGAAATGATTCATCGTCCTGAAGTGGCCAAAGAAATTATTGAATATGTTTAGTAGTAGACCAAAAAACCATTGATCCCTGGGTAACCAGATAAACAAATAAAAAAAATCGATATTTCAAATTGATTGACTGCGCAAGCATGCACAATAATAAATTCTGCATTTGTATTCTGCAGTGTAATTAATCAATCAATCAATTTTTTTCCGGGCTCATGTTAATAATCAGAAGAAAAAAAAAGACTTCCATACACGACCAGAAACAAGAATCATTAATGATCCTTAATTATTATTATTCGAAAGCAAAATGAGAAACATAAACAACTTGAATAGAAATTGTTCATCGAAAATTGATCTTTTATTATTGATTTGGATGACTTTTTCCAGTTCAATAATGATGATGATACGATAATGATGTGATTTTTATTGGCCATTTCTTTGACGACGACGATGATGATGATGATGATGATGGCAAATTATTAATTATGAAAACTTATTCCGAATTGTTTGTTTGTCGATGATTTCGAGAATATTCTTTTTTTTTCTTTCGTAGACCAAACAAATATCTATGGAAATGGAATGAATTGATTTATTCCACATATATATTGATCATCACTATTCTGGTGGTGGTGGTGGATCGGTTCGATCGATTTTTCTTTTCATCATCATCATCGTCATTCTGATTTTTGATTATTTTGAATTTCGATTTGGATTCACTCGATGATCCGGAAACGAAAAAAAATAACAAAAACTAAACAGAAAAAAAGCAAATACGCCCCCTCGAAACACACACACGGACGGAATATTTTTTTTTGGTTCCTAAACCAACTAATGGTTGGAAAAAAAATAGTAAACCAAACCAGAATAACCATGTGACTAATGGACCATATCGAATAACATATGTCGAGCACATATCATGACCATCATCATCATCATCATCATCATGTCATGAACTGTTATTTTGTCGTAAAAACAAAAATAATTAATGTGTATCTGATTATGAATTTTTCGAGCTAATGAGCTAACTACACATGTGTATGTAATCATAATGATGATGATGATGATAATGGGAATAAAATTGGTATTTTCATAAAATTTGATTTTTTTCCAGGAAAATTTTTTTATTTCTCCTGGTTTGCCTGTAGATCAATATGATTGATTGATTGATTGATTGTCGATGATGAGTTTTTTTGAAAAATATGGATCAATGAGGAGGAGATGAAGATGAAAAGGGATGGACATTGTGTGTGTGTGTGTGTGTCCAAACAAATAATTTGATTTTTTTTGGTGGTTTTTCTGGTTATCCAAACAACAACAACAACAAAACAAGCGAGCACACGTTTTAATATTATTCTCGTGAATGAATCTCGTAAAAAAAAAAAAAATTTCCCATTCAACAATCTAATCACGTTCTATTGACAACGAAAATAGAGAGCGAGGGAGAGAGAGAAGGAGTAAAAAAATAAATACCTCGTGATTGGGATGATTGTCATCAACCGAACCAAAATGATGATGATGATGATGATCGGAGACAATATTTGTTATGAATTTTTTTTTTTTTTTTTTGATAATCGAGAACAAAGAAAAAAAATTACAAGAGAGAGAAACTATTCATTATGTAACAAAAAAAAAAAAGAAGAAAAGAAAAACCAAAACAAACTACTGGCCGATTCTGATCTATCTATATCGATAGAATTCTGTTGAACACGAACAAGAGAGAGAGAGAGAGAAATAATTATCGAAAAAAAGAAAATTTCCAAAAAGATTTCAAAAAAAAAAAAAAGTTTTTTGTTTTCCTGAACTTTTTTTCGGTTTTCGTGTTTTTTTTTAATCCAAATCTTTCTCATTTGTTTGGTCTCATTCTATCGTGGACAATTTGATTATAATTTTCATGAAATTGTAATTTCTGTAACACACACACACACACGATAAATCACAATTAATTGGACATATCATCACCGTATCATTATCGTGTAGTGATCGAAATAAACATTTTGATTCTCTCCTGTGTGTGTCTGTCTGTTTTTGCAATCAAGATGTTTAATTATAAAACAACAGTAAAGAATCAAAAAAAAAATTGACCGAAAAGAGGATTAACAAAACAAAAGTTTTGACTATTCATTGATGCTGGAACAGGAAAAAAAAGCGAATCTGAAAATCCACACACACACACACACACACACTAATCATTCGAGGTCAGATTTCTGGTATACATCAGGAATATATTTTGGTTCCATGACTTTATTTTCTACATTCCCATCCATACAGTATTATTGTTGTTGTTGTAGTCGTTGTTATTATTATTATTATTAGAGTTTATCAATCATCAATCTCGATTATCGAGTATCGTGCCTGGTTACACAATTTCTAGGTCTGGGTTTTCGTTTTTGTTTCTCCAGACTGGATCCAGGGTCTGTGTTTGTGTTTGTGTGTGTGTGTGTGTGTGTGTGTTTGAATTGTTTTTTATTTCTGTTGATATAAACCAGATGATTTAGGTTTTTTTTTCTTCTTTCTTTGATCATCGTTGTTGTTTTTAATAATAGTAATTGAATATCGTTTTTGGTTCCTGAAACAAATCGGCATAATCATTCAATGATGATGTAATGTAATTCATGAACCTTAAAATAAAGGATTAATAACTGAATTTCCGTATTCTTTCTCTCCTGATCTAATGTCAATTATTATTATTATTATTATCTAGGCCACGCCTTATCATAACTATCAACCTATGCTACTACCACCTGTAGACATAGAATATTCACTAATTCTGGATGGGTGGAGCTTACCTTTTTTCAGTGTGTGTGTGTGTGTGTGTATGTAATTTGAAATTGATACCATTATTATTCGTTAGATAAAGAATCCAGCCAAGAATAAAAAACGAAAAAGAATGAAAAAAAAATAGAAACAAAACAAAGAAACTGCAAAAAAAAAGAATTTGGCGCGCACGTACGCCCATCAAACAAAAAAAATAACACCAGGAAAAAAAACAACCGAAACTGATGTACGAAACAAACAAACTAATGATGATGGTCTATATGTGTGTGTGTTTAGTTTCATTCGGAAAAGAAACCAGTGCATACCACATTGAATTTTATGTCCAGACAAAAAAATCATTGACCACCAACGATAAACAACTTGATGATTTTTATATCAAAAAAAGAAGGAAAAAAATGGCTCAATCATTCTTAAGAATCAGAATCAATCAAAATTATAGACATCGTGATCATTGTTCATCATCAATGAAAAATGACCAGAATTTGATCCAATTGATCAATTGTTGCCTATCACTATACTGGATAATGACGACAATTATTTTGATTATAATGCCTATTTATATGATTGATGGTCATCATTTAATCCAATCATCATCATCATCATCATCATCATCATCGTTTGTTTTAGTAGATAATCAAACATCTATGGAATGTACATTGGCAAATTTTCAACAATGCATTTCCGGTTTATGGTCCACTAGCAATAATAATAATAATAATAATGATGGTAATGGTGATTTAGCATTTCCAATAACATCGGAACAATTAAAATTAACATGTGAAGATCTGAAAAAACGTGTCCGCTGTTTAGATAGCCATTCGGAACGTTGTTTTACACATGAAATGATGCAAGTGTTTGGCCATATTGTTACGAATGCAAAACAATTTGTACATGATCTATGTGATGATAAAAAAGTACAAGCAGGTAAGTGTGAATTTGATCCAGAAACAAGATTCATCATGCTGATGTTTTTTTTTCCTCATCATCATTAGAATATTTAATACATGCAAAATGTTTTCGTAACATTTCATTGGATGAACAAAAATGTGCACATGAATATCGTGATGCTATTGCATTGCCACCGATTCAATCACAGCCAGTTCATTCACCACCATCACAATATCGACTATCGATTGTCGATTTAATCGATTCAAATTCATTGAAACCAAATCGACTATATCGACAAAAACGGCAATTACAAATGAAAGAAATTATAATGCGGCGAACATGTTGGTAAGTTTTGTTTTGTTTTGGATTTTTCGTTTCCGTTATTTTTTTTCTCTCTCTCTCTCTCTCTTGCTCAAAATGGTTTTGATATTTACATTGTGTACAAATGATTCTGAGATTCTGAATTGTGATTCTTTTTATTTCTTTTTTTCTTTGTTCATACAATGAAATCGATCATAATTTGCATTGATGTTTGCATTCTGACATTTTTTTTTTTTTTTTTTTGTTTTATTTGATTTATATTCTTTTGGGGCTCGTTGTTTAGGTCAAATTGTTCCATAGTCATCATCATTGTTATTATGTTTTCAAGTTAAATAAACATTGAGAAAACCAAACCAGAATCTGGTTCTTTTTTTTGATTCTGATTTTTTTTTATCCACTACTCCAATGCTGCTGTTATTCGAGATTGTTAGATCAAAATTTGTTCCCGAAATTTGGTGGTTGGTTGGTTGGTTGTTTTTTTGTTTATATTTTCTTTTGTTTTGTTTGTTTGTTGATTTATCTTATTGGATTCTAGGTTCTGGATTCTGGATTCTGGATTCCGGGTTCTGAGTTCTGGATTCCTGATGATTCTGGTTTCCATCAACCATACAAACATTTTATTCTTTGAATTTAAATTTTCAGAAAATCCAGAAAAAAAAAAAATTTTTTCTGATTGATTTACTCGTTTTTGTTTTTTCTCTCACTGCTGTTTTTTTTCTGTTTTCATCAAAGGTGTAGAAAGAAACAAACAAACAAAAAAAATTCGTAGTGAAACTCAACTCGTTTTCACACACTCACACACATCATGGTAGTTTCTGAGTGTCCATTGTCCATAATTTGATTTGCTAAGCAAAAAAAAAAAAAAAACAGCCTCAATGATTAGTGTGTTTGTCCAGCTAGCTAGCTAGCTAGCACACACACAATTAGATTTAGGTTTCTCTTTTTTTTCGCAAACATCTCTGAAGAATTATCCAACAATACGAATAAATAAATAAATAAATAAAAAAAAACACAGTGAGAAAATCAAATTGCCTGAAGCCCTTGAGATAACCAAAAGACGACGACGACTACGGCTGAACAAAAAAAAAACCTTGTAAATAAATGTGATAAATATCCACATAAGAGCCATGGATGTGTTTAAATTGTGTCCAAAACAAACAAACAAACAAACAAATTGGTTAACCCAAAAACCCAAAAAAATCGAATGTTTGATTCTTATATTGTAGTTGTTGTCGTTGTTTTTCTTTTGTCCAGGATGGATATATCATTGGAAACCTGTATGGTGGTGGTGGTGGTTTATTTTCATTTAACTAACACACACACACACAAACAAAAACAAAAAACAAAACAAAAGCCAAAATCGAAAGCTAAACCCAAGTGACTGCTAGGCTAATCTAATTGTAAATTGCAAGAATCCTGGATCGTAATGGTGGTGGTGGTATCACTTTTTTTTTCTTTTGGATCGACACACACACACACATATTGTACCCATGAGAATTTTGCATCTCTGGTTAGCTGAATTTTCTGTTTTTTTTGTCTTGTTTTTTTTTGTTTCTGTTGATTAATCTAATTAAATTTGGTTGATTTTTTTTTCGTTGTTTTTGTTGCAAATGGATTGTGTTGGTTGTGAATGATTTGCCGGAATGTTTTTGTTTTGTTTTGTTTTGCAATGGAATCATTTGAAAAATTTCAATTTAAGAAATTTTTCACAAAACAAAAACCAAAACTATATGAAAAATATTTAACCCTTTAACTTACACACACAGGGGAATAAAGAGAAAAAAAAATTAATTTTAACACTTTTTCAGTTCCCAAAAGAGCTAACCATTGTGTCTATGAATGATGATGATCATTAACGCGTTGAGAGAGAAAAAAAAAATAAATAAATAACTTTTTCTTCTGGTGTTGATTTACATAATTTTTTCATTTTCTCTCACACCTTTCTATCACTTCTGAATCCAAAAATTCCTCATTCATTCATTCATCATTTTTAATTTTATCCATCAAAATCACAATACAAAAGTGCCCTACAAGAATTAGTACTATGTAAACGACTTCATGTACGTGAACAATGTGGTCAATCGGCATCGATATTTATGCGTGATCATTTACCACGTATAACAAATCCAGTATTGGAACAACATTGTCAAGCATATACATATGGACCAGGTACTTGTGATGAAGCATTATATGGTATACGTGGTCGTATTATAAATACAGGCAATGATGATGATGACGATGGTGATGATGATGGTGATGGTAAAAATAAAAATCAAAATAATGCCCATCAACAACAAACAACAAAATTTATTAGACCATCACATAAATCTGAATCAACTTCTTCCGGTACAACAATCATTTTACAAAGACTTAAACAACAACAACAACAACAGCAGCAGCGGCAGCAGCAGCAACAACAGCAACAGAATCGTTTAATGAAAATGAATGAACAGAATTTACAATCATCAAATGCATCGATTAATTTGTTGAAAAATAATTTATTCATCATCATCATGACAATGGCAATGGGAATGATTTTTTTATTTATTCAATGAACGAATCATTTATTCATTTATCGTCGTTTTTTATATTTGTAATATATAGCACCGGAAATGGCACCAATAACCAATGTAATTGGTATAAATAGCCACCATTTACTACTACTATTATTAGAATTATCACCAATAAAATTTTTTTGTAAATCATAACCATATTGTTGACAAATTTTTTCAGTCTTTGAATCTAAATTATCGAAATTTTCATTTTCATTATGATCAAAATATGGTACATGATGACAAATTTGATCACTTGCCCAACGGAATATTCGACGTGACCATTCAATCAATTTTGATTGTTCAGTTTGATCACAATAATCATGGGATTCTTTTACAATACATTCAATAAAATTATATTCAGCACAGCAAAATATTTCACGATCAATATTATCGGTAAATTTTTTCGACAAATCTTTTTTAGTTTGTTTACGACAATATTCAATATGATTATCACCATTGGCGCCATCTTTTGTATGATTTTTCAAAAAATCTATACAGGTTTTGATTTGTTTATCATCCGCATACGGTAAAAATAATTCCAATTCATGATGATGATCATCGATGATGTAATGCATAATAGGATAAATTTTGACAATGTTCTTGCCAATCAATTTTATATGCAGGATCTTTGCAGAAATATTTGGATAAATAATCACGAAATTCATGAACATATTTAACAAGATGTTCAAATGTTTTTTGTGGACAAAATCTTTGTCCTTGTTGTTCATAACAATGGATTTCATCATATGCTTGGCAACAACTTTCCCATACTGTTGTATAATTGGTATGCAAACGAATTGGATCATAATCAATCAATGCACCGGTTCGACACCATTGTATAAGATTAGCACCGGTCAATGTGTCGATACAATCACGTGCAAATTCATCTGGTTTCACTTCGGATGATGATTGTGATAATAATGTTGATAATAACAGCAACAAAAAGTGAAAGTGAAAATTTTTCATTTTTTCCAATTTAAATCTTTGATTTTATTCACTGCAAAAACACTGGAAAATGGAAATACTTATTCTCATATGCTGCTCTGGTTTTTATACATTTTTTCAATCATCATCGATTCATCATCGATTGATTGGTTATCGATTTTAAAAAAAACAAAGGCCATTGTTTTTTTTTTGGTTCCATCCGGAAAAAACAAAAAGGATGGGCGTTTTTTCCATCGGTAATTTATTGTTTGCATTTCTGTTGATTAGAGAAACACAGAGATTACTACATTGGAAAAAAAAATTTCCACAAAAAAAAAAAATTACCTGCAAATAATAAATGATGATGATCGTAATAATAGCCACAGGTATCAAAAATTATACAAAAAATTTTAACATGAATGATGATGGCCTTGAATTAATTAAATCGATGATTGCAAATCACATAAATTATGTGTACAAAATTTGTGATTCCACAACTAACAAACCAAAACTTGTTAGTCAAGTTATTAGGTGTTGATGATCATTTTGTTTTTTTTTTTTTTGAATAATTTGATTCTTTGAAAATCGAGAAAAAATTCGTGGATTTTCCAATTTTGAAATCACCGAAATTCTCACATCATCATTGGCTATAAAAACGGGGCCAAACATTCATTCATTTATTCATTCAATCAATTTTCGAGATTTTTTCATCATCATCATCATCATCGTCATGAAATTATTGATACCATCGATGGCCATTTTGGCCATTATATCGGCCATTTTCTTGACCATTATTAATCCACAAATTGTCGATTGTGGTGGCTATCATGGTGGTTATGGCTATGTTCAACCTATTTATTATCCAGTACATGGTAAAGGTAAATATAAATCCAAAATCAAGATTAAATCAAAATCAAAAGGACGATATTATTATGGCTAAAAAAACAAAACAAAACAATCAATAAATCGATCAATCAATCAATCAAATTACGTGTAATGATTATGCATTTTGTTTGTTTGTAACGAAAATTTTCTAAAATTCAAATTAAATAAAATAAAAATTTTGTTCACCAATCACTATAAATTTAATCAATAAATAAATGTCAATGTTCCATTTTTGTTTATTTTGCGTTTGTTTTTCTGGGTAAAAAAAAAAAATTTTTTCTTCATCTGTACAACAACAACAAAAAAAACATGACTGATAATGAAATGGATGGCAAGAAAAACAAAACATCCACAATATCAATACGAGCACCATCACCACCACCATTACTACCACCGCCCATATCAATATCACGGCCAACCACAACCACAACGGCGACGACATCTACCACTATGGATCAATCTACAGTAGCACGAACCATCAATGATAATGATAATGTGATGATAGTAAAACCGAAAAGTCAACAAATTAAAATAAAAATCGATGTTTACCGTAGTCCATCATCATCGAAATCATCATCAAAATCACCATCATCATCACGAAGATCATCACGTAGTAAGAAACAAAAATCACCAATATCAACAGTACAAATACGTCCATTAGTAGCGGCAATAGCAAATGCTATCAACTGTGATGAACCAGCATCATCAGTTGAATTGGAATCGAAAATTTTGGAAAAACAAAACCACCACCACCACAACCACCAACGTTACAACTGCAACAATTGAAACCGAAATCATCACCACCGAAAAAGCCACAAACAATGACGATAAAATCAGTCCCACCATTGATGCAACAACAACAACAACCGGCACCATCGACAAAATCACCACCTAAATTTCAGCCAATAGTAATACCAAAACAACCGCAACAGCAGCCGCAACCGCAACCGCAACAACAGCAACTGTTATGTAAAAATTGTCGTAAAATTTTGACAAATGGCGATCTTGATACATTGAATGATGGTGGAACAACATCGGATTTGAATCAAAGTACGATTCATTCATTTTTTCAGCCACCAATTCGACGATCACGATTTTCTCGTGGCCGTCGTCGTGGTTATGGTCGCAGAGGTCGCGGTGGTCGCCGTAGTGGTCGTCGTCAAACATATCGTCGATCACTTTATTATTCAACATCAATAAAACAACAAAGACCACCACCACTACCAAGACAATTAAGATCATCGATATCGATTCGAAGAAATCAACAACAACAACAAGGTCGTCGTAGTCGTCGATTATCAAGCTGGACAATGGCCAATCGATTAGTACGTGATAATAGACAAAGAAGTTTAACATTGTAAACACAACAACAGCAACAATTTTTTTTTATTTAAAATTTATTTTTTTTAAATAATAATGCAAATATATGTGTGTGTGTGGGTGGGTTGTTGTGTATGTATGTATGTGATTGATTGATTGATTGATTGATTGTAAAATAAAATTTATAATTTAAATTTTTTTCAACAATCACCCCCTCCCACACACACATACAGCGCATGCGTGTGTGGGCGTTTCATTCACGTTTTATAAATGATGATAATGATGGTGTGTATTTTTTTTTTCGTTTTGCCATTCGTTTTCATTTCATTTCATTCATTCATTCATCGGCTTCAGCTTCTTCTACTTCCAATTTATGTCCACCTTTTTTGGCCCAATCTGGTTGATCTTTTGTCTATGGTTGTGTATTTGGATTTAAAAACAAACAAACAACAACAACAACAACAGAGAAAAAACTTACATCTTTATCATCATCAACGGTAAATTTAGTGGATTGTACACGTTTCAAATTCTGTCGGAAATCTTGATCAGCTTTAGCGGCAACTTTGGCCATTTTTTCCAGTTTGGCATCATATTTAGAAACCTTTTTCAATGCTGGTTTAAGGCTTTTTTTCATTCAAAAAACAAAAAAAAATGAATATTTGAAAATTGGCAGAAGCAAAAACAGAAAAAAAAAACAAACTTACAATTTACCACGCATATCGCTTACTTGTACCTGTAATTCATTGATTAGATAATCTTTTTGTCTTACATCATATTCAAGATCATATTTGTTATATTCCAATTTTGAAATACGATCATGATATTCTTGACAAACTTTTTTCATTGCATCTACATTATTTTATATGATGGAATTGAGAAACGAATGATTCAGTAAAAAAATTTCACTTACCTGCATTCATGCCATCCAAATTTTTTGGCTGACCACAACGTTTCGATAACATTTCACGACGTTCAGCTGCACGTCTTTCCTGTTCACGTTTGACAGCTTCGGCAGCATTTTTACGTAATAATGTCTAATTGATTTATTGATTAAAATGATCTGATGATGATGATGATCAGAAAACAATAATAAACTTACACGTAATTTACGTTTACGTTCCGGTGTCATAAAACCTTTTTTTCCTTTTTTTGCACGTGCCGCCTCTTCAAGACGTGCACGTACTTCAGCTTTTTTACGTTCCTTTTCTTCGGCTTTACGTCTTTCTTCCTGTGGAATTTGTTAAGAAAAAAAAATTGATTGATTTATTGATTGAAATCAATGTTGGTTATTAAAAACAAAGAAAAAAAAATTTTTTTTTAAGCATTGAAACAAAATGGGATTGGTACACTACTTCAGAAAGACGTTTACGAGCTTCAGCTTGATCACGTCGTCTACGTTCCATAAATGGATCAATATTAGTAGACTTATAGGATTTTTTTAATTGGATCGGTGGACATTGGGATTGATTCAGGAATCCATACAAATGGACAAATGGATACAATTCATGGTTCAATGGAAACAAACAAACAAACAAACAGACAAAGATTAAGAAGGAATGGCAAAAAAAATGCCACTTACCTCGGTTAGATTGGCCATTTTTGTTGTTGTATTTGTTGTTGTTGTTGTTGTTGTGACCGGAAAAAAACCAATTCTATAAACACCACAAATGAACAGAATTAAATATTGAGAATTATTTTCAATCACTAATTACAGGATTCTTTATAGAATCACACAAGCTTATTTGGAATCATTTGTGTGTGATTATAACTTACAAACACTTGAATCTTAGGACGACAAAAAAGAAGAAGAAAAAAGAAGAAAAAAGGGAAAGAATCTAATCTAGGTCAACATATCACATCATTCATTTGGCTTGAAATTCTGATTTATTTTTTGTCATGAATTTTGCTACTTTTTTTTTTCTGCCTGTTTGTCATCTTTTCACAACCAGAGAGAGAGAGAGAGAGAAAAAATGTGAAATTTTTTCTTCTTCTTCTTTTTTTTGTTTTCATTGAATCGAAATTTTTTACTGATGAGAATTTAGGCTTTTTTTTCGCTTGCTTGCTTCATGGTGATATGACGCTAACCAATCTTGTTCATTCATTCATTCATTTAATCTAAAACATGAACAAGATTGTCGTTTTGACTTTTACTTTTTGTCTGTCGTGTGTTTAAAGGAATCAGAGAGAGAGAACTTGGCCATGATGGAAATTCAAATAACGAGAAAGAGAAAAGAGAAAGAAGCGAATAAACAACAAGCAGAATTCTGGCATTATTCCAGTATTGAACACAACAGTAAGCGATAAACAACAACATTATCATAAATATCAAAAAAAAAGTGGAGAATAAAAAAAAAGAGTCAAGAATAACACACAAAGAGCAAAACATTTGTTGTTGTTGTTGTTGTTGTTGTTAACATTTCTGCGACATACACGCACACACACACACATACAAAAATTCAATTCTAAATCTAAAAAGAACCGGAAGTTTTTTTTTGTTGTTTTCAATGAAAATCAATGTTCAACAATGAATTGAATAATAATGGGAAATGGCTAACTATGTGTATCGATTGATTCGTTTTGATTTTGAATATCAATTTTGATCGATTCATTTATTTTTTTTTGTTTTACACTCAATGATTATCTATTAATTGTCACACACACACACACACATACGAACACAAGGCTTTGGGAAATGTGATGCCAAGATATCATCATCATCATTAACGGTGGATTGATGTTGATGATGATAATGAATATATGGATATAGAATGTAGGTGTAAGTGTAACTAAACAACCATAGAATTCTGTAGAATGTGTTTTATTCTAGTTTCTTCTTTCATAAATATTACACACATATTTATATTTTAGAAATTAGAGATTTATACAGACAATGTCATCATATACTTATTGACATTGAATTAGATGATTATTTCTCTTCTCTCTCTGTGTGTGTGTGTGTATTATATATTCAAATTAAGATTATGATTAATGGTATTCTGTGCCCGTGTGTGTGTGTGTTCATTGATGCATTCTTTTAAAAAAAATTCAAAAGTGACAATCACGAACAATAGATGGCGCTTTTGTTTTTCAAAATATGCAAAACAAAATTCATTCGAAATTTTGGCCATAAACACAAAATGTGCGTGTGTGTGTGTGTGTGTGTGTGTGTGTGTTTGTATACGAATCAATTTGATCATCATCATCAATCAATTTACATAAATGTGGGTGTGTTGTTGTTGTTGTTGTTGTTCATCATAATTTAGCATATATATATGTGGCCGATAGAAAAAAAAATTTTGTTTGTTTACAAATTTTCAAAATTCTTTTTTCTTGTTTTTTGAAATCTCAGCATTTTTTTTTTCTGTTCACTCAGAATAAACAATCTTTATGTGAACGTTATGATGAGCAAAATTATATATTTACAAACAAACAAACAAACAAAAAAATGAAATTTTTGGCAAATCGAATGAATGGCGAAACGGAAATCAAAACATTATTGATTTATGAAGGTGTGAAAATAAAACGATGACTTACCCCACAGAAAAAAATGAACGTTGAAAGTTCAAAAAAATTTGATATTGATCGAACCAACAAAAACACGAATCGACACTGAATGAATATATGGATCGTTTTGAAAAAAAAACAAAACAAAAAACAATACAAGACAAGACAAAAACCGATTTGTTGCTCGTTTGCTTGCGATGATGACGATGATTATGATGATGAATGATGGTGATCAAATGATGGTAAATGGTAAATCAAATCAAAATCGAATACTAAAAAATACAAAACAAAATAGCAATGAATCAAAAGAAGAAAAAAAAAAAACAATAAAAAATTATTGTCCAATTTCGATGAATCGAATCGAGTAGAATACAAATGAACGAAAATAAAAAAAAAAAATTTTTTTACTGACAACAAAATGTCACTAGTAACAAGCTGTGAATTGAAAAAGAGACAAGATCATGAATGAAGCGTTGAGAAGAAGAAGAAGAAGAAAGGACGAAGTAGAATAACAAAAAAAAAAATGAAATGAAATGAAAAATTCGTCACAATTTTAACAGGCACGAAACGAAAAATATTGCAATGATGATGATGATGATGATTGAATGAATGAATCGGATAAATATCGATGATCAAAACCAACATATATATATATATTGCACACACAAACAAACAAAAACAAACACACAACACACACACAGAATAATGTTGATTTTTTTGTGTGTTTTTTTTCAACGGAATAGAACGGAAATGGAAATTGTCACCATTTATCATTCATTCATTTGAAAGAGTGTGTGTGTGTGTTATGTTGTGTTGTGTTGTGTTGGTCGAAATTCTTTTGGCGGGCGTTTTATTTTTTTTTTATTTTTATTTTTTTCGATAGAAACACAACAACAGAATTACAGAATCTATAGTCATATCATCATCATCATCATCATAACTAAATATAGTTCGATATACAATACATACATACACACATGCATACATTTAGGGTATAAATAGAATCGAATCTTGTAGATTTTGTGTGGATTCTTTTTCTTTTTTTTTTCCTACACAAAAGTAGGTGTGTACATCGTTTTGATGATACAAATAACTATTACAAACCGCTACAACAAAACAGAATTTGATACATGATTATTCATTGTGGATTCATGTCGATGTGGTTTATGATAAGGGAAATTTTTTTTTTTTGCGTTTTCTTGATTCTCGATTTTTTTTTCGTCGTATCAGTAGCGGTAGTAGTAATAGTAGTAGTAGCGGTAGTAGCGGTAGTGTTGCCACTTATAAAGAATTTTAATTTTAGAATTTTGCAAGAAAAATTGTTGTTGTTGTCGTCGTCGTCGTTTTCAGTGTAGATATTTCCATCGAAAAAAACAAACCCAAACCATCAACAGAGAATGATGATGATGATGATGAATAAATAAAAATCAGATTGGAATGAAGATTTGCAATCAAGATTCTTTCGTTTTTCTTTCTATTTTTGTGTTTTTTGTTTTGTTTTGTTTTGTTTCATTACAGAACAAAACGAAAAAAAAACAAACAAACAAAGATAACCGACGATAATCGTTGTCATTGAATTTTTTTTTCTTTCATCAACATGGAAAAATTTTCGAAAATTTTTCAACCATTCCATAATAGATGGCAGTAGCTGTTGCGGAAAAAGATTTATTTATTTACAACGGAAATGGTGGAAAAAATTTTTTGTTTTTTTTTTCTCTCTCTCTCCACAATAATGACGTTCATTGACATAATCAATGAATCGATCAATTCGTGACCATTTTCATTTTATTCTTATTGATTAATAATAATCGATCTGAATTGATTTGATTACAATTGGATAAAAGTCATTGAGTGAGTCGATGATGATGATGAAAAAAACATTGTCACAAACAAGATTGTTGCCGTCGTTGTTGTTGTTGTTATCGTCGTTTTCGTTTGATTAGGTCCATTGATTATAGATAATAATAATAATGGGTAATCTATTGATGATAATTGGTAAATCCGACTATAATTTAAAATTTTCAAAATTTTATTTTTAAACATTTATTGACCTTCAAAGAATTTCTTTTTTTTTTTTTTTGATTGTTGCAAAAATTATCTTCTTCTAGAAATCTCTAAACAAAACAACATTAAAAACAATGGATGGATGTTTACCGTTTGTTTTAATACTCTTTTTCCTTTAATTTGATGAATTTGATTTTACACAGTTTACACTCTAAACAAACACACACGTCTACATCCGATCCGATCATATCGATGATGAGATTCGGAAATGGCTCATTCATTCATTTTTTGTTCACACTAAATCAATAAAATTTAAATGATTACCATCATCATCATCAATTTGATTCATTGTCGATAGATAAAATTTTCAATCAATTTAGCCATGACCTTACAAAAATCATCATCATCATCATCATAAAAACGGATGAAAAAAAAGACGACAACCTGTTTATATTTATTTATTCATTATAATCGATCGATTGTTCACTGACGTTATGATCAAACAACAATTTAACACGTCGTCGTCGTCGTCGTCGTTTGTCATTGAATTATTATTTTTTTTCTCTCCAAGAAAAAAAAGGAAAAGAAAAAAAAAAAAATCATCATCACCATTATCATAATCTTTTCATAGCCAATGATAATGTCCATGTCACAATCAATCAAGAAAATGAAAAATTCGGCAATATTTATTGATTGATTTTCTTCTGTTTGTTGTTGTTGTTGTTGTTGTTGTCGTCGTTGTTGTTGTTGTTGTTATTATTGCCTATCTCTATGAAATTGTTAATTTCAACATTTTTTTTGTTTGTTCGTCTTTAAAAAAACACCAAGGTAACCATTGCTGTATTTGTGTGAAAGAGAGAATAAATCTTTGGAAAGAAAGAAAAAACAAATTTTTTAAAAAAAAAATCTCGTTTCCACTTACTTATGGTTACTTGCGCCCCCTTTTTCAAGATGGGCGCAACAACAACAAGTGTCTGGATTGTTTAGGTTTTTTTTTTTTGATTGCCCATCGATGACGTCAAAGAACCAGCTTTTTTTTCTTCATTAACTTCAGTACATAAGGATAAAATGAATTTTTCACCATTGTAAATCCAGATTTATACTGGTAGACAGATTTTTTTTTCGTTTTCATTCATCTTTTCTCTCTTCTCTCTATGTATGGACACTTGTTGATAGATTGTTGATTCGGCTCTTTCTCTTTTTTTTCTGCTGTTGTTGCCAAGCTGTTTATTTGAATTTGAATCTTGTTAAAAAGCGAAAGTTTTTTCCAATTTTCAAGCCAGTTGTTGTTTCACATTGTGTCGTCGTCGTCGTTGTCGTTGATCTGGCTAGATTTTTTTTCTTCTTCTTCGTGTTTTTTTAATAAATTTGTGATTTGTGGCTCATCCAAAGAATTTTTCTTGTGTGTGTGTGTGTGTGTCCTGAATCAACATATTAAACATAATAATTTCATTTGTTAATTTTGTGATCATCAACGATTTTATTTTATCTGGCAAAAAAAAAATCGGACATAATGGTCAAATATCTCATTATCGGTATTGCCACCATGGCATTTGGTAGGTGAAACAAAAACAAAAAAAAAAATTTCAGAACAAATTTCGTTTTCGTTTATTTTGGGCCAAAGTTTTTTTCCTATTTCACTTGAAGAACAACAACAACAACAACAACAAAACGAGAATAAGAACATGGCCTATTGAAAAAGCAGGTTTTTTCTTGTTTGCAACAAAAAAAAAAAAAAAACAGAAACAGAAACAGAAACTAGGTTAATTTTTGTGTGATAAAAAAAAAAAAAAAAATCGACCAACCGACTAGCAAACATACAGACAGATAGATAGATAGATAGATAGATAGCAACTACTTTCCTGAATAAGTTTTTTTTCAGCAAAAAAAAACTTTCATTTTCACTTGGCTTTTTGAGTGTTAAATTTTTTTTAGATCAAAATTTTACCATAGATCTTACTGTGGATGAAACTTGTCAATATAATTGACAGGTCAAACAAGGTCGAAATTTTTTTTTTCAAATTTTTAATATATACGTCTCTGTGTGTGTGTGTGTGTGTGTGTGTATGATTCATCCATCCTTTACGTTCAAAAAATTTAACCACATCTAATCCCCCCCACACACACACATATAGATATTGAATGATTGTGATTGAGATTGAGACATGGAAAACATTTCTATACACACAAGCTTTAGTGTATACAAGGAAATGAATAAAATAGTCAAATAAAACAACAACAAGGTCAAGTGTTTGTTTTGTACGTACTTTGAGAAGAAAATTTTTTTTTGTCAAAACAAAATCAAATCTTTGGCCGACACAATCCAGATGATGAGTTGGAATTTTTGTTTTGTTTTGTTTTGTTTTGTTTGGGGAAAAAAATCAGCAAGATTTTTTATCAATCAAGCAGATTTTTTTTTTGTTGCCATTGTCTTTGCATTCGATATGGCCGATTGATTCGAATAATTGATTTCGATAATAATAATAATAATAATGATTGTCCTCGAAGAAATTGATTGCCGTAATAATTTTAAAAAAATGTTGACAAAATAAATCACAATTTATCACACAACAAGGTTTATTCAGAACATATAACATAATTTCTTGCTCAATGTTTAAAAAAAAAAAAAAAAAAAATATTAATCATTCGAATTCTATTTCAACAGCTGTGGTGATATATGCTCAAAATAGTTGCCATCTACGTGAACTCGATCTTTGTGTTGCATCCGGTTTGGCATCTGGCCAAAATTTGCCTACAACAATTGCCGAAATTAATAAACAATGTCAAGGATTAAAAGAAATGAATGATTGTATTGGAAATTATTCTCGCCGCTGTTCAACAAAATCGATGAGAGAATTTTTACGTTCCATTACAACACAAGGTGATGTACAATCATGGCATCAGAATTTCTGTGAAAAAGATAATTCCGATGAACGGCAACAATATTTAAAACATGCAACATGTTTAAATCAAGCACAAAAAGAAGCCCGTACTTGTATGCGTGATTTGACCGTTGCATTGGATCGTGCCATCAATAATGATGTTGAGAAACGTATACCGGAAATGTGCTGTGCAGTACGTCGTATGCGTAAATGTAATGATGATATTGTTGAAAATAAATGCGGTAAAGAAGGTAAAAAATATATGAATCAAATGGTACAATCGATTGCCGGCACACGATTACCGGAGATTGCATGTCGTGATTTTGATCCAACAAGTAAAAAATGTACATCAATATTACCGGCACCTGGTACAAAACCAGGCAATACACGTTCCAATTCAGTGTTATCACGATTGTTGAATACATATTCAGCATTGTAAAACGAACAACCAAACAACCAAACACACACACACTGACACACACACACACACATTGAAAAACATGATTCATGTTTCAAAAAAACAAATTAATTCTGTTTCAGTTTATGTTTTTGTTTCAAAAAAAATTGATTCTTTACAAATGAACGTTACAACAAATTCAACGCAACAGTAACATCATCATAATCATAATCATCATCATCAGCAGCAGCAGCAATTTTACAGATTCTTTCCATTGTTCATCATATCATCATCATCATCAACACACACACACACACACACACACACACGATATATTCGATTTGATTTGATCATATCTTTCATTCTCATTTACTATTTCACTAATATGTGCTCTATCTATTTGCGCGCGCTTATGTTTTAATTATTATTATTATTATTATGTTAATTTGTCATTATGAAATCTTCATATAATTAATTATTCATCATTTTTTGATTTAATAATTAAAAATATAAAAATTAAAAAAAAATAATTTGAATAAACTTTTTGTACGCCATCTGGTGGATAAAAAAATTTTAAACACAATAGATGGCGTTAAGTGTTAATTAATTTTAGAAAAAAAATGCTTGGAAAAAAAACGATTATAAAACGACGACGTGGATGGATGGATGGAGAATTTTTTTAAAATAATTTTTTTTCTTGAAAATTGATTGAAAATTTTGTTTAAATTTTTTTTGGATCATATTTGAATGAATATAACATTCAAACAATTTCAATAAACAATTTTCATCTACACTGAATCGAAAGACAACGTGCAAAAAAAAAACAAACAAAAATCGAACCTCAAATTTTGTTTCCTTTTCATAAATTACGTTCTGTTATAAACAATTGATGGATAATAATCTAATAATATTAATAATTTGCCAAATGGTGATGATGGTGAATATAATGATATAATCAATGAAGGACAAAATATCACCATATCATTTTATGATGATAATGATGAAAAAAATTTTCAACATTTTCATCGTGAATTATTCATACTATCAATATTTAATGCACATTATATTTCATGGATTAGAAATCAAGATTGTCATCAAGATTTCGATGAACGTATTGCATCAATATTGGTTCAAGTGGTTGATATTTATCGTTTACATTTACAAGATATAAGATTATTACAATGGTTAGATGATTGTGATGAAAATCGTTCACAATTTTTAAGTTGGCTTTTTCATCATTCTATTGAAAGTTCATTTTATTTGGAACGTGAATTACAGCTGAAAATTGATGATATTACCATTGATCAAAGTTATGGTGAATTTGATCGCTCAAAACGTTTTCTTATCTATGCCGATTATGATGATGTTGATGGTAGTGGAGGAAATCGGAATAAAACTGAACATCTGGGCCATTATCTTGGTCATTTGGATTTTGTCAAAAATTCTAGTTGTAAACTTCGAATTCCGGTAAGTTTTTTTTTTTTCTAGTGAGATTGAAAAATTTCCCATAAATTAATTGATTCAAATTATTATTTTTAGGCAATAGCAAATTTTTCACATAGGGAAATGTTTATCAATCTGGTTCTTGTCGATCATCATTGTGATGATGATGATGATCATGAAAATTATTTACTGATGATGAAATTATCTGAAACACTTGTTTCCGGTTACAGGGTTGGTCACAAAAATTCAAGTTTGAACAATTCTCACAACGACGACAACAAAAAGAAAATGAATCATCAATCATTGAATTTAAATTGTCGGCAGATTGGTCAATATGGCCAGAATCGATTAATGAAAATTTCATCGATAATTACGCTGCATTGTCGATGGGTGAATTTCTTTCAAGTTTATTTTTACGTATGAATGGTGAATATAATTGGAAGTTTTTTCGTCCATTTTTCATTGGTCGTTTTATACGATCATTTCAAGAAGAATTTGAACGATTCAGCCATCATCAGATGACAAATGCCGTGTTTGATATTGAAGAAAGTGGTATGTAGGATTTTTTTTATTGAAATGCCAAAATTTTTCAATTCATTTTTTTTTGTTTACAGTACGAAAAACTATAGCAACATTGATGTTGGTGATTGATGAACCAGATGATCAACTATTATTATTCAATAGTGTTTATCGCCATTTTCATTCGAAATTCACAAAACCATTGAACGTAACGGATTTTTTGACATTTATTGGAATTTTTTCAAAATTCCATCATGAAGATCAACTTGAATTTCTGAAAATTTTTGAAGAATTCATTCTTACCAATTCTGTTGAAATGATTATTAGTGATGATTATCGCGGAATTTATCGTTTATTAGCCCTGTTATCTAATCATAGTGGTCAATATGAAACAAAACAATTGAAAAAGATTCTGGCACCATTTCTTATTCGTTTATTAATTTCATTAACATCATCATCATCATCATCAACATTGTTATTTAAAAATATGGCCAACAACAACTACGAAGGAAAATTGGAACGTTATACCAAGATCTTACATCGTCTGATACATAAGACAATATCATTATTGATGCAATGTATTGATTATATGAAACCATATAATTGGTCTATATTATCAATAATGGATGAACCAATGTCATCTATACGCAATGTATTGAATGAAATGATTGATATGTTTTTATTGGCCCAGATTAATCGTAATGATGATTATGATGATGATGATGATGATGATGAAGAAAAACCATTTACATTTGAAAATGATATCGAAACATATCGATTATTATTTATCATTTATATTCGTTTAATTAACGATAATATTTTGGATCGCCAAAAACATTTATTACCATTATTGACTACGAAAAGAATACGTCTTTATTATTATCTTTGTCGTCGTTCCATTCAATATCAATCTACAGAATTAATGAATGAATGAATGAAAAGATGGTACAACAGGTTTTTTTGATTGTTTTTTTTTACTAAATAAAAATTTTATTGCAATTAAGCGACTGTATAGAAATTGTTTCCACTATATTGTTGTGATGAACCTTTCCATGGTATGATACGAAAACCGATCGGTGTACCATTCCATTGATCATAGACACGGATTCCGGCTTTTTCACATCGAACAAATATGGCTGTATGTTGATGTAAATGTGGTTCATCATAATGATGATTTGGACCCAAAAATGTGGCAATAGCTGTATAGGCTGGAATTTTCGAACAATTATCTTTCACATGTACACCACGACGCCATGAACTTGTAAGACCAATTTGTTTATTACCAGGTTGTCGATGACAATTTGTTTGCACTAATGCTGCACATTCTTGATTACGTCCAATCCAATGTCCAACATGTTTTGATGGATTCGTACAAGGAACATATGCATAACTGGTGGTTGCTACCACCACCAATATTGTTGTGATGGAAAGAATAGTAAATCGAATTGAAAACATTTTTTTTGTTGATTGATCAATTACAAACACTAAATTACACACACAGGTAGGCAATTGCTTATATATGAAATGTTTTGATCAATTGAAAATCGAATGATCCACTAATCACTTGAAAATCAAATGATCCACTAATCACTTGAAAATCAAATGATCCACTAATCACTTGAAAATCAAATGATCCACTAATCACTTGAAAATCATTATCAATAAGTATCAATTTAATTTTTAATCAAGTCACAAGGTTAATCGATCAAATGATGATACATTTGCGTTTGACAACAAGTGGTTTTCGAAATTTAAATTAAAAATAAATTGTCACAATGTATTTTTACAAAAAAAAATTTCAATCAACAGGAAACAAAGCGGTAAATGCATTTTTAATCTCTTGAATCATATCCGTTGTAGTTGTACTACGTGCATGTTTTTGAAATGCTAAACGTGCACAACGTCTTGTCAGCATTGATGAGGCCAAACATGCTAAAATGGTTGGCGAATAATTCTGATATATTGATGATAATGTATCAGATATTTGATTCGATTCAAATGCTTTATGGCTCCAATGTGTAAATGTACCTAATGCACCGGATAATAAATCACCTTGACCACCACAACGACGATAGCTACCTGGTTCACGACATGTATAGGTGATCCGGCCATTCGACACAATATCTTCGGGACCTTTTCGTAATATTGTAATATGACCAAGTGTTCGAGCCAATAATTCAACAGCTGATCGTGCATTATCATCACCGGTAACGGTTTTGTCTGATGATTGTTTTGGATCCGATCGAAATACGGCCGTGTAAAGTCGATCAAATTCAGCTACATTCGGTGTCAATATTGCCGCAGTATAGCCACGAACAATTTCTGGACATTTTGATATGAAATATAAGGCATCAGCATCCAAAACGATTGGCATATTTCGTTCTTTAACCTGTGCGATCACCGTACCAACGTTTGATAATATTTGATCATTACGACCTAAACCAGGACCAATAACCAGTACATGTAATTTAGGTAGAATTTCATTGAAATCATTCAAAAATTTGGTTGATCCAAAATTGGATAGACAATCAATTCTGGACTATAGGATTTTATTACAGATGCTGAATCTGAATTACAAAAAACATATGATAAATCAGCACCGGTTTTCATTGAACTTATTGCAGAAAAATATGGTGCACCAGTATATTCACGTGAACCACCAATCAATCCAATACGGCCAGCTTGTCCTTTATGAAATTCTGGTCTTAACGGTGGAATGATTGAACAAATCATTTGACGAAATTCACTAAATTCTTCATCATTATCGGCTTCAACTTTTGCTTTTTCATCAACAGTTAACTGTTCATCTTGATGATTTAATTGTTGTTGTTGTGTGGTTGTTGATTATCATCAGACATTTTTTTTAATCAAGATCAAAAATTTCCACCAATTTCAAAATAATGAAAATTCAATTTTTTTTTGTTTACATTTTTCCCAAAAACACAACAATGGGACTTTTGCTGTCAAAATAGATACAAACAAAATATTCAATAAAATATTCGAAAAGATTTCCCACAAGAGAAAATAGTGAAAAGGTGTTTGGACGGAAATCTGGATTTGAAAAACAATGTTTCGAATCGATTTTTGTCAACATTATTTTTCTTTCTAACCAACCTACCATTTTACCATTTTCAACCGATGACTTTTCTCATCTCATTTATATTTCTATTTTGCGTGACCATTATTTTCTGTTTTTGTTTGTTTGTTTGTTTTGCTGTCTTAATTGACGCATATAATAAATTCAAATTAAATATAATGAACTATTTGACAGTTTTATGAGACGGAATAGAAAAAAATGAAAATAAAATGAAGAAGATTAAGTGCATAATAATTCCAGGTAATGTAATAATGTAATAATTTAATTATTCTTTTATGCAGAATAAAAGGTGAACCTTTATTATTATTATTATTATCTTGTACTTGTATGAATAGAATTTCCGTCAAAATTCGATCACTTTTCATGTTTGAATGTCCACAAATATAAACATCGTATTCGTATACAACGACAATTACATATATTGTGGTAACAACATCTGAAAAGATTGAAAACAAAACTGAAACTAAAACTGATCATTTAATTTCAAACAAACCAAACGAACAATAAGTTTTGATCTGTGAAACAAAAAATGTTTCTTGATTATGAATCCCGTTTATGGAAACGTTTGATGAAGAATAAATATTATCGTCGTTTCCATAATCATGTATTCTATCTATATTATTATGATGATTATATTCGTCGAAATTATTGTCGACAACAAATGGATACGGCAACAATCAATTCATCATCGAATAGAAGGAAGAAAATAAATGATAATGATGATTATGATCAATTGAAATTGATTGATTATAATCAAATTGATTATGATAGCAACGTACCGTTACGACGATCATTTTGGAATTGTATCGTACCAGGCATAATATCATTGATACAAACATTTGGTGCTGGCCTTTATGCTTTATCACCAAGTTATTTTCAACAATACTCGTTTATCGGTACATTCGCTCGTTTTAATCCACCAGAAGGTCGTGAATATTTTCTGACCGCATGGGCTATAGCGGCAATTTCCGTTGTCATCATGATGTTCATCTGTATACCAACACGAGCACGACAATTTCGTTTTGTTCGCATACTTTTTCTGAATAAAAATGATCGCCATCGTTTAACAAATGAGGAATTTGAACAATTTGAACGATCACGTGATCGTATATTATCGGCTGTTCGTAGTTTTATACTTACACTCGTTTTGGTTTTTCCATTTGGTTTCCTGCCAACGATCATACAGCTAGAAGCATATAAAATTTCAATGTTTTGGACCGTTATCTGGTTCATCATAATCAATACAAATACCTGGTATCTTTTCATGAGTAAGTGATTCCATCAAATTTTTAAAGATTTTCTTTTCATTTTTTCCATTCATAGCACAATTTTATTTTCCAATTTTCCTCTTTATGATTCAATTTTATTTCCGTATGCGTTTGCGTAATCTACAGAAACGATTGTTACGTTTACAGCAATGTTTTCATCGTTATAATCATTTTGATTTGGATTCTGGTGGCAATGTTAGATTGAATCAGCAAGCAAAAATCTGGCGTCGTCAAATAAATAATGAATTTCTGCGTATAAATCGCCTTTATGTTGAATTGCGTCGTGAAATTTATTCAAATAGTAATCAATTAAGACGATTTGTCACGACAATATTCCTTGATCTTAGCATGCAATCAACATATCTTATATCAATAGTTTTATTCACTAGAGTAGCACCAGCAATAACATGGGTTATAATGCAAATCACTACAGGTATAACAACAATGTTGTTAATATTTCTTTTTAGTTGTTCAATGTTGGAATTTGAAGATCGTAAATTTTTCAATCAAAAACAAAAATGTCTCAATATTGGCAATGTAAAACGGAATATTTTTACCAGCAAAAATTCTATTAAGGTGAATATATTAAATCCAATTGATTGATTAACATTCGAATCTATATAAATCTATTTCTACCTAGCTTGACACACCAATCGAACAAACAGTTGGTTTTACAATTATACATGATATTACCATTAATTCCGAGTTATCCGTCACTGTATTGATTAATATTAGCACAGTTTTTCTTCTTAATTGCACCACAAATTCGTTGATCATTATAAGGCCAGAGAGAGGACGACGTGAAGTATTTTTGGCAATACTAAATAAGAACGGGACAAAAAAGTCAGAATCAATAAAGTAGATTTTTTAAAAAAAAATTAATGGCAAAATTAATACACCCACCCGCACACTGTTCCACTCACATACAAATCAAACAGTGTTACAACAGGCATTAAACACTTGAAAAAATTAATCCAAATAAAAAATGAATGAATGAAATAAAATTTTCCATTGAATAGCGTGTGCTTTTTAATTAAAAATAGTCGTCATCATTTTGATAATATGAAATAAAATCATCATCAAGGACAATGGGAATTATGTTGTTTGGTCGACAATTTTTTTTTGTTTCAAAAATAGATTTTGTATATGGATTACAATCTTCAGATAAAAATCAGCGTCAAGAGTCACAACATCTTCATGAAAAGACAAAAAAAAGAGAAAAAATCTTCATGATTTTTTTTCGTTTATGTTTGGAAAGATTTGACGCGATAAATATCGAAAATGAATTACATTCTGGACGTGGAATCCCGTTTATGGAAACGTTTTATGCAAAATTCATATTATCGCCGATTACATAATCATATATTCTATCTATATTATTATGATGATCGTATTCGTCGAAATTATCGTCGACAACAAATGGATACGGCAACAATCAATTCATCATCGAATGGAAGGAAGAAAATGAATGATAATGATGATTATGAACAATTGAAATCGATTGATTATAATCAAATTGATTATGATAGCAATGTACCGTTACGACGATCATTTTGGAATTGTATCGTACCAGGTATAATGTCAACGATTCAAACACTCGGTGCTGGCCTTTATGCTCTATCACCAAGTTATTTTCAACAATACTCATTTATCGGTACATTCGCTCGTTTCAATCCACCAGAAGGTCGTGAATATTTTCTGACCGCATGGGCAATATCGGCATTTTCCGTCGTCATCATGATGCTCTGTATACCAACACGAGTACGACAATTTCGTTTTGTTCGCATACTTTTTTTGAATAATAATGATCGCCATCGTTTAACAAATGAAGAATTTGAACAATTTGAACGATCACGTGATCGTATACTATCGGCTGTTCGTAGTTTTATGTGTGTGGTCATTTTGATTTTTCCATTCGGTTTCATACCGACGATCATACAGCTAGAAGCGTATAAAATTTCAATGTTTTGGACAGTTTTCTGGTTCATCATAATCAATACAAATATCTGGTATCTTTTCATGAGTAAGTACGACGACAATGATTCCATTAAATTTTCCCTACTTTCCATTTTTTCCATTTATAGCGCAATATTATTTCCCAATTTTCATCGTTATGATTCAATATTATTTCCGTATGCGTTTACGTAATCTACAGAAACGTTTGTTACGTTTACAGCAATGTTTTCATCGTTGCAACCATCTGGATTCGGATTCTGGTGGCAATGTTAGATTGAATCAGCAAGCAAAAATCTGGCGTCGTCAAATAAATAATGAATTTCTACGTATAAATCGCCTTTATGTTGAATTGCGTCGTGAAATTTATTCAAATAGTAATCAATTAAGACGATTTGTTACGACAATATTCACTGATCTTAGTATGCAATCAACATATCTTATATCGGTAGTTTTATTCACTAAAATAGCACCAGCAATAACATTGGTTATAATGCAAATCACTACAGGTATAACAACAATGTTGTTAATATTTCTTTTTAGTTGTTCAATGTTGGAATTTGAAGATCGTAAATTTTTCAATCAAAAACAAAAATGTCTCAATATTGGCAATGTAAAACGGAATATTTTTACCAGCAAAAATTCTATTAAGGTAAATATATTAAATCCAATTGATTGATTAACATTCTAATCTATATAAATCTATTTCTACCTAGCTTGACACACCAATCGAACAAACAGTTGGTTTTACAATTATACATGATATTACTATTAATTCCGAGTTATCCGTCACTGTTTTGGTTAATATTAGTACATTTTTCTTTTTGCTTGCATCACGAATTCGTTGATCATTACAAGGCCAGAGATGAGGACGACGTGAAGTATTTTTGGCATTACTAAATAATAACGGGACAAAAAAGAATCAATAAAATAGATTTGAAAAAAAAATGAAAAAAACAAAAAAAAAAATTAATGACAAAATTAATACCCCACATACAAATCAAATAGTGTTACAATAGGCATTAAACATTTGAAAATAATAATTAATCCAGATAAAAAATGAATGAATAAATTGAAATAAAATTTTTCATTGAATTGCGTGTCCATTTTCGTTAAAATAGTTGTCATCGTTTTGATATATATGAAATAAAATCATCAAAAAAAATGGCAATTATGTTGTTTGGTTGACAATTTTTCTTTTTTTTTCAGTGGTGTTTGTGTTGTACACTATAAATCGATCGATGATGGTCTCACAACATGTAATTAACATTTGAAGTGGATTTTTGTTTGTTTGTTGGTTTCAAAAATGGATTTTTGTTTGTTTGTATATGGATGAAACACAATCTTCAGATGAAAATTAGCGTCAAGAGCCAAGAACATCTTCATGAAAAGACAAAACAAAACGAAAGAATCTTCGTTTTTGTTTGGAAAATTTTGATGCGATAAATATCGAAAATGAATTACATTCTGGATGTAGAATCACGTTTATGGAAACGATTTATGCGCAATAAATATTATCGTCATATTCATAATCATGTATTCTATCTATATTATTATGATGATCATATTCGTCGAAATTATCGTCGTCGACAACAACAACAACAACAATCACGGCCATCTGATTTTGATCATTGGGAATCAATGGATTATGAACAAATTGATTTCGACAACAACATTCGGTTACGTCGATCATTTTGGAATGTTATCATACCAGGTTTGATGTCCACAATACAAACAATCGGTGCTGGCCTATATGTATTATCGCCTGGTTATTTTCAACAATTTTCATTTTTCAACACTTTTGCACGATTCAATACACCAGAAGGACGGATATATTTTCTTACTGCATGGGCAATAGCAGCAGGTTCGGTAGTCATAATGTTATTTTATTGTCTACCAACACGTTTAGAACAATTTCAATTTCTTCGTATACTTCGTATGAATTCTGGCAATAATCATCGATTGAATACTAAAGAATTCGAACACTATGAACGAACACGTGATCGTACATTTTCAGCTATACGTAGTTTTATGTCCATTTTTGGACTACTATTTCCATTCGGTTTCATACCAATAATGATTGAACAAGAAGCATATAAAATTTCATTATTTTGGACCATTTTCTGGTTCATCATAATCAATATGAATCAATGTTATCTATCAACAGCTCAATATTTTAGTCCAATATTTATTACATTACTACAATATTATTTCCGATTACGGCAACGTAATCTACAGAAACGTTTACTACATTTACAGCGACGTTTTCATATAAAACAAAATATAATCAACAACAACAACAAGATATGGATACGGAAAATAAATAATGATATTGTTCGCATTAATCGTTTATATGGTGAATTACGACAGGAAATTCATTCGGCCAGCAATCAAACACGTAGATTTGTAACGGCAATATTTTTCGATCTTTGTTTACAGGCAACATATCTGATTTCGGTGGCCATATTCACATCGGTTGCACCGGCCATAAAATTGGCCATATTGCAGATTACCATTGGCATTATAACAATGTTGACAACATTTTTATATAGTTCATCAATGATTGAACATGAAGATTGGAAATTTTATTGTCTAAAACAAAAATGTCTTAATCATTTTAGTAATTCTAAACAGAATATTGTCACCATCAAGAATTTGATCAAGGTTTGTCAATAATAATCATTTCTAGACAAAACGAAAAAATTTCTAAAAAAAATTTTCTTCCACACCATAGCTTGGTACACCGATCGAACGATCATTTGGTTTCACATTGATACATGATATTGTCATTAGTTCGCATTTATCCGTCACTGTTTTGATTAATATAAGCACATTTTTCTTTTTGCTTGCATCACAATTTCGTTGATAGTGAAAGAGAAAGAGCTAGAAATTTCCCGTTAATTAATTAATTAATTTGATAATTTAGATAAATTAAACAATCAAATGACAAATTATTGTAAAATTGTGTGAATTTTAATCTATTTAAAAAAAATTTGTGCAATACAAATGGGGTTATGATTCAATCATTTTCTTTGTCAACATTTTGTTGTTGTTGTTGTTGTTGTTTCATATCGGCGATGGTCGTTTGTTCAACAACAAAATTGACCAAATCATTAAAACCATCTTCAGTGATGACCGCTGCATCACAATGACGATCGAACAATGAATATGATGATGTTCCAATTGGTTGTTCTGCTTGTTGTTTATATGTTTGTAATATTTGTAGCTTTTCTTCATCACTCAATCTGGAATCTGATTCTTGTGTCTCGTTTTCGTCATCGCCATAATCATCAGCTAAAAATGCTTCATTGTCGTTTTCTTCATTCCATCGGATATTAACGGATGGCCGATAATAATCATCATCATCATTCCATTGAGATGACTGGTACTGCTGCTGCTGTTGCTCTTGACTTATTCTCGAATCAGTTGGTGATGTAATTTCTTCGTTTTCTTGTGTCATATTTGCTTTTGCCAAAAAAAATAGTAAGAATTGATTGAAAACGAGAATAGTGATCTTTTGAACGACAAAATCATATGACCATGATCAATTTCTTGGAAATGATTATGATGAAACAAATGTATTTTACATTTTGTTTTGAGCCAAAAAAATCAAACAGACGAGATTGTTTATCACTACATGCTTGTGATTAAATCAACCTTGATTAAAGTGATTTATGTAAAGACAGTGGTGATCAACGTCATTTTAAAGCATTGCATTGCACAAACCAACTCCCAAAACTGTAGATAATAATTTGGTTGATAATAACATTAATCACACGCAGAGATGAAATGTTTACACACATAAACATCCAATGGTTTTACTTTCATATATAAATCGTGTAATAACGAGTGTGGAATATCATCTTTCTTTTTAGAATTTCATTCAAAAATCATCATCTGAATATTTTGAAAAAAATGCCCGGCGGTGATTGGATTCCGGTCCTGTCACAGATGAAATCTTTTGTTCAGGTTATGACCGGTGATGTGGAAGGCGCCCGTCAAACTCAGTCAAATTTTTCTCGTGAATGTCCTATCATTTCGCAAGTTAGATCGGTAGCAGAATTGGCTAGTGGTAATAAAGAAGCAGCTATAGAAACTCAAAGTCGATGTCTTACTACTATGAGCGATTTTGTCGATGGTTTACCTATCGTTGGTCATGTCAAAGGTTAGTGTGGTTTGACGTTCCTCTAAATTAGTCTCTTAATTCAACATTTTTTTTTTGTCTCACAATAGGTGGAATTCATCATTTGAGCTGGCGATCATGAAAGAGGCAATCGAGCATTGAAAGCTGCCACAAGAACTTCGGTAGTGATGGGAGCTGGAGCTGTTGCTGCCGTTACCACCGGAGGTATAGCTGCCATACCTGCTGGAATTGTTGCAGGTACAGCATTCGACACTACCGACAGTATAATCAATCATAAACCAAAAGGATGTATCGCAACAGTAAATAAAGCTGTAAATAAACCAATAGGTGAAAATGTTTTCGATTTAGTATTGGGTGTTGTTTGCGATGGTATGGCTGGCTATAGTGGTGGGAGAATTGGAACAAAAATTGCAAATGTCAAAGTGGCACGATTGAAAGCTAAAATGACAGCCAAAATGGATAAATTGAATGCTGGCATGGATCCAAATAGTATTACTTTAACCGTTCATGGGATCAAAGCTTTCAGAAATTCAGAAATTAACACAATCAGACATGGCACACCGGTTTACTGGGATGATGTGAAAGGAAATGGTAAAACAGCAACAACTTCTGAGAAAGTCACATTTCCACTGATACAAACTACAACTAGCTCGTAATTTTCTCGTCATCTTTCTGGCCATCTTTAAATGCTTTTTTTTTGTTTCGTTTCTTTCTAATTACATAGAACGTATGAAGCATTTAATGCTGACTATTATGAAGGAGAACAATGTAAAGGCGATACACAGGAAAAATGTGCTATAGCTCGCAATTACGGTGGACAAAAATCGTGTGGACAAAGATATCATTCAAAATATTCATCATATAAATCGACTACAATTGAAGAGATAAAAAAAATTTCTGATGATCATAATCGTGATCCACGCGGTAATTTGAAGAAAACATGTGAACTTATTGTACGTCTTTGGTTTCTATTGTTACGTATGCCAAATGAATTCAATTACACGGTAAGTCTTTGTGAGAATAATGATTGGATGGTAGATTATATTAGCATACAACAATATTATTAATGATGATAATTAATACATAATAGGGTGCAATTACAATGAACAATGCACATGAAGGTCTTTTACATTCTTTCGTACGTCATTTTAATGAATGGAATCGTTTCATTGATATAAATGATATATTAAAAAGATTACAACCAATACGTAATAGGCTTGATCAAATTATGAGAGCCAGAAATGGTAATGAAGCTTTGAATTTTGTTCAACAGCTAAAAAGTGATATTGAATCGCTTCCAAACGATGTTTGGGTTGGTAAGCAAAATGGAAATGAGAATAAATTCAATTTTTTCATACTAAATTCCATACAAAAAAACAAATCAATAGATGTTAAATTGGCATTGTTTCAAGTGCAAGAAAGAATTTATCAATTCATACAACGCAATCTTACCTATTCTCAATATCTTGGCGAAGGAATCAACAACAATGGCCAAATGCAAGTCTATTTCGATGTCGGTGATGGACAAGTGATGGCCATTGCAGTTAGTCGACAACTTTATGATCCAATTTTTCCACAAGATAGAAGACCTGTTCGTTCTATAATTACCATTTTTTTCATGACCAAAAAAGAATATGAGAAACGTAAAACAACCATATTGTACTAACAAGTTGGACAATAATTCCATGACAACAAAATTATGATGAAACACAAACACACGCCCAAAATTGCAAGAATTATACACAAACACCCAATGGTTTTGTTACTTTCATATATAAATCGTGTAATAACGAGTGTGGAATATCATCTTTCTTTTTAGAATTTCATTTAAAAATCATTATCTGAATATTTTGAAAAAAATGCCCGGCGGTGATTGGATTCCGGTCCTGTCACAGATGAAATCTTTGTTCAGGACCGGTGATGTGGAAGGCGCCCGTCAAACTCATTCTCCAATCGTTTCGCAAGCAAGATATGATGCCCGGCTATGATTGGATACCGGTCGTGTCACAGGTGAAATCTTTTGTTCAGGTTATCACCGGCGATGTGGAAGGCGCCCGTCAAACTCAAGAAAATTTTTCTCGTGAATGTCCTATCGTTTCGCAAACAAGATCGGCAATAGAATTGGCAATCACACAGCGAATGGAATGTTGTTTACTGCAACAATTGATTTAAGGACCGTCATTTATGAACGGCCACACATATGACTTAAAAACAACACTCAAACAAATCATACCACAGATGAAACAAACAAATAAACAAACAAACGTTCTGTTCTGAAACGGACACATAACGAATTTTTTTCATTCCTTTTTTTTGAGTAAATAAAATATTCTGGCAAAAGATGCGTAGGCATTTAGTCAAACTCAAGAAAATTTTTCTCGTGAATGTCCTATCGTTTCGCAAACAAGATCGGCAATAGAATTGGCTAGTGGTGATAAAGAAACAGCTAAAAAAACTCAATATCAATGTCTTGGTACTATGAGTAATTTTGTCGATTTTTTACCTATCGTTGGTCATTTCAAAGGTTAGTGGTTTGATGTTCCTCTAAATTATTCTCTTAATTCAACATTTTTTTTTGTCTCACAATAGGTGGAATTCAACATTTGACTGGCGATCATGAAGAAGGCAATCATGCATTGAAAGCTGCCACAAGAACTTCGGTAATGATGGGAGCTGGAGCTGTTGCTACCATATTCACCGGAGGTTTAACGGCCATACTTGCTGGAATTGCTGTTGGTGCAGCATTCGACAGTTCCGATAGTATAATCCATAATGAACCAAGAGGATTGTTTGCAGCAGTAGATAAAGCTGTAAATAAACCAACAGGTGGAAATGTTTTCGATGCAGCAATGGGTGTTGTTGGCTATGGTATGGCTGGCTATAGTGGTAGTAAAATTGGAACAAAAATGCCAGATAATAACCAAGTGGTTGAATTGGGATCTAAAATGGCAGCCGATATTCATAAATTAAATGCTGTCATTGGCCTAGCCCTTACTTTTGGCAAAGAGATCACATCTTTGAATTCAAAAATTAACACAATCACATGGAAAAAAAGCTAAAAATGTATGGAGACAATATAGTCAAAACTGAAATTTTTGTTGTTTTTTTTATTCTCATTTTTCATTTTTATCAATTAAAAAATTTTCAATAATAAATCAATACAAATCAATGTAAAGTGTTATTTTGTGGAAATGAAATGAAGAACAAAAATAAACAAAAAGAAAAATAAATGAAAAAAAAAAAAATGGAAATCAAAATCTTCAGAACAATAATAATGAGAATGATGATGATGAAAAAAATGTTAGAATTTCAGAAATAATCGTTGTGGTTGTTGTTGTTGTTGTTTTGTTTTTTTTTCACAAAAATGATAGATAAATTTTACGATCATTTAAATATTGTTTATCCAATGTACGAATTGCATGTTCAACATCGGCACGTGAATGAAATTGTATTTGAGCTTTTGAGCTTGTTGTAGCTGTTGTATGTCCAAATCTTTTGAATCATTAGACGATGATTGATGATGATCATCATCTTTTATCGATGGACGAATCTTTATTCGATTCGGTGTTATATGATAATCATTGAAAAATCTACATAAATCATCTACATTTGTTTTATGTGATAAATTTTTCATTATCAATGTTAATGATTTATCAAATACAAGTAATGGTGATTGATTTGTTCTAGGTCCTGGTCCACGACGACCACCACCACCACCACCGAATTTTCCGCCACCTGATTTTGATGATGATGATGGTGGTGGTGGTGGTGGTTGTAGCATTGATGGTTGTTGTCTTGGTGGCGGTACACTTGAACGTACAATTTCATATGCAACTGGACGTATATTGATACGTTCACCTAATAAACGTGATCCACTCATATCTAATGCACGATTTTGATCATCTTTCGTAAGGAATTCAACAAACGCTTCACCAGCATTCATTTTATCCGTTGTTAACATTATATGTACGGCATATGTATCGATATTGGATTTGGCAAAAAATTGTTTCAAATCCGGTGTACTAACATGTTTTCCAAGACCACGAACCAATACACAATATGTAAGTGGACCCTGTTGTTGTTGTTGTTGTCGTTGATTGTGATGATTATAATGGTTACTACTTCCACTACCACCATGATGATGGTGGTGGTGGTGGTCCATTTCCTGATCCTCTGCCACCACCATTATTACCACGCATAAATTTTGGCGGTGGTGGTGCACTTGGCAAATGATAAGTTGGTCCAAATTGTTCATACAATAACCACGGTATTAATTCAATATAACGATGTCCCATATTACGCATATTATAGCTCATTGCATGATCAACATCTTGACGATCATGAAATTCAACAAATGCATTACCAGTAGGTTTCGATCGGTTATCGAATTCAATTTCAATATGAAATAATTTGATTGGATCAAAAAAATGTGCAACATCTTTTGTTGTACAATTGGCAAATGGTAATCCTTTCATGAATAGAGCATTTTCTTTAAAACGTGGTTGATATTTACCACGATGATGATTGGAATGATGATGATGATGATGAGATGATGATTGTGATGAGGATGGCGGTGGTGGTGGTGGACCCATTCCACCATTAAATTGTGATGACGGTTGTGGTGGTGGTGGACCACGATTAAATGAACCAATTTCTTCTGAAGGATTTCTATAATAATTATTATTATCTCGATATGGATCAGATTGTGGTGGTAATGGACGTTGTCCACCTGTTGAATTCAATGGTGGATTAGCAATCAATGGTGGTTGTTGTAATAATGGACCAGTATTTGATTGATTTGTCATCGATGGACCATTACCATTGCCGTTATTATTATTATTACCAATATCATCCAATGGTTGAACTTGTATACGACGATCACATAGATAACGATTATTATATGTTAATGCTTGTTCCCATTCTTTTGGTGAACCAAAACGTACCAATGCAATGCCTGTTGGAAATCCTTTTGAATCATAAAATATTTTGATATTATCTTCATCAAGAAATAATGGTTGAAAAAATTTTATCAAATCTATCGATTTTACATTGAATGGTAAATCATTCAATTGTAATGTAAACATTTGATGTTGTTGTGGTGGTGGTGGTTGTGGTTGCTGTTGTTGTGGTTGTGGCTGCCGAATTGATTGTGGTATCATCATTGTTGATTGTTGTTGTTGTTGTTGTGGTGGTGGTGGTAGTTGACCATATGCAGATGATTGAGGCATCGGTGGTTGATGAATCGAATCCATTTTTCGGTTATTATAATCAACGACAGATGTTTGTCGATAATTATTATTATTATTCCCATTATTATTATCATTCCATCCTCGTTGTTGTTGTTGTTGTCCTATTCCTGTTATTATTCCATCTCGATCACCATCAATTGTATTTGTATTGTTTGATACACCTGGCATAATATTTGGTTGTTGTCTATATGATGATCCATATGAAGATTCTTGTTGCTGTTGTTGTGATAATTGTTGTGTATAATTTGTTGTTGTTGAATATCGTGGATCTAAATTATTATTATTATTATTATTGTTATTGGATCCAATTAATGTTTGTGGCTGTGATGATGGTTGTAATGATCGCATCAATCCAGTTTGCATTGTATTTGCTGATGATGATTCTAATGTATTGGATTTTATTTGATCAGAAGAATAACGTTGTTGATGACCAATTTCCGAACGATTTATTGATGGTGGACTACGGCTACGACTACGACTACGTCTACGATATGATTGTAATTCTTGACGATCATTTTGTCGATGATGACCATAAGTTGATGGTGGTTGTGGTGGACCACGATGATAATCAATTGTTGATTGTGATGATTGAGATAATTGTTGTGATTGCATGGATGATGGTGGTGGCGGATATCTAGCTATTTGTGATGGAACACCAACACCACCAGCAGCCATCATTACGGGCATAGATCCAGGATAATAACCACCAGTTGGATTAGATAATGGTTGTGGCGGTTGTTGATGTTGTACTGTAGTAGCCGGATATTGTGGTTGTTGTTGTTGTGTTGGATAATTATTACCCGGATGTAATGGTTGTTGTTGTTGTTGATGCTGCTGTTGTTGTGGTATGGGTGGTTGTAATTGTTTTTGTGATACAAGTTGCGGTGGTTGTTGTTGTTGTTGTTGTTGCATTGGCATATTTGAACCAATATTTCCAACAGAACCGGAAATCATTTGTGGCTTTGTTGGTGTTACTGATGCTACTGCTACTGCTACTGATGATAATGCTGTTTGTGGCATAATCGATATTGTTTGATTACGTGCAGCATCAATAACACGTTGCATTTCATTTCTTGAGCTTAATAATAATTTAATTCTTGATCCTTTTATAATATTACCATTACGTTCCATTGCTTGTCGTGCATCTTCATCATTAGCAAATGCAATGAATGCATCACCATTTTCACCACCAACAATATGTACACCACCATCGGGTATTTGTAATCCTTGAAAAAATCTTCGTATATCCAATGAATTTGCTTCCAATGGTAGATTCTGTAATCGTATTATGATCGACATTTTTTTTTCTTTTTTGTTTCGTTTCGAAAAAATTATTCCATACAAAATGATAATGTGTCCTTCCAATATGTAATATGTTTCAGAAAGAAAAATTTTTCCAAATCGTTATCGTTGGTTTGTTAGTGTGTGTGTGTGTGTTTGTATGTCAATAATAATGAGAAAAAAAATCGGTTTTACAAATTTGGATTGTTTGCGTGCGTGTGTGTGTGTGAAAAAAAAATCAAAAATTTTCCAATTTCAATTATGATTGAATTCGATTCGATCGATAGTGAAGCCAATTGGATCCAAAAAAAAAAATAAAAAAATTTCTTTCCTTCTGTCTTGTTCGATAATTTTTGTTTTTAAAACAATCGATTCTCCTTGGTTGATTAATAATAGAATGTTTTCCAAATTTTGTACGTTTCAAAAACAAAACAAAAAATGATTGAAATCCATAAAAGAAAAGAAAGAAATTTCCATGAAAAATTATTAATTAATGATAAGAATTATAAATGAAAAAATTCCAAACCGCGATCAATGGTGAAATAAAAATTTTTTCTTGTTCATTCATTCATCATCATTATCTATATGTAAATGTAAATGGCAATAATTTTGTTCCTTTATAATGATAGGATAGGATTTTCCATAAATTATGTATAATCAGATGAAATTATTTGATGATTTTGTTTTCAAGGTGTTCAAAATTAACCAACAACACGGGGATACAGATGTCAATCAATCAATCAATTATTTGAAGATGAAAAAAAAATCAAAGCTCAAAAAAAAAATATTTCACATGGATGAAAATTCGTTGAATGAACACATGAACAACACAAATGACCATTCATTCACATGGAAAATGTTTGTTCTTTGTTTGTTTGTTTTCGGTCCAAATCCAAGTTTTCGATATTTTTCTATTCTTTTTTCTATGTTCCTCTCTTGTTTTCTGTCCCGTATATTTTTAATAACCGATATAATCTCAAAGCCAATAATACCCGATAATAATAGTCGATAATGATAATGATGATGAGGATGAGTTCTTTTTCCGAAAGAATCGTTTTTACCACAAGAGAAAAAAAAATTGTAGAAATTCAATTTGATGATGATTTGTTAGAAAACAAAAATGTGAAATAATAACAACAAAAAATGAGTCAAACAATGAAATGAGTCACAAAGTGAGCGAATGCGCACACACAAAAAAATCGTTCGACCATAATCGATACAATCGATTGTTTTTATTTATTATTTATTTTTTATAACCACCTTTTTTTCTGTTTTCGAATTCAACATTTTTTGAGTTTTATGTTTTGATGAAGAAAAATAACATGTCTACAAATTCATCTACAACGTTGATGATTGTTATCGGTAATCTACCTACGGATACAAATGTTGATGAAATACGTTCATTTTTATCGTCAATTAATGTTCAAATTCAATCAAATTGTGTTGGTGGTGGTGGTATACGAATAATTCCATCCATAGCTGCTAATAATGATGATCATGATTCATCATCATCATCATCATCATCAAAACAACAACAAATGAATGCCTATATAAATGTGGTTAGTGAACAAGATATCATAATGGCCACTGAACAATGTGATAAAAAATTATTTCGAAACAAATATCCATTATCGATACGACGAACAATGAAAAAAGAAATCAATCAAAATATATCACATTATATACGTGAAAATCTACATATGACATGTGAATGGATTGATTGTAATATAAAATTTCATGATCGATCATTATTTTTTAAACATATCAATGAAACACATGTACCAACATTTTGGTCAAATCTAAATAACGGTAATGGTAATGGCAATGGCATTGATAATGATGATGATGAAAATAAATCCAAATGTAAATGGCATGGCTGTTATGATAATAATGAATTCATGGATTGTGAACATTTTCGGCTACATTTAAGTTTACATGGATTTCATAATCAATTGATGAATATTGGTCAGCTTATAATGAATATTACCGTACCACGGTTAACATGTTATATGGATAATCCAGCACGTAATGTAATAACGGAAACATGTCAAAAATTCATTTGCGGTTGGAACGGATGCAATGCCGATTTTATGGATGGTGAAACATTTTTTCAACACGTTGATTATCATGCCATTGAAGATGTTCCGATACCAATAATGGCGAAAGAGAAATTGAAAAATGTTCGTTTCGCACGTTGCCAATGGATGGATTGTCAAGCAGCATTCAAACAAAAATTTTATCTAAAAATGCATCTACATTCACATACACAACGTAAAGTGGTTGCATGTCCAGTTTGTGGTGAATTATTCTCAACACGTATGGCATTTATTAATCATTGTTATCGCCAGGAAACACCGACAATTATTACGGCAACAACAACAACAACAACAAATCAATCATTATCATCAACATCGATAATATGTGATAAAAGTAATGATGATGACCAAGAAGATTTTGTTGCAGTTGATTGTTTGGAAGATGATGATGAACATATTCTTACTATTGATGAAAATCATCGTGGTCAATCATCGATTGTGATACGACTAGCATCTTCTAATATTAATCTACAAACTACAAATGATCCCACCACCACCACTGCCACATCATCATCATCATCAAAATCCACTAATGTGGATGAAATGAGTGAATCAATTTTATTGGTAAATTTTCCAATTACCAATAATCAACAACAACAACAACAACAGCAAGAAGAAGAAATTATACGTGATTATCAATGTAAACATTGTACGAAATCATTTCATACATTAACATTGTTACGTGAACATGAAAATAAACATCTCAGAAAACATCATTGTCCATTTTGTAAATATAAAGCATGTCATAAATCACATCTGAAAGAACATATTCTATTTCGCCATTCGGATAAATATGATTATCAATGTCAATTTTGTAATCAATATTTTAAAAGCCGCCGTTTTCTACAAAGACATATTGAATCGCATAAAAGTGAGAAAAAAATTCATCATTGTACATTTTGTGAACAAAAATTCACCACATTCTATACAATGAAACGCCATATACGTATGAAACATTTGTTGGAAGAAATTATTTTTGAATGCCATTTATGTACGAAAAAATATAATCGTGGTAATAATTTATCCAGACATTTAATAGGTAAACATTGTTTGAAAGTAGCTAATGGTTGGACTGGTTTTGAATATGTGAAACAATCATCAACAATAATCAATGTTGATGATCATCAACAGCAACAGGATAAGGATCAATTATCGACAACGACAACAACAACATCGACCAAAAGGGATGTATATCGTATAAATCCATTGAGTTGTATTGAATAATCGATAGTGGACATTCGAAGAAGAAAAAAAATTCAAATGTCAATCATAAACAACGATCATACATGATTACAAGACACATGATACTATTACGATGGTGATAATTTCATCAATTATTTTCATAGACCACATGGATTGATTGAAATGTAACACTGATTGATATTGCGGATTATGATTAAGTAATAAATGATGATTGTTTGATAACCTCCCATGGTTGTTTTTTTTCGATTGATCTGATTGATTGATTTGATTTTTCAAGTACTCTGTTTTGATCTCTGTGTGACATGGATTTTTTTTAGATTTTCCAAATTGATATTATTGGCACCTGGCGACAACGACAACAACAATGTAACATTTAAAATGATGAACTGATTTCATTTCTGGTATACATTATTATGGTGAGCATTATTACCTTGGTTACACACTGATAATTAATTTTTTTTTGTAATCGATCGCAATTCGATATCATCGCCAATTTTTATTTTGCTATAAATAGGCCAAATCATCAATCCTAGGATCTCAATCCAAATTGAACATTTCTTTTTCTACTGCAAAAAAAACTGAAATCAAAATCAAAATACAAAAATGAACATGAAAATTGCTACCATTTTGATTGTCACCTTATTCGTTGCCATCACATTGGCCGATCCAATTCAACGTAAGTTGCCAATTTTTTTTTCGTCTTCTTTGATTCTTGAACACAAACATTTCTAATTTCTTGATTGTTTTTGGTCATTTTTAGAAACCTGTCATGATAATGAAGAATGGAAAGAATGTGGAACAAAATGTCCGGATACATGTCTGAATCGTGATATTAAAAATCGTGCCTGCATTAAAATGTGTGTTACCGGTTGTTTCTGTCGCGATGGTTTCATTCGTTTAGGTTATGATATGACCGGCGGTATTGGCCATTGTGTACCAGTGGATTATTGTGATCTGATACCACGAAATTAGATTGTTGTTGATGATGATGATGATGATGATGATCCGAGAATTTTCAAAAATAAAAATTTTTTTATGAAAAAACAAACATGAAAATGAATGATTTATTGTCATTGAGATTACTTACTTCTTGTCGTTATTTTTTTTGTCAGATGTGGATTATCATCATCTGATGTAAACGGGGGTATTTAAAATTGTCGCCAAATTATGTATAAAAATCGTCGGTAATTTTATTTTTCTGGCGGCAATGTTGATGGTTTTTTTTCGCAATTTTTACATTTAGAAAAAGTAAAACAATGAAAATGATAAAATTATTATTCATTGTAATGATCATCATATTGATCATCATTATTGATTGTCATTCTGTAATTGGTAAATTTTAAATTTTGAATTTTCTTTATTTATAAAAAAAAAAATTTTCATCATTACAGCTTCATCGAATGTCAGCAGCAGCAGCTACAATTCTGATGAAAAATCAAACAAATCGAATGTTATTCCGTATACATCATTCACAAATGACATGACAACGGTAATGAAATCGAACGAAAGTGAATATCATTCACATACAATATCGATCAATGATGATGATGATGATGGTGTGTCAGAAGAATTTTTCTCACCTAAAGCACAAGGTTTTTGGGGTTGGATTTCGGATTGTATTGTAAAAGGATGGAATTGGTTAATTGATAAAGTGAAAAAATTAATTAATAAAATGTGATTATTTTAATCAATAATGATGATGATGATGATTTTGATGATGACTAAAAAATAATAAATGATCCTGTAATTCATGAACAATTTGTTTTAAATCATAATCATTTGTTGATCGGATATTATATTGTATAAAATGTATCCAACGTCGACATAATGGACATTTTTTATGTCTCATACGTGTCCATTCTTGGATACAATCCCAACAGAATGTATGATGACAATCATAAACAATTGCTTTGTTGATTATATTACCAAAACATATGCAACAATTGTCCGGTTGTTGTTGTTTGTTGTTGTTGCGATATTTGGCGACTATTTTCATTCAATTCATGTCTTTGACCATTATTATTACTGTTGTTGTCAATATTCATTTTTTTGTTGCTGCTGCTGCTGTCGATTCATAATCAAAAAATTTTTTTTTCATTCCATTGGCCCACACATTTTGACAACATTTATAATCCACATTGTATTGTATTGTTTTTCACATTAATTTAATTCCATTTTTCAAGAAAAAAAAACGCTAAAAATAACAGCAACGACAACAGCAACAATAGCAACATTTGGATTGTTGTAAAATGGGTGGCAAGAAACGAAAATTGATGGTAATTAATGGGAAATAAATAAACAAAACAAACAAACAAAAACCTGTCAAATTTGATGGTCATCATCAATGATGGACGGATTATCCCAAAATGTGACATAAATGGTGTAATATCTGTTAAACCACAACAACAACAACAACAATATGTATAAAACCAATGTCAATGGTACAAATTATCATTCATTTGAGTCAAAAGATATATCGAAAATCTTGACATTTTTTTGTTGTTTGTTACCTGTTTCAGTTTTTTTTCTGGCCCAAAAATGAAAATTTTTTCATCATTTATTTTGATTGCTTTTTTGGCCACAAACACCGTAAACGTTAGTGGTGGTCGTATTGTTTTGAAAACAAACAACGGTAATTGAAATCTGATTTATTTATTTGTTTATCATTGTCATTTATTAATTATTAGCATCATCATCATCATCACAATCGATTGTTCATCATAAACATGATGATCATGATGTTCATTCAATTAAATCGAAAGTTATACCGGACATGTCAATGTATACAACATTATCATCATCTAATTATGACAATAATCGATACAATGAAAAGCCTGAATATCGTATTCCTGGATTACAAAATGGTTCGAAAATCAATCATCAAAAATTAAACGAATCATCATCATTTGAAAATCGTCTATTTGGCAATGGACATGGACATTATATTACAATTGGTAATGTATCGGTACCAGAGGAATTTTTCTCACCAGAAGCACAAGGTCTCTGGGATTGGATTAAAAAAGGATGGAATTGGCTAACTGGTGGTGGTGGTGATGATAATAAATCTCAAAAAATTGAAAATCACATCCATAACGATAATAAAAACATTATACAAAACAATAATAACAAAGATCAAGATGGCAATAATAATGGACAAGATAATAATGGTCATAATCTAATCAATAGCAATCAAATTCCATTTATCAATAATATTATCAACATTAGTTTGGCAAAAAAATGAAACAAAAAAATCTCCATTGAAAACACACCCAAACACAAAAATGATCAAAAAAAAAAATTTAAAAACATACATCCTATATGAATGGATCTAATCTATTGAATGAAAAAAAAAAAAAAAATAAAGACAGCAGTTGTTGTTGTTGTTGTTTAAAGCAGCAGCAGCAGCAAAACAATTTGTTCGAATTTTATTTATCGGCTCAGTATGATGATGATGATTAGTGTGTGTTTTTTTTTTGTTCTTTTACAATAATTTTTTCATTTTTTCAAAGAAAAAACGCTATTCTAAATTCGAATTTTATGGTTAATAATTTATCATTTGACTTTTAAAACAACCTGAATTGACCTACGAGATTCACTGTTTTGTTCTGTTTGTTGAATGAACATATTCTCTAATTTTATTGTCGTCATCATCATTTTTTTTTCTTCGTTTGATGATGATTATTATAAATTCCGTGTAAAAATTATATGATTGATTTGAGATTTTTTTTTTTGGCTGTTGTTGCTGCTAACCACTTTTTGATCATTATCTTTTATCAACATAGTAACAAGTTATTGTTTCTTTGGGAGTTTTTTTTTGGTTTTGTTCCATTTTTTTAATATTTAATGATGCTGCTCATGACGGCACATCAGTGGTCTAAAAAACGGACTATTTCATCGCCATAAATCTGGACATTGATTGATTTTATGATACGAGAAAAAAAATAAATTCGAAAAAATGAAGATTGAACAATCCATTCAAAAACTTAATATTAATAATACAAATTCAACGACAACAATGACGACGATGGCATCGTCTACATCACCACCATCAACATCGTCATTATATACATATAATGATGTAACATCACAACAACAACAGCAACAACCAATTCATTGGAATCCGAATCCATTTTCAACAACAACATTGGCAAACAACAAATCTAGTTCCAACACATTATCCACCTCTTCAACATCAGAATAATTTTCAAGCACAATCATTTTTTATTCAACATCAAGGAATTTTTCCACAATCACCACCAATACCACCACCACCGCCGCCAACATTTTTGATTGGTACAATGCCCATGATTAATCATCAATCGATTGTGCCACCATCATTATCATCATCATCAACACAGCATCATCATCAGCAACAACAACAACAATCAGCATTTAATAATCAATTTTATGATAAAAATTATCCAGAAATGCCTATGGTGAATAATTCGAATTATGAATTACAACAACAATTATCGAATTTTTCAATTAACAATAATTATAATATGAATGATGATGATCAAATACAACGGCCACAGCAACAACAGCATTCGCAACAATTTAATCGATCCACAGCAACAACAACAACAACAACAAATGAATTGTTGAATAATAAATCAATGGATCAAAAGCGATTACCAACAAATAATAATAGTCGTAAACCTAATTGGACAAAAATAAATGTAAATGATTTATTTGAAATGTCTAAACCAAATTTTAGAAATAATAGAAGATTATTAAATGATGATCATCATCATGCATTATTGCCAACACCATCAACGGCGACTACGGCTACGAATAGTATACATCATCAATATTTTAATAATACAAACACATCTGGTGGTGATTTTGGTGGCGGTACTAATAATGATCGTAAAAATGTGAATAAAAATCGTCAAAAAAGATTGTTTATGAATAAAGATGATGAAAATCGATTGAAATTTAACAATGAAGAACCACGACGACAACAACAACAACAACAGCAGCAAGAAGAACAATTGAAACGTTTAAAATTAAATCGATTAGAAGATAAACATTTGGAGAATATTTTAGCAAAATTTGGTCATGATCTAATTGAAACTGAATGTCATATACAACGAATAATTTCATCATATTCACAGCGTACATGTACATATCTTTATTCAATTATTTGGATATATTTTGAACATCTTGAACAACGATTAAATTTTCATCATGATAATAATGATCCAAATACATTATCATATACAGACTTATTAGATGGCCGTCAATATCAATATACGGATTTTTGTTCATATGGAAAAAGATTTCAAATTTTTCTTAACCATTCAAATTGGTTTAAACCAATTGAATTGGAACAATTTCTATGTCTTATAAAACATTATGAAAAATTACATCCAAAAGATATATTGGAATTTCGTCAATATTTGTTGCATCTACGATTACAATTACAACGAAATAATAGAAATAATAATAATAATAATTACTTTAATCGTTCAATAAAATTAAATTATTCGATTGATTATCGTTCGGTTACATATGAAACATTTGATCAAAGGTAAGTGAAATTATCGATTTTTTTGTTCTATTGATAATAATAATTCTTCCATTTCTTCAGAATGCTTTATAACAACGTGATTCAATTGAATGGTTTCAAAGAAAAATTCAATGAATTTAATTCCACATATTCATTATCGAAAGAATCACGTTCACATATGATGAAATTTGTACAAATGTTTGAACAAATGCTGTACACTCATTTTGAACAATTTCGACCTCGTGTACATACATTTGGATCCATTTCCAATGGCCTCGGTACATCGAATTCGGATTTTGATCTTTTCATACAATTTGAAAAGATCAATGCAGATATATTGGATTTTCATACATCAATGATGGCATTAGAAGTGATTGAAAAGCTGATGAAAATTGAATTTGGTCTACAATTACGTAATGATCAATCAACAATCATACATAGTCGTCGTTGTCCAATAATTAAATTGAATTTTCATCAATGTTTACGACATTTGAAATTGGAAATGCCTAGGCAGCAGCAAATGAGAATGGAATTTACAAAATGTGATATAAGTATAGTTTCAATGTATGGTGTACATAATAGCCGTTTATTGAATTTTTTCACCCGATATGATCGACGTTTCTATGAGCTAACAATGGCATTGAAATATTGGGCCAAAACCAATGAATTGATATCGACACATATGTTCTCCACATATGCATTCACAATGTTGATTGTATTTTTTCTACAGCAACAAGATCCACCAATTCTGCCTACCGTTGGTTATTTGAATCGTTTGGCTAAAAAATCGAAAAATTCCAAAAAACAAATCCTTCATAGATGGGATTTTAATTTCTATGATGATGATATCGAATTGATTGGTAGAAGCAAAAATCGAAAATCGACGCCATCATTGTTTGTTGAATTTTTCAAGTAAGTTTCTCTCATCATTGAATGTTTACAATTAATTATTATGATTAAAATTTCCAAATATCAAGGTATTACAATGAATTCAATTTTTTCCTAAACGCCATAAGACCACGGCAAGGTGTTCACATCAATAAATACAAATTAGCCGCAGAAAAAGAAATAAATAATTTCCACACGTTCAATATGTCATCATTTTTTTGTATTGAAGATCCATTTGTTTTGGATCATAATGTTGCATATAATGTACGAACAAGGAATGTACATCGATTTTTTGTTTGTCTAAAAACGGTTGCTGATCGTATTGATGAAAATAATTGTCTGGATATATTGTTGGAGAAACAATTATCATGGGATCAGAATCCAGATATATTTCCACCATGTAATCTATATCGATATGAATTAATATTGAATGAAGATGATTGTCAATATGAATTACGACAACGAAAAAAATCATTAAAAACATTTAATGATGTGGATCAAATGTGGCAATTGATAATGAAATTTTTCCATCATATCATTGATCAATTATTGACAAATTATTTTTTCATGCCAACATTCACATTGAATTTATCACAACATGATCATATGATTAGCTGTCATCCACATTGGCCAACATTGGACAAAATTATTCATTCACAACATTGGCAACAATTAAGTCAATTTGTACAGAGTAAAACACCTGGATCAATCGATTTGTTAAGATGTTTTCGTAAACGATTCCGTAAAGAACTAAATGAATTTGAAAATCAAAGAGCCAACAACAACACCATAAACAATTCTGATGATGATAATGATGACAATGAAGAATGGTTCAATATTTCATATTCATATCGTCCAGGTGATTCAAATAATTTTGCCAATTTCAATGTACAAGCTGTACGTTCATCAACATTTGCCGTACTGGATGTGGTTATTGCAACATTACAAACATTTTTTCATGCTATTGATCGTTCAGATCCAATGGAAACATTTGGACAATGTTATCATAGATTTCTATTGAATGCAGACGATGATTAATTGGGACTTATATATATATATTTTTTTGGTTCAATTTTGCTCACTAAACACACAAACATTGACACACACACACACACGACTGAATGAATCTGCATGAAAATTAATTTATTATATATATCATTCATATGTTCAAAATGTTGTGATTTTTAATTGTATGTATATCATTCATATGTTCAAAATGTTGTGATTTTTAATTGTATGAATTGTATGGATTTTTTTTTAATTAATAAAAATTAATATACGAAAAAAAACCATTATCGTCGATAACGATAACGTTTAAAATGGAACCATAATTGTAGAATATTATTCTGAAATTGACAACGAAAACCACTTTTATATGAATAATTCCATTCTCTGTTGACAATTTTAAAACAAATATCTTCATATGGTGGACCGGCCGTAAAACGAATATAAGCAAATTCTGGATTATCTTTACAAGTAATAATTTTATATGACGGTGTTGTGGATTTATCAATCAAATCTGGATAGAAAATGTTGAATTTATAACCTTGTACAACTTTTGGCGGTGGATTGTCCACATCATAATGTGTTTGATTATATTTATTCCATTCAAATCCGGTATGTACACGATTAAAATAACGTGGTTTTCGTGGACGATATTTTTCAGCCCAACTATATTTTTCTTTCATCAATAATTGATGATGTTGATTTGTTGCCACAATCGAATTCGATGATGTAATTGGTTCTTCTTCCACTGAAAATATAGCTTCATCATCACCCATACCTTTACGTGCTTCACGAACAAATGATTCTTCAGCTTTTGTTAATTTACGATCATTATGGTCATAATTTGTCATAGCTTGTGGTGGCAGCGTGATATTGGATTTTTGTTTACCATCAAACGCTACCAATGGTATAGGAAATGCGGCTAATTTTCGTAATGTTTCCGTACGTTTTTCTTGAAGATCATGTTCAAAATCTTCGGCAGACATCAGTATAAAATCGGAATTTATATCAATCAATGGGAATTTTCTCGGGCTATAACCACCGGATTCATAATCTTGAATACATTTTTGTCGTAGTTCAGCTTTCGATAAGAATTCCATTTCATCTTTTTCATTACGATTCATCGTTGATGTGGTCGTTGCTGCAGCTGTCGACGACGTTGACGTTGATGGTATCATCATTTCATCTTCTTGATTCGTTTCAATCATATCCATTGAATCCAATGGCAATGGCTGTAAATGTTTAATATCTTTTTGATGTTGAGCAATAAGTGATTTTCGTTTCTTGAGATTTTCATCATGAAATTCACGTAGACGAGCTCTTGCAATCTGTGCTTTTAGTCGTGATAAAAGTGTTTCCCAATAACCAATATCGATACCTTCTTCACGTGATGCAATTTTCTTTTCAATTTGTATTTGTAATGTTTTCAATTGTTGTGGTGATTTTCCTTTCAAAATGCGAGCAATATCAGCCGATACCGATGGATTGATACCTTCACGTCTTCGTTCCTGTTGATCCATATTCGCTAATTTCAATTTGGTCAATTCATCATCGACAATAATTTGTAAATCTTTCCAATATTCGGCATTCACTTTGGAACCACTATCTAGTTCTAGATAGATTTTTATATCTTCCACTAGATCTTCCATTTCACGAATTCTTAATCCATTCAATGTATTATATGGTTCAGCAAGATATGTTGATAGATATCGAATCTTATCCTGTAAATCTTCTTCTTCTTCATCACGTCGTTGTTGTTGTAGCCGCATACGGCTTGAATCACTACTTGCTTCTTCATCGGCAATTCTTTCCAGTTCAGATTTTTGTTCCATTGTTTGATTCTCACCGAACACATTGATATATTGTGCAAGAATATCGATTGGTTTAGCACGACCTTCTTTGATTCGAAGTTTTGAACGTAAACGAGCCTGTTTTAAATGAAAATAATCTTCTTGTTTTGCCCATTCTTTAAATTGTTCGGCTTCTTTGTCTCGTTGTTGTTTGGATAATTCTTCCATTCGTAATTCACGTTCATGTTCACGTTCTAGACGACGTTTTTTCACCTTTTCCAATTCTTGACGATTTTTTATCATTTTCTCTTTATTCACTGCATCAATCTCTTGTTCATCGATACGTTTCATGCCCATTTTTTCATATTTCTTTTTCCAAACAAAAGTTTCATGTAGATTTGAATCACCGAATGGATTATCTTCATTCGTATAGCCCATATATTCATCATCCCAGCCCATTAAACGTTTACGGCGACGTTCTTTTTCCTCTTTTTTTGCTAATCGTCTTTGACGTTTTTGTTCAGGCGTTTCAAGAGCTTTAATCATTTCTTTTTGTCGTCGACGTTCATCATCATTGAATCGATGATTTGATTTTTCATTATCGGCCATTTTTTTTTTTGATACAAAAATTCCAGATGATTTAAACCGATTCAAATAAAAAACAAATAAAAATTTCGCTCAAAATTCATGCCAATCAATGTAAACATTCGGTAATGAAAAAAATAACGCCATCTTTTATTAACAAATGGAAATAATCATTTCATTATCATTGAAAAAACATCCAGGCTCGTCTTTTTGGGTTTTTGGCATCAACCATCAACAAACACCAATGAGAAATAAACACAGTGTGTAAATTATAATAATTGAAATGAAACTAAAAAAAAAAATTTCCTGATTTTTCCGTTCATCACGAGAGAAAGAGAGAAAAAAAAGATAAACATTGTTCGAGAGTTTTTTTTTTTTTTTGAAGAAGCAACAAACAAAAATCAAAGATCAAAGTGGATCCACTGGTCAAACTGGATACAAAATCCTCAGTCTCGAATCATTTCATTCATCATCAATCAACAACAAGAAAAACAGAACACAACAATTCTTTGAAAAATTCAATCAGTTTTCCATTCAAAATAGTTTGTTTTTGTGTGTGTGATTAGATTCTGTTTTTTTTTCTGCGTGCATTTTTTTTTTTTTTCTTATTTGTTTGTTTGCTCGATTTTCATTATCATCATCACCATCATCATCATCATCGAAAAAATTGCCCTGATTATTTTTCTGGTTGCTCTTCACTGTGTTATTTTTTTTCTGTTTATTAAGGATATATATGCTCTTCTTCAGGCATCCTTTTTATAAACAGAACAAAAAAAAACCTCCTCCCACACTTTACCATTTTTAGTTTGTTGTGTGTGTGTATGTTGCGTATCCATCCAGTTATATTATTCTTGATTCTTGTTCTGTTATTTCAATTCGTTTCATTATCTGGGCCATATATTTTTTTTTCTTTCCCAAATCATCCATATTTCTTCCCTCTCTCTCCTGATTAAAATTGATCCATTTTTTTTTGCTTTGGTTGTGTTTCAGTTCATTTTTTGCTTTTGCGTTCATTTTAAGGTTCGAGAATTTTTTTTTTTTTTTTTTGCTTTCGAATAAATTCGTCTAGCAGCATTATCACATTGTGTGTGTGTGTGTGTGTTGGTTGTGTTCCAGAAATATTGTATGTCTGTATTTCAGGACCTGACATCATCATCATCATCATCACCATCGCTGCTCTTTTCATATCTGTGTCTATGTTATTACAACGAAATTCTGGATTCTTCTTGTTTGTTTGTTTATGTGTGTGTGTTTTTTTAAATTCTTTGATTCAATTTCAGAATTTTTCAATTATTATAAATAAATTCAATAATTATGATTATTATAATTTGCTCAATTTGTGAAAAAGAAAACTTTTTTGACATCTAAAAACAATAACTAAATAAAAAAAAACACGAGCAAGAATCCATCAACACTTCATCGTCAATCGATTATCATTCAAACCAAACAACAACAACAACAATGGATCGACGTAAAGATTTTTTTTACAAAATTCTTTATGAACGTCCATTTTATGGTACAAATCCGGTTGCCCTTTATAATTCAGCTAAAAGTAAGTGAATCAAAGTAATTTGTTGATTCCATGATTTGATTCATCATTTTTTTTTCATTTTAGATAGTAAATATTTACTACAACGTTTTCGTTGCCTACATAGTCTTAATGCTCATAATGGATGTGTAAGTGAAATTTCTTTAATTCTTGAATTGATTTTGATATAATCGATAAAATATTAAATCTAGGTAAATACAATATCTTGGAATAGTAATGGTCGTTTTATATTATCCGGATCGGATGATCTTCATTTATCCATAACGAATGCATTTACTGGCGAAATTAAAACGAAAATTCGTACTGGCCATATGACGAATATTTTCAGCGCAAAATATCTACCCGGTACTGATGATATGAAAATTGTTTCTTGTTCTGGTGATGGTGTTATTATCTATACGGATTTAAATCGCCCTGAAACAACGTATCAAAATATTTTCGATTGTCAAGATGAAAGTGTTTATGATATTGTTACCGTACCGAATGATCCACATACATTTTTAACATGTAGTCATGATAATACTGTACGTTGGTATGATTTACGTGTAAAACAATCATGTCAAAAACATCGTATTGGTCACAGGCAAAAATGTCGTGATGATGTTCTTGTTAATTGTGATTATCCTGTCACCGCTATTGCTATTAATCATTTGTTGCCATGGCAGCTAGCTGTTGGTTGTTCTGATTCTATAATACGTATTTATGATCGTCGAATGTTGACAACGAAATCATTGCGTGGTACTTGTCCATCAACGGCAGAACAAAATGCATCGATTGTAGCCAAATTCACTTATGATGGTTTGACAGATTTTAATCGTATTACATCGCTAGCATATAGTCGAAATTGTCAACAATTATTAGCATCATATTCAAATGATAATCTTTATTTATTCAATTTATATGAAGTACGTGATACGATAAACATTGGTAATGAATCCGATATGATAAATGATCGTCCAAGACGTTTACAGCCACCATATAAACGTTTTCGTTTACGTGGTGATTGGTCCGATACTGGACCTAGTGCTCTAACAACAGAAGAATTACGTAATAATGATAGTCCTCAACAACAATCATCCGATACAACGGTAACAGCAGCAACACAGCAACAGTCACAAAATCAAACATCATCAAGATCGACAACAAATTCTTCGATTCATGGTGATGGTAGTGGACAATCATCATCATCAACAGCAACGACAACAACAACAACACCACCACCACCACCAAATCGAAGTAATGATCGATTACGACAATTGAATACAATTTTAAGCATTTTATTTCGTAATTCACTTCGTAATGATATTTTAAATGAAAATGTTGAGGAAACATCATCATCATCATCAACAACAATGACAACGGCAACAACAACAACAACAACGACGACGACCACAGTCAATAATATGTCAACACAGGCGACAAATAATTCATCACCATCATCATCATTGTCATCAAATGATAGTCATCAAAATACACCAAATACTACTGTACGTGAACAGCGAACAAATCATAATCAGAATAATAATCAAAATGATAATCAAGATAATAATTCTGAAAGTTCGTCAGATAATTCATTGAATTATTTTATACAAATATTTGATGATGATATTGACTATCCATATTATTCAAATCGTGAACAAAATAATAATGTTGATAATGATGATGATCCAATGAATAATGATGGCAATGATAATTCAACAACAATGATCGATGGTGATGGTGATGGTGGTGTTCATGATCATGATCATAATCATAATGAAGATGATGATGATTTTGATTCCGATACAACATCTGATAGTGTATTTTTTCACGATATTTCATCAATTGGTTCGAATTCAACAACCACAACAGCACGACAAAGAAGTCGTAGTTCATCATCAAATGATTCACGGCAATCATCACGTCGTAAAATTCGAAATAATACTATTAACGGTAATAATAGGCCAAAGATGAACAACAATATGATTGGTGATCAGAATAACCGTATAACAGGGCTGACATCATTTGATAATAAACGTACACGAACGTATAAGATAAAAATTTTAAAAATTTACTGGACATCGAAATTCTCGTACTGTGGTTTGTATTTGGATTTTTATGTTGTATTTTTAATAAAATCTTTCTTCGCTTGTATTGTAGATAAAAAAAGCCACCTTTTGGGGTGATAATTACATCATCAGCGGTAGTGATTGTGGCCATATATTTTTCTGGTCAATTGAAACTGGTGAAGTTGTTATGGTGCTAGAAGGTGATCAACATGTCGTCAATTGTTTACAGCCACATCCTAATGATCCAAGTAAATGATTATATTGCTTGTTTATATATTGATTGGTGATTTTTTAATAATTTTTTGTTTTCGTTTTCTTTGATTTTTAGTTTTAGCATCCAGTGGTATTGATTATGATATAAAAATCTGGGGTGCTGATTCGGATGACAATCTGTTTGATTTGGAAAAAACTAAAAAAGTAATTTTTTTTTCTATCAAATTTCCATCAATAGCCGATAACATTGATTTTGTTTTTTTTTTGTTTTCATCATTACAGCTTATAAATCGTAATAAATATCTGTTACAAGAATCACGTGATACGGTTACTGTTCCTGCACGTTTCGTATTGAGCCTTTTTTCATCTATGCGTAAGTTTCCAAAAACAAAACAAAAATTAACCATATCATTCTGTAAATGCTACATTTTTTTTTCTCCAAAAATTAAGAACAACGACAACAACGTTTTCGTGATCGACAACAACAACAACAGCAGCAAAACAGCAATAACAGCAATAATAATCGTAATCAATCATCATCATCATCGACTGATCGTTTGGATAGTGGATGGATCAGTGATGGTGGTGGTGGTAATAGTCGTTTGAATAATAATCGAAATAATGATATCGATATGGATGATTCTTGTTGATTTTTTGTTGTATCGATATATGTGGATTCTTTATTTAAATTCTGTGATTCAACACACATATATATACACACAAACCACTCACAAATTCACCATTTATGGATATATTTATGAAAATTCATTTCACTATCTCTATCTCTTTCTCCCCCTGTATCACACAGACATGAAAAAAAAATTTGAAAACCAAAAACAAAAATCAACAGAATCATATTTGGGTTTTGGAAATCAATAATATGAATAAATAAATAAATGTTTTATTTTATTTTTTAAAATAATTCATCATTTGAAAAACAATTTAAATTTTTTTTTTGATTTTTAAAAAACAAGACCAACACACCAAAAATAAAAACAGATGGATACATTTGTCAACAAAAATACATTCATATTTTGATTTGATTAAGATTTTCATGGCTTTCGTGGATGAATGATAATCAAATTTTCAAATTGGCCTTACTTGAATACTGGCTTGAATCACTGGAATTGGAGTTTGTCAATACACTACATGTTGTATTTTTTTCAACAATTTCATCATCTAAATTGAGTTTATAAATTTGATGAAATTGACTCGAATGATTACTAATGGTTGATGATGATACCAATGAATTTGGTTCAGAATTTTTTCCATCACCAAAATTAACATGATTTTCAACACCACCATTAACATAGATTTCATTACCGGATGCATTTTTTTTCATAAATCGTCGTTTTCGCATTACTAGCCATGCAATTGTTAATGGTATTGGTGTCATTATTGATGCAGCTACTGGTACGGCTGATGCTAAATCTGCATCCGGTTGTCCCAATGATAAACCCAAAACAACAATTGATACGCCGGTATTCTGTACACCAGTTTCGATGGCAATAGTAAGCATATCTTCCAATGGTTTACGAAACATGTATGCTAATATGAAACCAAAAAACATTCCACACCAAACATTAATGGCAGCAGCAACCAACATTTGCCAGGTCATTAATTTAAACATGTAGAAATTTGCATATGTTCCAAATACGATAATAAATATGATCATTATACCAGAAAATGGTGCCAATATTCGACGTGATACCTATATATCATAAAAACAATGATAAATCTATATGAAACCAAAATTTGTTAAAAAAAACAATGAAACTTACAGCAGCAACTCGTGGTAAAAATTGTTTTATAAGAAGACCAATACCCAGAAAGATGACCATCGTGAATAATGTTGTGAATATATTTCGAAAAGGTGGCGATGTCGATGTTCCTTCGAATATACTACGACCAATTGTATATAGCCAAAATGGCATCAATCCAATCGATAACATTGTGGATAAAAATGTCATCGTTATACTTAGATTAAGATTACCATTCACTAATACGGTCCACATATTGCTTGCACCACCACCTGGACTACAGCCAAAAATAAAAATACCCAATTTTAAATAGGTTTCTTCAAATAATAATGTAGCCAATGCAAATGATATCTGAAACAGAAACAAAAGATTATTAATGATTTTGAATTGTCAGAGAAAAAAAAAATCAACATACCAATGGCATACAAAAATATTGTGAAAATAATCCAATAGCTGGTGCAATAGGTCGTCGTAGAACATCGGAAACGGCTTGCAAATCTAATGCACAACCCATATTAATATAAGATATCGAAACAACAATAGCAACGGAATAGATGAAAATTTTCGAAATAAGATCTTTATCTCGAATAATCGATATAATCAATTGATAATTATTTCTTAAAGAATTTGAATTAATTATCGTGTCCCAAATTGATTCGGATGTTTTTCGTCGTTTTTGTAATTCAATATGACAATAACCAAGAAAATTTCCTTTCACAATAAATTGACCACGATATTGGTGTTCATTATCATTATTGTGAATAATTTTCTTGGGATTAATTTCAAAATCATAACGATCATTACCACCACCAACATCATCATCAATATTGGTGGCAATAATATTTGCTACATCTGGACGATCAGCTATAAATCTATAATGACCACTTAATTCATTGATAAAAGGTGATGATAATTGAAATTCAATCGGTGTACTTTTTCCTTCATGCAATTGAATGGCTGCTACAGTTGCTGTTGCTGGTGTTGTTACATTGAATGTTACCGATATTAATGCAGTAGAAATTTCAATCATTAACATTAGAATTGTGAATAAAAAAGTGAATAATATGAATGGGCACATTGTTTGTTGATTGTGTTGTTGAAACTAAAATTGAATTTGATACGAATAAATAATTATTATCACCATCGATGATGATCTATAAATGTTGAAGAAAATTTTGATGAAAAATTTTGTTTTCAGTACCACGAAAACCAAGAATAGAAAACACAATAAATCAATCAATAGAATAACAAATGAACAAAAAAACTGGAAATAATCGGATCCACATCTGCCAGCCAATATTCTATTTCGAATGATTATTATTATTATTATATCCAATGATGATTGTGATTATTGCACTAGATTTTTGGTAAATAACAAAAAAAGAAAGAGAAAAAAAACGTGATTAATTTATATATGGTGAGAAAGAAAAATTTCAAAACTATGATTATGATGATGATGATCACTATGGTGATTAGAAAAGAAAAAACAACAACAACAACAACAAGTAATTCAATCAATCGATCAATCTATCTGCTCGAAAAGGACTTGAAATCAAATCCAAAAAAAAAGAAAAAAGATTGAACATCAAATCAAAATCATCATCAAATCTAAATCTAAATATAAAGTACATTTAATTACATATATCTAAATTTGCACTTGTCTAATCGTTCAATCTACATGTGGAAAGGACAAACACATCACATGTTTGTGAAGAAAAAGGGTTTTGAATTTCTAAAATGTAGTAAAAAAAAATCAATCGATATCGATGAATTTATATATTTATCGCAATCGATATTTTTTTTTTTTTTTTTGTTCAAACATGTGGACAAACAAACATCGGGGGCACAAATTTGTGAATTGTGTGTGTGTGTGTGGCCATAAAAAATCGATAAATCTCAAATATTTACCCAAACACAGAGAAACACACACGTACAATTTGTGGAAAAGAAATTAGTAATAATTCATCATTTCAACATGAGAAAAACAAATTGAATCAATTTTTTTAAAAAGGTCAGAATAACACAATTTTGATCTAATGATTATTAACATTGTGTGTTATGGTGAAATTCTAACCTTCAAATGAACAAGAATATTCAATATCGACGATTCGAACATGCATTAAATTTTTCATTCTATTTTTATCACACACACAAAACAAAACAAACACAATGTTACAGATTCTATGAACAGCTGTAATTTGATTCTTTTAATTTTCAAAAGATTCGAAATTTTTTTTTTTGTTTTAAATCAATTTCGTCAAATTATTTGAATTATTTTTTTTCCTCACATTAAACATCTAAATAGGAAATATGATCAACAATGTATATTGAGGAAATGACATCATCGTCGACAACAAAAGGTCACGTAGATTTCAGATTATAAAATGGGAGAGAGAGAAGGGCACAAAGGAAATGTAATTTTTGATTATGATTTTTTCTCTCCCATTAAAAACATCTGTAATGTTTGTTTGTTTGTTTGTTTTTCTATCGAATCATAAATTAATTAATTAATTAATTATGTTTGACAAACAAATTGATATTCATGGCTATTCAATAACAATAAACACAAAATCTGAATCAAAAGTTTACAATTTCTTTCACTCTTGTCAATTACAAACTCAACTTGAATGAATATCATCGAATTGAAAATGAGAAACCTTGGCAACAACAACAACAACAACAAACAACAATTGTGTGGTTGGATTAGTTTTCGGTCAAATGAACAACAAACGACGACAATATTAATGTTGATTGATTGATTGATTGATTTGTTGCAAAAAAAAAACACAGAAAATAATACACTGCACATGGCCAAAAATCAATTTTTTTTCATCATCATTGGTTCGAAATAATGAAATGCTTTTGTTTCGTTTAGACTACCATACGTGGATTTTTTGTGTTTAATACAGAAAAAAAACAAATTCAGAAGAAAATTCATTAACTTTCGTTTGTCAAATTGATTGATTTTTTTTGGTGGCCGAATTATTGTGTGTGTGTGTCTGATATATTAGTCTTTGTAGGTCGATTGATTTTCGATGAATGACTTTATTGGACTAGATATTCATTTACTAGACTAATGTGAAAAAAAGAACTATCAAATGGATGAAAACAATACCGGAACAACAAACAATGATGATGAGAAATGAAAGATGAAACAATGCAATAAAATTCAGTAGAAAAATCATCATATTACACATAGACAACAAAAAATATATATTTCGAATGATTTTTTTTCCGAATATCGTCGAAAATTAATCCACTTACACACTAATAATGATGATGATGATGACGATGATGATCAATGACGAAGAAACTGTTTAAAATGATCAACAAATGATCAACAACAACAACAAAATAAAAATAGCACAATTTCATCGATAAATATATAAAATAAAACGAAAGAAAGAACGAAAAAAAAACAGATCACAGCTAATATATAGGACACATGAACTGAGCTGCCACCACTTGTGGTAAATTCAATCGTTCAAACGATTTATAAAAATAAAAACGAGTTGTTTTTTTTTTTTTTTTTTTGGTTCACATTCAACAGGTTAAGACGAAAACGACGTAATATTAAAAAAAAAAATACGCGAGTATATGATGAATGAAGAAATTTTTCTTCTCTTTTGTTATTGGAAAATCCAGTAAAAAAAAAAATGAAAGAGAAATTGTTGAATTTTAAACATAAAATTTGTCTTTCATTGACAAACCAATTAAGTATGTCGATGATGAAGATGATGTACAAACAAGATAAATAGTAAAAGGTGAGAGAAACTTGTTTTTGCTTATGTCAGAAAATGATTTTGAGAAAAAAAAAAAAATGAAAATGAAAACGAAAACGAATCATAATCATAATCAAAATCAAAACATTCGATCATTCGACACGGATATTTTCATTTTGATTTTTGTCAACCATTCATATATGAAATGACGTTATTTGTTTATTTATTTTTTTTAAATTTTTATTAAATTTCATTCATTAGATAATTCTGATATTATAATGATAATAATAATCAAACGAAAAGAGATGAAAAATGAATGGTCAAAGATTTTTTTTTTGTTTTGTTTTTCAATTACTGGATCACAATAAAGAAATAGGAAAAAAACAAATGAACAAAGCAGAGAATTTTTAGTTCAGATATATTGTTGTTGGACACATCACACAATTTTTTTTGTTTTGTTTCATGTAAATAATGGATCAAATTGTGATAATAAATCTTTTGGTTCATTATTATTGCTGTTGTTGTTGTTATTGATATTATTATCGATTGTATCTGTTGTCTGTCCATTTGTTGTTGTTGTTGTTGTTGTTATTACTGGTGTTGTTGGTAAAATTGAAATTTCCGATTTAATCATTGTTGATGATGGTTGTTGTTGATCACTATTACCACCATTACCATTCAATGACATTGTTGATAAAATATCAGGTAAACGATCCGATGATGATGTTGTTGATGATGAACAAGAAGATGATTTATCATTATTTTTTGATCCATCATTATTATCATTATTGTTTTTTATCACAGGTGCTGCTGCTGGTATTGGTGTCAATACTTGCCAACCACGTTTTGATTCTTGTTCCAATATTGCAGTAATATTTGTTGCTGGATCTGTAGTAATAACAGGCTGTTGTGGTTGTGGTTGTTGTTGTTGTTGTTGTGGTTGAGGTTGAGGTTGTGGCATACCATGATAACCACCAAGTGGATAGCCAGGATAATTTGGCTGCTGCTGTTGATGTTGTGGAACATTTGTCAGTGTATTCGACGGTGCACCCGGATACGAAGGCATCATTGGTGATGGTACTGCTGGATATGGTAGCTGTTGTTGTTGTTGTTGTGATGGATAGTGTCCAGTTATTTGTCCAGTATTTGTTCCAGCAATCGGTTTAATCGGATAATTGACATAATTTGTTTCATTTGAATTTAATTGACCAGTATTAGCAGTAGTATTAGCCGATATTGATGATTGTGGATAGCCAGTATTATTATAACCGGCTATTGGAACAGAAGTAGCAATAGAATTTGGAATTGAAGTAGAATTCGAATTATTATTATATTGATGATGATAATTATTATATGTTGCTGACGATGATGGAATCATTGATGGATTCGATAAAGTCGCTGTTGATGATGGTGGTTGCGGATATTTATGAAGATTATTAATCGGTAATATCGATGATATTGGTTGATTTTGATTGAATGTAGTGTTTACCAATCCACCAGCAATATTGCCACAGCCACTAACATTTGGATATTGTGGCTGCTGCTGTTGAATATTTGATGGTATTGATGAATTTACCGGTAATGATCCACCACCACCACCACCACTACAATATGGATGTATTTGTGTAGAAAAACCTTGTGAATATGATGGTGGTGGTAGTTGTTGTTGTTGTTGTTGATGTTGTGGTTGTGGTAATGATGAATATTGAGAAATTGAAGCCATGTTATTTCCAGGTGTTATTTGAAGATTATTATTTAAATGGCCATTGTATTGTGATGCAATTGGTTGTTGCTGCTGCTGCTGTTGTTGACCAATTATTGAACCACCAAATGTTTGACCAGTAGCTGTACGAGGAGGAACAACGGAAGAAGGAGGCATTATCATATTTGGTGCAACTAAATTGGTTCCAGATTGTATTGGTGTTGGTGGTGTAGGCGTTAATGATGATGGTGGTGGAGCTGATGGTGCAAATGTGATTCTCGATAATGGTGATGGTGATGGTGAAGGCGGAACAATTGACGAATTACCACCAATAACCGTAGATGATACAGTTGGTGGTGGTGGTTGTTGCATTAAATTCGTACGATTCGATGCTTTCATAAATGGAAGATAATCTTTTAATTTTGCACCAGTTATCGGTATGCCAGCCGATATCATTGAATCCATTCCAGTGGATGGTAATCTATTTGCACCAATATTATTATTTGATGAATTATATGCAGATGACGGTTGTGGTAATGATGGCGTCATCATATGTAAACCTGTTGCCGGTTGTTGAGCCGCCTGTCGCTGTAACAATTGTTGTTGTCGTTCTTCATCCTGTACTTTGATTACACCACGTATTCTGGCATTCAATCGTATTACAATAGATTGAAATTTACGATAAAATTCCAGACCTTTATTGGAATTTACTTGCAGCTCACGAAACACTTGATATGTATATAACAATGATGCGATACGTGTTTTACGATTTCTTTGAATTTCCAACAATTCTTTACGTGTATCGGCATAATTTGCATTACAATTTGTCATTGCTTGCAATATATTCTGCTGTGCAGATAAATTTTGTTCCAATAAACCAATAATTTTATCATATTTCTGGATTTCAATGTTGAAAATTTTTTCCATCTCATTTTGTGGATGTGCCAACACCAATTTCATTATATTATCATCATTTACTTGTTTAGTTAATTGTTCTTCAAACATTGTACGTTGTTTTTTCATTTCATCAATTTTATCAAATAAACGTTCCATTTCATCAACAATTGTTTCATCATAATTTACATTCTTATTTGATGGCAAAATTGATGCAATTTTCATTGCTGATGATGACATCATTATTAATATATCATCTTTATGTTGATCAAAATTATCCCATAATGATTTATTTGATTCTATTGCTTTTCTATGTGTTTCTTCATGTTTTGTTAATTCTTTTGATAATTCCATTATAATCATCGACGATGGACGTTTACCAAATTTTTCTTGATATTTTTGTTCTTTTTCATTTTCTTCGTTCAATAATTCATTAGATTCTTCAATATATTTTCCAGTATCATTACTAACTTGATCTAATTGTGTCAATATTTTTGCCACTTCTTCCACCGATTCTGGATTCAGGCTAAGTTCAGCACAAATATTTATCAATTCATCTGGTATTGCATCTTCTTTCGGTGTACGTAATTGTTCTTTGTCCAACAACAATGATGACATGAATGATACAAGTTCTTGATTTTTTTCTTCAATTTTCATACGAATATTTCGTAATAATTCATCTTTTTTCGCCGAATAAATGGATGCCAATTCATGTGCTTGAATTGGCACTAATCGTGCAAAAATATCAGGACCAGAAACTTCTGGATCACATACGTTGAATGGAATTCCTTTGACAAGTGAAACACCTTTCACTTGTGGTAATGCAGCAATTGGTGGCACTTTTGCATGATAAATGAAATCATTTTCTTTTTTTGAATTTTGTAATTTAACCATAATAACATCATTGACAAATGCAATGGCTTCATTAATTATGGATACACCACCAGGGTGATCATCCAATTGTTTTGCAAGCAAAGTGGCTAATTGAATTTTTTCCGATGCCGATTCATACCATGCAATACGTTCACCCATTTGTTGTTGATCTTCTAATGCGTTGGCCATATACAATGAACAAATGGAATCATAATATGATAATTTAAATTCAACAAATTTTTTCCATCGTTTAAATAATTTTCCACCAACAATTTCAATGATCGATGATTGTGTTGCACTTGTATTCATTGCACCTTGTTGTAACATTGACATTGCACAACGATAATAATCGACCACTTGGACGGTGATTTTAGCCACCGTAGATGCTTTACGATTATCCAGCATTGATTTTTCCAATATACATTCTTGAGCTTGTGCCAACATTATTTGGATGAAAAATTGTAAAATATCATTACAAAGATCAGATGTACGAAATAATTTTCTATCATCAATTAAATGTTGAAATGCCCATGCGGCACATTGAAAATGTGTACAGGCAATTTTCATTTCATCTTGTGTTTGACGACTATCGGTTGCGGCACCAAGTTCAGCATGTAATGCACCAATATTATATAGTATACATGCTAATTCAAAATCCAAATCACCAATAGTGGTTTGTCCAGAATAAATATCCGCCCAAACACATTGTATGCCAATTGAATTACAACTACTACTATTTTCATCGCCATCAAATGTACTGAAACGATTAAATAGGCTTGATATTTGACAATAATAACGTTTCAATATTGAACATCCAGTTACATCACGTGATGCACGACATGCATTCTGAAATTTAAATTAAAAAAAAATGGAAAATGGATTCAAAAATTTCAATGGAAAAAAATTGATTCACACTTACATTACGTAAATTTTCCAATTCCAATATTTCACGATCATAAATATCACCATCTTCACCATAATATTTACTGATAAACTGTAAATAATGAACAAAACAAAACAAAACAAAACAAAATTGGAAATGATTCGAAATTTGCTTTTCTTACCCTTTTAAATGGCATAGCAAAATCCGGACAAACGGGACTGATTTTCATTTCAAATGATAACATTGGTAATCGTGGTACGGCTTCCATATTTTTTTTTTTATTTATTTATTAATGATATTTTGAAGTTAAAAGTGCACAGAAAGTAATTCGAATGTGTTTGTTTGATTGATTGATTATAATTGAATTGTTTGTGTTTGTGTCAAGTTCGAAGTTGAGGTTTTTGCAAACTCAATAATCCACACAAAAACAAAATGAAATGAATCATTCAATTATTGACGCGTATGATAATAACAAACAGAGAAAAAAAGATGTTTTTGAGTTTTTTTTTATGATTATGATGATGATTTTTATTTTTATTTTTCTATCGATGGCAACAAAAATTTGTTGAACGATGATTATGATGATGATGATGATTGAAAAACAAAAATTATAAACGCATCATCATCATCATCATCGACAACAACAACAATATACACAAACACAGCTGCTATAGTAGCAGCACATATATACCCGCACCAACGACGTTCAGCCAAAGATGACGTTACTGTTACTTCCGGCCTTTGGTTAGGAAATTTTGGGGTGTAACGTTATCTTTGAACGTTCGTCAACGTTGTGAACTTGAGTCATTTTCGAGTTGATCTATTTCTATAAAAGGCAAATTCAATTCCACTCAAAAAAGGAAATTAGAAAAAAGAGTTTACACGTGTGTTCATCTTGCTTGTATTTTCTGTTGTCGAGTCTAATGATTGTATTTTTGTTTATCTTAAAAAATGTTATGTCTATAAGACATAATGTATTTCAATGAGAGCATGATTTGAATAATTGGCCTTCATTGATAAAAATGAATTTCATTGTTAAAGTTAGCAATGATCATTTCAAACGTGAATTTTATTGCATTTGAAGAATGGAAGCGGAGAAACGCCAAACTATAAATCATATATAGTTGTGAATATAGCAAAGGTTTTTTTTATTGATTTAAATTTTCTATATTTGAAAATATTCTAATTTTTTACTATCATTTTATTTGTCTATAGGTTTAGCTAGATTCACATATGATGAAGCCAAACCACTGGCAATCGCTATCCGAATACATCGAAAATCAAATTCGGACACATCTGAACAACTGGATAGTTACACAGTTTATCGAAAATTCTTACCAACAAAATCATAATTGTAAATTTATTTTCTAATATTTGTAAAAAACTACTAGTGTTTTTCTTGAAGAACATCCAATGTTAATCGAACAACACACACAACTACCTCACAAACAAAATATAAATAACAGCAGATTTTATTTAAATAAATGAATTTTTTTTATTTTGTAATTAAAATTTAAAGTGATCATCATCAGAATTTTTGTGGCTTATGCCAGTTTTTTTTTTTTTTTTGGAAAAATGAAATATTTATTTTATTATGAAAATGAATTGAATGAAAAAGTAGATTCATTAGATTTTTGTTTTTCATTTGTATTCTACAGGACAAAAAGAAAAAACAGGTCATTTAAAAATTGAAAAAAAAATTTAACAACAAACAAAAAAAACATACCGAAGACCATATGATGTGGCGGATACTGTTTTCTTTTTCTCAAATTCAAACATCTTTTTTCATTTTTGAATCATTTGTTTGGTCATAATTAATTGTCATTTGTTCAAGTTTAGATTTTTTGACTGACTGTTGATAATAATAATTCCACCACATCTATATCCATATCGTCATCATCATCATTTTTTGTTTCTTCTTTATTATTATTTGATTTTTTTACCCGTTCTTTTTTGGCTGATATTTTTCGAAATCAATTTTCGGTTCAATACGAACAGCCTGTTCACTTGGATAGGCCCTATCTGTAAGTTTAAAACTTGTCAGCGCTTTTTCACGTTCATTTTTTTCCATACGTTCATATTCTTCAACGAATGCATCCAAATCTTTTTCCCAAAGCATTTGGGGCGTGGAACGTTTAAGTTCTTCTAGTTCAGATTTTTTTGCATCACGTTTTTTCATTAATTTTTCAACTCTTTCTTTTATCCATGCTCGAATTGGCATACCGATGAGATAATCAAAATCATATTTTTTCTCCTCTTCCATTTCAGGAATTTTATCATCATCTTTAACGTCTACATTTTCATTATTCGACGTGGTGTCGGGTTCATTTTGATCGATATTAAATTTTTTAAGCCATGTTTTCACAGGATCCGAATCAAATTTTAGTTCAGTCAATACTTTGTGAAATTCTTTGTCACCATCTTCATAATTTTCCATGATGATTTTTTTAGCCTTTATTGCCAAAATAAATCGAAATTGATTTTCAAGTTTTAATATTTCAGCTTCAAGCATTCCTTCATGGTATTTCTTACGTCGAACATAGAAATCCAAACGAACATGGAAAAATTCTCGCAAAATATCCAAAGCGGATTTATATCGTCGAATAACACCATTTTTATCTAACAAAAACATCGATGAAATTGACATTGAAGTTTGTAATTTGAATTCTTTATGTATGCCATCTTGAATTACTTTTTCCAATGAATTTTCATTCATTTTAATTATAAATCTATTATTAAACAAAAACAAAACAAAACATTTAGGATTGAAGCTTAAGAAAAGAATTAAATCAAACACATACTTGGTAGTGGTATAATATGATTCATAATCATTGATGAGTGGGAAACTTGTTTCGGTACCATGTAACATAGGCTTCAATACTGTTTCTTCATAAGGCAAAGTCCAGGTGCCGATTGGCAATTCAGTAATTTCAATAGTCTGTTCATCCAATTTGGCAACTTCACCATTAATAACATAATTCATTGGTTCCACTTTCACCACGGTACCTTTGAAATTTTTATACCATGGATTCATGTCCAAAGGTTCTTCATTACGAAGCATTCGTTTAATATTTTCAACAATAGCTCGTGGATCATAACTAGGAATCATAGTCTTACAACCACTGCCAACTGCACCATTGACTAAAACCATTGGAATAATGGGAACATAATATTTGGGTTCAATACTTTGATTATCTTCATACTGATAAGCCAATAATGGATCATCCAATGGTGGAAACAATTTTCTTGCCAATGGACTTAACATTGTGTTAACATAGCTAGGTTTGTCAGCAGCAACAGCTTCAACACCTAGAAATCTCGATCCAAATCCGATTTGATCAAATGATTGAAGAAGACTAATATTATTACTTCCAACAAAATCCTGTGCCAATTTGAAAATGCTTTTGATCAAATATTTTATACAATGATTATACAGAGTCGATGCTACGACCAATCCGGCTAATTTTTCCACATTTACATTATCTTTATAATTACGTTTAAAACAAGTATAGATTATTTTACGTTGCCAAGGTTTGAATCCATCCACCAACGATGGTATCAAACGATGTGAATTAGCCATACGTAAAATATCACTCAATACATTATCGAAATCTGAAATAATTTCATTAATGAAAAAATTTTTATTATATTATATCATCATATATTATTATAATCACCTTGATTGTTGGACATTTTAATATTCTGATATGAAAACAAAATAAAAAAAAAGAATGTGAATCTATGGGAAATGGAAAAATAGACAATGTTAATGGAAAAAAAATCAAATAAAAAAATAATAAACAAAGGATAAAATCATACAAACCAGAAAATAAAACAAACAAACTGTAGAATTATTCGATCAAGGATTTATTTCGATAGATGGATTGAAACAATTTGATTCTGATGATGATGATGATGATGATATAAATGATGGAAAAAAATAAAATTCACTTTTCAGTCAAAAACGGAATTGCAACAACGTTTGTTAGTTGCATCATCATCATCACTATTTAGTAATAGAACAATCACTCACTCACTCACACAAAAAACGCGCGCACACACACACACGAACCATACTTATATGACGTACTCAAACATTTTGTAAAAGTGAATATGATTAGTGAGTTAGTTTAGGTTAGGTTATTTATGATTTTTCAATTTTTTTCGTCAAACTAATGTTTAGGTTCTAAACAAGCGTAATCTGTGAGCTGTAACTTTGACAATGCTTTTGAGAACAGTTCGAAGCGACATTTCTGTTGTTGCGGCTATAAACAGCAACGATTGAACTTACATCATCGATTTAAGTTTCCCTGTCTTTGATTGAAAAACTTTTGATTTTTTTTTTTGGCCAAGAATTCATGATTCAAACTCATAAATCTGCACTTTAGCTCCTATTCATTTTCAGGGGGCATAGCTCAGTGGTAGAGCATTCGACTGCAGGCGACGTTAACCTAACCTAACGCACAAGGGTTGTGTGAAAACAAGTCAAGAAATCGAGTTGTCACCGGTTCAAACCCGGTTGCCCCCTTTTTGCTTTGATTAACATGGATTTTTTTGTTCTGTTAAAAATTTTTTTCATAAAGAACGTAAGAACCAAACAACCACCCACACTGATGGCTGTGTAACGTCCTTTATGAATGATGGATTTTTTTTTGTTTGTTTGTTTGTCCGAACCAAACATCTCATTATCGTTGACGAGAAAAGAAGCCAATAATCAAAAAAAAAAGAAGAAAAAAAAACGGTAAATAGAAACAATGTTTCCCAACATTTCCTGCTGATTTTTTATTATTATTATCATTATCATTTATTTATTCATTCATAGATCAAAAAAGAAAATGGTGAAAAAAAAAATTCGCATGCGGAACAAAAAAAAAAATGAATGAATGAATGGAATGGCAAAAAAAAACTGGTTTTCCACTGCTGCTGCTGCTGCTGAGTCAGACTATACCAATTTTTCAACACCACCACCAACAACAACTGCTGATGAAAAAAAAAATATTCGGAAACGACAAAAAAATTTTTGTGTTTTCTTTTGAATTGATTTGTTCCAACTTCAGTAATATTGTTTGATTGTGTGCGTGTCGAAGTTGAAGACAACGACGAAGACGATGGAAAAAAAAAACTGCCAGGCAGTGGCTGCTAAATGTTGAATTGTCCAAATTTGTACAAAATGAATGAATGAATGAAAGACAAAAACTAAAAATACCTGCAACCCGATTGATAACGGAGATTGATTCAATATATATGTGGAAAGCAAAGTTTTTTTCTTTTGATTTTTTCCCGTTTTTTATTTAGAGATCCATTCATGGAGTGATTGGAAAAAATCCAGAAGCCCCCCCCAAAAAAAAAAAAAAAAAAAAAAAAAAAATTGAATCGATCGATTTTATTTCGAAAAATTATGACTGAATTGGAATTTGTTTGAATTTTTCTGTTACTCTCTTATCCATCAATCATCGATCCATAACAATCCTTCCTAAACATACACAAAACATCAAAATCGATTGGATCCAAAAATCGAAAACAATCAAACAAAATGATGATGATGATGATGATGTATTATTATGGATTTGATAAATCCATATTATATGATGGTCATCATGATGTTTATATCCGTATTATATGAATATGATGATGATGATGATGATGAAAATAACATACTACCTGTTGAATTTATTCACACAAGTTGTGCCATGGTGGTGGCCATCATCATCACGCATCTTTTTTCTATTTATTTATTATACATGATGAGGATGATGATGAATTGGCTGACTTATCATCATCTTCATCACCACCATTATTATTACCATCATTTTTATCGTCAAAGAAAACAAAACAAAAAATCACACTTTCATCAATTGTGTAAAAACAGCCATTTTGTTGTTTTCTATTCAATCGGATATCCGGCTATTTTTTTCAAATTGAATTGTTGTCACTGTTATGGCTGCCTAAAAAATGACACTCGAAAAAACGAACCACCACCACTCAGAGATGAAATTCTGTCCGTGGATGTGTTTCATAATCATTGTTTTTTTTATAAGAAAAAATGATCTTCAAATTTTTTAAAAAAAAAGAGTTGAGCTTTTCTTAGCCGAAATCAAGTGTTTTTTTTTCCATTATAAAATTGGGTTTTCACTCTTCAAATCGTCATCATCATCATCATCGTAATTATTAAATTGGTGGCAAGTTGCAACACACGAAACAACAACAACGATGATGATGATGATGATTTTTTTTCATTTATACTTCTACTTATCCTCCTCTCTTTTCATTCATTCAGAACCGATAATTGTTCATTGAGTGAAAAAAAGAGAGAGAGAGAAAATGGAAAAAAAAGACACGAATGATTGCATTTGTTGTATAATAATATATTCACCATGATCATCATCATCATCATCAGTGAAGAGAAACGAAATGAAGTGAAAATAGAAAATTTTTTTTTTTTTTTTGACAATCAACAAGGTTTTTGCAAGTTTTTCTTCTTTTGATCATTTTTCAAAATGATGATGATTAAATCAACTTGTTGGTATTTTTTTTCAATGTAAATTCAATTTTAAACAAAACAAAAAAAAAAAAAATTTTATTTTCACTCAATTAAAACATCTGGAATATCGAACGATCCTGAATTCTCATCATCATCATCATCGATTCAATATTGAAAAAAAAAAATCATTCGAATGTTTGTGAGTTGTGTTCGAAACGAGCATGTGTGTGTATTGAACACACACACACACACAAAAACACAAAACAGAAACTCAACGTTTTTATTTTGACGTGTGTGTGTGTGTCGACAATATTATTTCCATCCAAATGTTTTTTTTTCTGTGACAAAAAAAAATGTGACAACAAAATTCTACCGTATGTATGATTTCTGTGTGTGTAATCAAAATTTCACAGTTTTTAATCAATCAATCACAACACGACAACAACAACAACAACAACATTTTTTATCCGATAAAATTAACGTGACCAAAAAACATTGATACATAACGTTTGTGTTGATTCATTATTGATGATGATGATGATAATGAAATGAACAACGAAAATTTCATTTTCAATGACTTTGTATACATGTATTATAGTAGTAGTAGACTATATTAATCCTTTATTTTCTGATCAATCAATCAATGAAAATATTTCAACATCATCAAAAAAAAAAAAAAATAAGACCACACCACCACAGTTACCATACTAATCTCATCAATTAATCAATCTAATCAAAAAGAAGTGGATACTCATCCACTTTATCAAAAAAAAAGTGAAATACTTGTTGTTTGTTTAATCTATAAATAAGTTTTATTGTTATTTTGTTGCTGCCACATATATATAATCATTTCTAATCGGATTTTGAAGAAAAAAAAACAATTTGTACAACTAACACGAATGAATGATTTGTTTTGACCAACGACAAGACAAAAACTTAATCTTGACCTACACCCTGTGAAGAAAATTTTAAAAATCATCATCATCATCATTGTTTTACCCACTCACACACAAACACAAACAAAATTTGATTGATTGGCTGATTGTTGAGTGTTTTTTTTTTGTTCACTGTCTTCAAGAATAATGGAATCATTAGCCATATCATCAAGAAATAATAATAATGATCGTCATTCACATCGATTCATCAATCATCGAACATCATCATCATCATCATTACTATTGTTATCATTTTCATTGTTATTATCATTATCATCATTAACAACAATCAATATAGTTCAAGGTTTTCCCGCATCATCATCATCATTATATTCATCTACTGATTCAGGTGTAAATATTCTTTATACAACAAATATTACAGATTTTATTGTTAATCGTCATCAAGATGGACGTAAAATTCAATTTATACAATTTTTTAATACATATTGTGGTCATTGTCAAGCATTTGCACCATTATTTAAACAATTTTTACGTTCCACCATTAATCGTTGGTCCAGTGTTGTTGATTTTGCCGTTTTAGATTGTGCAAATGATTTGAATATTGATGCATGTAAACATTATAATATTGCATTGTATCCAACATTACGAACATTTTGGCTACGGCCATCATTAACCGATTTGGGACAGGATTTTCCCTGTAAGTATTGAGCAATTATTTATGGGCAATATATATTGATGAATAATTGCTTTTTTTTCTCACTATATTTTTAAATTTTTTTTTTTGTTTTGTTGATCTCATTTTATCATTTTATAAAGTAAATCATTGGACCACGCCATCAGACTTGAGGCTTAGTTTTATTAAATGGCTTTCTGAACAATATTTAAAACGTGATAAACAAGAAATTCCTCAACATTGGCCAAATTTTCTACCATTAAAAGTCGATAATAAACATGAATTGTTTCGAAAACTTGATCTTGATAATAATCATCAGTCTGTATTGATTATTGTTGAAAAAAGTAATTCATTTTTTGGCCGTGAGGTATGTGATTTGTTGATTCATTGTGTGTGTGTGTCGAATTCATTGCCATTGATCTGATTTTTCTCTCTCTCTTTCTATCCATAGTTAATGATGAATTTCTCTTCATATACAAATGAATTACGTATTTATCGTATGGAAGAATCTGCAGATAATAAACATTTATTACAATTATCTAATGATGATCCAAATCAATTGGAAGCATTGAAAAAATTGACATTACCATTTTTATATGTTATTACACCGGATGATCGACAAATTAAAGTAATACCAAAACCAATAATGTCCGAAGAAGATGATGGTCAATATATGACACGTTTGATTGCAAAGGATTTTATCAAAAATTATAATGAAGATTTAAATTCAATGTGGATAGCGAATCAAGCAAAAACAAAAGATGTATCTTCAACTCCGGCCAAATATTCAACAAGAATTTACATGTCTGATCTACATAATGCAATTCGTTTTGCATTATTTCATGAAGTACCATTAAAACAATATCTAAATCAAGAACAAACCAATAGCCTGATTCGTTTATTGAACGTTCTTTATGAAAGTTTCCGATTTCAAAATGTAAAAACCAAACAATTTATCAAACATTTTCATGATTGGCTTGTGAAACATTCAAATCGTAATGCAAGATTATCATCACGAAAATCATCACTGAATAATGATATGGTTATCGATACAAAAGATATGTTGACCACCATGAATATGTATGAAGAATATTATCATTTTCCTGAACAAAAACCATGGAAAGCTTGTTCAGTGATTTCTGTTGAATATCAACGATCATATCCATGTTCATTATGGACATTATTTCATGTATTAACCGTTGCTGAATATCGTCGTACATTGCAAACAAGACAATGGTTATCATTACATCCAACATTGTATGCAATGCGTGAATATATCAGAAATTTTTTCGGTTGTACTGAATGTTCAATGCATTTTACACAAATGTCCAAATCATTGGAAAATGAATTAACATATCCAAATTCATCGGTATTATGGCTATGGCGTGCACATAATCGTGTTAATGCAAGATTAAAAGGATCAAAATCTGAAGATCCACGGCTACCTAAACGTCAATTTCCAACATTCAATGAATGTCCCGAATGTTATCGAAAACAGCCATCAACAGAAAAAGATTCTTCAATCTGGAAAAATGCAACAACATATCTTGAATATTATGATGAAACAAAAATATTACCATTTCTAGTCAATTTTTATGCAGCTGAAAGAATCGTATTGGATGATACAGAATTCTCTGATGATAATGATCAACAACCACAACAACTGGATCATCCAATAATCATTACTGATAATGATGATACGAATGTTGTTGCTAATCATGCAACAAAACCACGTAGTAAGATACTCATGCTTGTTTCAAGTCCATTCACACAAACAGATATAAATCTTATATTTGTATTTTATGTTGTTTCAATATTGTTATTATTATCAATTTTTGGTTATGTACGTTCAAGACGTAATATTTTTCACAAAGTTTTCAATCTAAATGGTAAACAGAGAGTTTATTGAAAGAATTGAATCGCTTCACGAACAAAACAAAACAAAAAAAATTACCACCAACAAACAAATATGTGATCCTTCTATATATATATCATTGATACAATTATCTGTGTATTTTTTTTTATTTTTTTTTATCAATTTTAAACAATTTTCCATCAAATAAATTTTTTATTTTAAAAAATTAAATTTAAAAAAAATTTCGTCATGTCATTTATGAATGATTGTGTTTGGGATTCTTTTTTTCAAGTTTTTCAAAACATACGGAAAATATTTTAATATTTTGATTTTTTTGATGTTTAGAAAGAAAAAAAATGTCTAAATTACCACCGGCATTAGCCTCACGTTTAGCTCAACGTGGTCTATTGAATCGCCACGAGAAACCATCAACAGCAGCAGCAGTGCCAGTTGAACAAGAAGAAGAAGTTATTGCCGAAGATTATGATGAAACACCTAAACAAGAATTTATTGAATTGAAAACAATCGATACGGTTATTGGTTGTCCAAATAAATACAATATTTATCATAATTGTACAAGTTTTTGTTCGAAAAAATATGCCAATGTTCGAAAAGAACCGAATAAACGTATACGTAAAATATTTGCCAGATTATTGAAAAAATATCCATTAAAAGATTCTGTATGGGAACAGGTTTATGAACCAGGATTGTAAGTATTGAATTGATTGTAATATTTAATATCAAATAAATTAATCACAATTTTTTTTCAAACATATATAGACAAACATTTTATTTTTGGAATACTGAAACTGATCAGGTTTCATGGTTACCACCTAATCATCCAGATGCTAAAATATCGTTATCAGCTGAAAAACTTCGTCGATTAGTACGTGATGATCATCATCATCATGATAAAAATGATAATGAAAGTAGTGATGAAAAAGAATCGATAAAAGATGATGGTTCCAACGATGATGATGATGATAATGATGACGACGACGATGATGATGATGATGATGATGAAGAAGATAGTGATGATGATAATTCCATTGATGATGATGATAATGATGAACTAAAACAAACCACTGTAAAAAGAATGAGAAAAATGGTCGAAAATCGAAATCAACTAGATCCAATGGACCCGGCTTCATATTCTCATATTCCACGTGGGAAATGGTCTGATGGACTAAGGTAATATATGTATTCTATATAATCATTAATTCATTTTATTGTAATAGAAAAAAATTTGATAATTTTACAATATGATCATGATAATGATGTGAACAATTTTAGAATTTAAATTGATATTTTTTTGATGATTTTGACGTTGACGAACCACTTGACGTTTCCTGTTGTTTTTGATGATCATGTTTTCTACGTTTTTGTTTCGATGCATGTTCAGCGACCATATCGGAAAGATCTTCATGTGGATTTTTTGATCCAGATGTTTCTCGTAATGTTTGTTCATATTTGGCTGCCATTGTTGATGAATCCAAACCGACTCCGGATTCAAGATCGCTTGGATCCAAAGCCACTTCTACTCCATTATTCGATGATGATTTGGATGATGTTGAATGGCCAGTTTTTGATAACGATGCAAAATCGTAAACATGCATTGAGCCCATCATATCTTTGGCGAATCGATCCACCTTCTTCTCTGGTACCACAGTGCATAACTGTGGTTGTTGGTCTCCACTAAAAATGAAAAAAATAAAATTTGTTTGATTAGAGACTGGTGAAAATGAAATACAATTGAATTGAATGACTAACCTTTCCATTTCTGCTTCTATTTGTTGTTTTCGTTTACGTAATTCGATCATATCAGGCGTTTCTAGACCTGAAGGTATACCCGTCGACATTCCACTTGGTGTTACAAGACCTTCAGCATTGACTGATGGCGTTACCAATCCTGATGTATCATCTGCATCTTTCTTTTCACTATCTTCATCTTCTTCTTCTTCCGATTCTTCCTCTTCTTCTTCATCGGATTCCATTTCACCCCAATGTGTACGATCGATTTCTTCATCTGGTTGTATATTGTCACTGATAGCTGAAGTGACACCAAATACATCACCATATAATGGACGACCATATTCATCAACCGGTGGTTTACCCCAACCACCAGCATGATAACCGAAACAACAACCTTCAGGAATCGGGGCATTCAGTCCAGCTATTTTTATATTAGGATATGATGGTGGTGGACCATAACGTTGCATAGCAATCAACCATGGTGGAGGACATTTATGAGCATTTGGTCCGGTTGGCATTCCTAATGCTTGTCGCAATTCGTTGGTCAATTCACCCGGTTTCTTGTCCTTCAATCGTGTCTCGAATTCTTTACCTTCATAATAGAGATCACCATGGATGGTCACTTTTGGTTTTGTTTGCCATTTGAAAAAAGCATCATGAAGCTTTTGATAATCAATGTCGATTTTACCCATTTTCGGACGAATCTTTTCCTTCATTTTTGTTTTCAATGATTTAGCATCCTCTTTTTCCAATACGGCTTCACGCATCTCTTGAATGCCAGTTCGTCGAATAAATTCGGGTAGTTTGAATGGTGGTTTTTCGAATCCACGTTTTCCTTGCAGATATTTTCGTTTATAACACCAATGTCTAGGAACAGGTACTGTATTTCTTGTCGATTTCAAATACAATAGTATAACCGGATCTTTGGCAGTTACATCATGCATTTCGACCAATTCAGGATGATTCACCTGTTGTTTGAGATCAGCAACAGACATTCGTGTCATTTGTTTTAATCGACGTTTGGATAATTTTTGTCCACCAATTTCACCATCTTTATCATCATCATCTTTCAGTTCAAGTTCGACTGGTTTTTTTAATTCCAACAATTTTGCGCGATCATCTTTTCGTTGTCTAGCTTCATGCGATAATCGTTCCTGTTCCAGTCGTCGGGCTTCATCCGAACTGACAGCCGAAAATTTATCGAAAACTTTTAGGAATTGTAAATACACAGAATCTTTGGGCATATGTTCGGGTATATATCTAGAAATGCAAATAAAGTGTTTGTTAATAAAAATTTAAACAAACTTTTTCCAAATAAAACTTACTCAATTTCAACCGTATCGACGGCTTTTTTATTTTCCTTTTCCTTTTCAGCTTCTTCTTCAAGTTGCCGCTGTTTGGCTAATTGTTCTTGTCGTCGTCGTTCCAATTCTTCCAGACGTTTATGTTCCTTTTCTTCTTCCGGTGCATCCTCGTCATCTATATCCATTCTATCATCATCTTCATCTTCTTGTTTCATCGCTTCTTCAACAGCCTTTTCGAGTTCCTTTTTACGTTTACATTCCGCTTCCATTTGTTCTCGTTGTTTTCGGCGTTCCTCTTCACGTATTCGTTCAATTTCATCACGTTCTTTACGTTTGATTTTATTTCGATGTTTTTTCTTCAATTTTCGTCTTTGATTTTTATTCAATTTCGACCATTCTTCTTCGGTCATGTTCAATGTTTTCAATAATTGTTGTTGATCATCATTCATTTCATCATCGGCTTCCACATCGCCATTATCCACCATATTAATCGATTGCTTTTGATCATCATCTATCATTGATGATGTATCATCATTATTATTTTCTATATTATTCCATGTTGCGTCAACATCTTGAATAGTTTCTGAATCATTTTCAATAGATTTCATTTTCAATGTTTCAGTTGATTCCTTTTTTTCCAAATCGAGTGGAATAATTTCTGATCCATTTTCATCAGCTGTTTCGAGCTGTTCATGTAGTCTATTCTCATCATGTTGCTGATCCAATGTTTCTTCTCCTTCATTCGATTCGGATTTTTCTTCATCTTGTTGTTGTTGTTGCTCATTTGAAACAATCGATTCAGGCATCTGGTCATTATTCTCAAATGATTCAGACTCCAAGAATTGTTGTTGCTGCTGCTGTTGCTCGTATTTCAATTCCTCTTCTTCTTGTGGTTTTGAGATCAGTTCAGTTTCTTCATGTTGCACGGTTTTTTCTTCTTCTTTTTCCTCTTGTTGATGCTGTTGTTGGTAACAATAATCGCTATCTTGCATAACCGTATTCGAATATTCATCCATAATAGACTTTTGGTCTTCTTGACCGGCTTGTTGTTCTTGTGCAGAATCATCGACAACATTGTCGAATGAAATTTGTTGATCAATATAATTACCTTCCATTACTGGTTGGAATTCTTGTTGTACTTGAGGTTGTTCTTGGATTTCTTGTTCTGATCTCGATTCTTGAATCATTTCTTCCTGTTTTGATGATGGTGGTTGTTGTTGAAAATATACTTCTTGCTCAGCCAAATTATTAACTAATTGCAATGGCTCTTCAATTAATTGTGGTTGTTGTTCTTGCTGAATTTGTGATTGTGATTCAATACTTGGAATATCAACAATGCTAGGCATTGTTTCGGTCATTTGTTGCATTACAATTGGTTGATGTTGTTGTACTTCCGGTACTGGTGGCTGCACAACAATCGTTCTTTGTGTTGGTTGTACAATATAAAGTTGCTGTTGTTGTGGTTGTTGAGATGGTGATTGTAATTGCGGTGGTGGTTGAGGTTGTTGTTGTTGAATTTGAATTTGATTAAGATATGGCTCAAATTGTTGTTGTTGTTGCTGTAGTTGTTGATATTCTTGAAATTGGGCCTGTTGTTGTTGTTGTTGCTGCTGCTGCTGAATTAACAATTGCTGTTGAAGTTGTTGTTGAGCTTGCTGTTGTTGTTGTTGAAAAAGTAAAATTTGTTGCTGCTGTTGAAGATGTTGATGATTAATCTGGTCAATTGGTTGTTGCGGTAGCAGCACTTGTGTTGACATTTGATTTGTCTGGAATTGCTGAAATCTTTGTTGTTGTTGTTGTTGTTGCTGCAATTCGATCTGATTCAATGCATCTGCAAGCTGTCGAGCAAGATCGGCTTTTAGACCTGTCATCATCAAGTTTATTAAAATGAAATATTAAGTATTGATGATTATAACGATGATGATGATGATAAGGATTAATCATCCAAAAAAACGATGACAGATTAACAGAAAAGTTATCACTTACCACGAGGTTGTAGACCCAATTCCTGAAGCTTTTGCCTCAATTCGGGTACTTTGAATTTCATTAGATCAGCTTCGGTCACCATTTTGTTTGTATTATCTGTTGAATTTCCACTGATAACCTATATATATTGGATTGATAATGAAAAGTTTTTTATCCGGTTTTTGTCAATTACAAATGAAATTTTTCGTTTATTAACAAACAAATACAATATAATAAAAATAAAAAAGCGGTTTATTCTGATTGCTAACATTCGTGATTCATATGGAACCAAAATTATTATCGAGAATCATCCACACTCACACTCACTCACTATCGATGATTCGTAAAAAAAAACAATCGATGAATTTAGTGATGAGTATCGTCCATAGATGTCAGCACCTACACATTAGTTCAAGTCTTTGTTCTTAGATTATTTTTTTTTTAATTCTTACACAAACATACACGTCTTCATCATAAATTCTTGGATGTTGAATTTTTTTTTCTTTTTTTTTGTTTATTTTAAAATCGTAACTAAACGGATTTGATTAAACTGGAAAAAAAATGTTCAACATTCGAACCATATCTAATATAATTCTTGCCATCGTTGTCATATCGATTGTGTATGGTTTAGCTATACCGGATAAAAAACATAATCATCATCATCAACAGAATATACGTGTGATTAAAAAACAATTAAGCGATGAAGAACATTATCGAGATGTTGATCATCATGATGACGATGGTGGTGGTGGTGGTGGTCAACAACAGCAACATAATCGAGATTTTGATCATGAAGCATTTCTTGGTTCAGAAGATGAAGCCGATGAATTTGATCAATTAACACCAGAAGAAAGTCGTTCACGTTTGTCCATAATTGTAGATAAAATTGATTTGAATCGTGATGGAAATATTACTGAAACAGAATTAAAACAATGGATACAACAATCACAGAAACGTTATATTTATGAAGATGTTGATCGTCAATGGCAAGTTCATACAGATAATGATCCAACGGTTCGGAAATTAAGTTGGGAACGTTTTCGAAATAAAACCTATGGATTTTTGGATGAAATCGGTGACAATACAAATCCAAAACGAACCATTGATGATATGAAAACCTATCATGATATGTTACGACGTGATGAACGTCGTTGGTCAATGGCCGATATTGATGGTGATAAAGCATTGGATCATGATGAATTTATTTCATTTTTACATCCAGAAGAATCAGAAAAAATGTATGATGTCGTTGTTGACGAAACATTGGAAGATGTTGATCATGATGGTGATGGTAGAATTTCTGAATCAGAATATATATCGGATATGTATTCATCTGAAGATAATCAATTATCATCATCGTCTTCAGCATCATCATCATCGAATATACCTGAATGGGTACAACGTGAACGTGAACAATTTCATACTTATCGTGATAAAAATGGTGATGGCTATCTGGATCGTGAAGAAATTCGTGAATGGATTGTACCGGCTAATTATGATCATGCCGATGCTGAAGCTAAACATCTTATCTATGAAGCTGATACAAATAAAGATGGCATATTAAGTTTAAATGAAATTCTTGATAATTATGATGTATTCGTTGGTAGCCAGGCAACAGATTTTGGTGATGCATTGACTAGACATGATGAATTTTAAAATAAAAAGAAGAAAAACAAACAAAAAAAAAAAAAAAAGAAAAATTCTAATCCGTCCACTACTAGTCTCCACACACACAAAAAAAAAAAAAACGTGCCAATGAAAATAATCAATCAGATCAAATCAAATCATCGAAATGTCAAATTTTTTTTTTTTTTAATACTTGGCAATTTAAAAAATGTAAATAAATCAGTTTCATTTACTCACATTTTATTCTTTTTTTTTTGTTCTCAGTACCGGTAAATAGAAAAGTATTAAAAAGTAGTGTGTGTGTGTGTGTGTTTGTTTGTTCGATATCAAAGTTTTTTTTTTTTGGTGGAAAAAAACTTTCAATTTGTACCACTGGTCAGTATAAATGAAAATGGAAAAAAAAGATCACAAAAATGGTCAAAATGATAAAAAATATGGTGATGTGTGTGTGTGTGTAGTTTTTTTGTTATCCCGGTGGTATCCAGGCTGTGCATGAGGGGTTTTTTTCAATGAAATTTTAAAATATTTTCAAATGAATCAATCAATGATGATGACGATGTTGTTGTTGCTGTTGTCATGGTGGTTGCGGTTGAATTAATTGTTTGTTCATACTCATTTCATGTAGCCATAAGTAAACTTTTTATTTCAGCATTTTCAGCTGCATCAATATAACTCATACCATCCGGTGTACGGCCATCAATTTTTGCACCATTCGATATAAGTAAACGACAACATTCAATATGACCTTCCCAAATTGCAGCCAATAATGCTGATATTCCATGTTTGTCTAATGACTGAAAAAAAAAAAAAAAAAAAAAATTATCGAAATAGGAACAAACATCAGACACAAACACAAACACACTTACATTAACATTGGCACCTAATTGAATTAAATATTCAATTATTTCTTTTTGGCCATAATCAGCTGCATAATGTATTGGACGTCGTCCATCGATCATACTGTTTACATCCAATTTCTGTTTTTTGTAATGTAATGAAATTTCATTCATTGGTTTAGCAAAAAAAAAACAAACGAACCTCATGTTCAATAATTTCTTTCACGGAATCAAAATCACCATTTTTAATGCTCCAAACTAATTTTGATGTATCGATGACCATTTTTTTACGGTTTTATTCTGTTTTGTTTTCGATCAATCAATCACAGATCGGCTTGTTTTTATCAAGTTCTTTATTTTTGGATGATGATGATGACGCCTGAGTGTGTGTGTGTGGGATGTGAAATGCAAAAAAAAAGTAGATGACAAACAATTTCATAAATGTAAAAAATGTAAAATTCAATGACAAAATGGCATAAATCGATCGATCGATCAATCAATCAAAATCAAACACAGAAAAACAATTGAATCATCATCATCGATTAATTGTGGACAAACAAACAGAAAAAATTCTTACCGGCTGAGCGTGTGTGTGTGTGTTAAGGAGGTGGGATAAACAGACTGACTAATTGAATTTTACAATTTTCTACGCCCTAGTTTATAGTGATGATGATGATGATTCAGAAAAAATCTTTATTTTTTTTTTTACATCAAAATTTCTTTCTCTCTCAAACTTTTCACATTCAGTCTTCTCAAACACACAAAAATACATTTCGTTTGTTGTCAGTTGCTCAATATATTCAATATAAAACGTCATTTATGAATGTGGCGAAATATTGCCGCCTTTTTTGGGAAAAAAACATTTTTTTTTCAACGGTTTTTTTATGTTCATTCCAGTTTGTTTTTTTGTCGAATCGAATAATCGAATAATAGCCATTATCAAAGAAAAATGATGCCCAATGGTTTTAATTCGAATCGTAAATCGACACAAAATCGTGCCTTCGGTTTTGATACAATGTCAACGAAAAAAAATAATTCAAATCATCATCATTTATTTCAACAGCCACAAAAACCACAATTTCAAAGTCATATACCATCGGCCATAAAATCAGCGAGTCGTATTCCAAATCATCGTCCATTCAATGATCATGGTTTTGGTGGGCCTAATAAATTTGGTGGCTTCAATTCGGTGCAGAAAAATCATGGCTCAACAAAATTATCATTTGGTATGGCATCACAAACTAGACCATCCGGATCATCATCATTATATACACCGAATAGAGTTTCATCAGCCATACGATTATCATCATCACGTAAATCATCAATTGCATCATCAAGAAAATCAAAATCAATAGATAATCGTCATTTGACTGATCAAAATTATCATCGTGAATGTGCAGATAAAATTATCGATTTTCTCAATATAAATGGCTTTCCAATACAATTGAATCGACAAAATATATTACGACTTTCATTGAGTGATGCATCCAAAATATTTAAATTTTTATTTTCATTTTTCAATGAAAATATTGCTATAAAAAATGGCCCACAAACCGCATTGAATCAAGTGGTACCGAAACAGATGCAATTACTTGGTTATCCATATTTGATAAAAAATTCTGACCTAACATCATTTATTGGTGGACGACAACTTGGTTTGGTGCTATCTATGTTAGATTTCCTTATCGATGCTATTAACTATTTGATAAATTTTGATTTTAATCGTTTACTTGGTTATAATAGCAATGGATTCTGGTCAGAAAATGAAACAAACATTAAAGCTGATATGAATGACGACGATGATGCTATTTATATGAATAAAGTGTTACTACGAATATATGATTTAGTATCTAAATTTGATTGGGATAATCATGATGATGTTGAACGATTTAATGAAGAAAATGATAATTATTTTAAATTATTGGCTGAAAAATTTTATGGCACAGAAGAACAATTGGATAAATTACGAAATGATGAACTACAGCAAAAGGAAGAAAAATTGCAACAAGAATTGTCATATCTGAATGAATTACCAACGAAACTTTTGGAATTGATGGATGAAATTGAAAGTTTGCGAATATATATTGATGAAATGTCTAAACATAAACAAGCAAATCTGGCAATCAAAAATGCTTTAGCTGATGAAATCAAATCAAATCAAGAAGATTTTGAAAAATTATTGGCCGAAAATCGACGTCTTGAATCGATTGTTGATTCACAAAAACATTTGGTTATCGAATACCAATGTGCAATCGAGCGTCGCAAACAATCGCAGAAAGAAATTGAAAAAAAAGAACAAGATTGTCATGAAATAAATATGGAAATATTGAAATTAACATCTGAAATCAAAGATGAACATTCAAAATTAGAATCATTTTTATGTGATATACATGAAATGTTGACGTTATCCTGTAAAATGTATGAAAATTCACAAATCCATGATTTTTTTCCTGTTGGTACGAAAAAATTTACCCAAAATTCTAAATGGATAGAATTTATGAATAAATTTCAGCAATTGAAATCGATAAACATTGATGAAAATTTAGTGGAAAAATTTACAACATTAAAGATAAAAGAAAATATTAATGATTTTCATATGCATATAATTGAAATAAAAACCAAATTGAAATCAAAAATATCATTAGATATTGTGTTTGAAAATGAAAATAAACAAAAACAATACCAACAACGGCAACAAGAATTCACCGGAAAGAAAAATCAATTTGAACAATTGTGGCAACAAAAAAATGATAATCAATTTGAATATCCAATAAAAATTGTTGATTTGAATAAAGAAATTGAGCAGTTAAAATGGAGATTATTGATCATGAAAAATCCATTGAAACGATTGAAATGGATGAAAATAAATTGAAAAAACAAATCCAAGAAATGGAAGAAAAATTTTTTGAGAAACAATCTCATTTCATTGATGAATATAAAAAACGTGATCAAGAATTTCTGTCAAAAGAATCAAAACTATTGGCGGAAGTAGGTGAAAAATATCAAACTATTGAAAAACCTAAAGGTAAAATGAAAAAAACTTTGACAAAAATGAAAAAACGATGATGAACTTTCCACTTTTCCTTTTTTATTTTTTTTTCTATCTTGCTTTTCACTTTTTTACATTCATTCATCTTTATTCAATATTTTTTTTTATTCAATTCTGCTGTTTTTTTAAAATAAAACAAAATTTAGACTAGAAATTAAAGTTCATTCGATTTGTTTGTTGGTTAAAAAACTGTGTGTGTGTGTGGTGTGTTTGACATGTGGTTTATTGTTTGTTTGTTTGTTTTTTTGGGTTGGGTGATGAGAAGGTTATGGAATATTTTCTTGAGAAATTGATTCATTTATTTGGTGTTGTATCAATAAGCTGCTGTTGAGAAATCGGTTCTGGTACCGATTGATATGGCATATTGACAATGGCTGATGCTGCGGTTGTTGTTGCTGTTGATGATGGTCCATTTGATTGTTGTGGTTGACTATCTAGATCTTGATAACCAGTACGATTACCAAATACATTAAATTGATCATGATTTGGATTATGGATACCAGATCCTGATGTTGTTGTTGTACCGCCACCATATAATGTTTGTCGAATATCACGATCACTATAGATTCGTAATAATACAAATGTTGTAAATGGACGTACCAGTATATTACAGATAAGTAGGCTAAAGTATTGTGAAAGAAAAATGAGAAAAACACTGATTATTTATGGCAAAAAAAAACTCACAAGATACTGAATCCAAATCCTTCACGATAATGATTATGATTAAAATTAGTGGACATTGCTATTATATCGAATAATATGGCCAATAAATTAATAATAGCAGCAAATTGTATTGGTTCAGGATTCTCTTTCGATTCCAATGCCCATAATAGTGTGAGAAAGAATAAAAGATTATAAAGGAAACAAATCTCCGGTAGCCAATTTACAGTTAACATTGAACTGGAAAAAAATCAAACATGAAAAAATGATCCAATTAATAAGAAAAAAAAAATCATCGATACTAACCATGTGAACAATATGAAATGTAAAAAAATGTTCCCTTTATAGGTGATCGTTGAAATGAATTAAATGGATCCATAATGATAGGCAGAAATAAACGATTTAAGCTACGTGAAAATGATTGAACCTGATTATCGAACGTATCCATTCACAACACATACACGATGATAATGAAGAGAGTAAAAACCAAACCAAATCAAAACAAAACAAATAAACAAAAAAAAATTACATCAAAAATTTATCTGTAAAAATAAAATAGAAAAAAACAAAAATTAAATTTTGATAATTTTTGTCAAGACAAATAAATAAATCGTTATATTATACATACACGAAACATGGGCTGTTATTGTTTTTGCAATTTTACCAACATATAAAGAATATGTTAATCAATGGAAATTGATAATCAAATTGTTAGTGAAGATAAGACGACCACCAAAAAAAAAAAAAAAAATAGAAATCATGGATGAAAATCAATGGCCAAAAAAAATTTGATATGAAAACAGAGAAAAGTAAATTCCAAGAAAATTTTCTTTCAAAAATTTTTCTGAGAAATTTTTTTTCAAACTCAAATTCGAATTTCGAATCACACACACACAGAAAAATTGTGTGGTGTTTATTGATTTTTTTTGTTTTATTTCTCGCTAAAAATATATCATTGAATTACCGGATTTCTATCACGAAAACGATCTCATTATTATGGCTGAAAAACGTAAACAAAGTGGTTATCAAAACAAATGTTCATTGTGTCAAGCTGTTCAACGAAAAAATCCGTATTCAGTAAACAGAATAATCCGTTCAGAACAAGATGTTCAAAATGCATTTCAATTATTCAATAAGACTGTCAATATCAATGATACAATTTGTCGTTCATGTTATTTTGAGCTTGATGAAAAACTTAACTTGGAGAAAAAACGAAATAAAAAAATCGAATTATCATACCCGAGTACCGTTGAATCAAGTGAATGTTGTTTCATTTGTTCATCAACAACAGAAGATTTGAAAACGATTCCTTTCAAAGCAAGATTTCAAGTTTTTTCGAAAAAATCTATTTTCATTCCAGAAGCAAATCAATGTTGTGCCAATCATTTGATCTGTGATCAGTTATATGAAAATGATATTGAAAGAATCAGAATCATTAGTGATAAATGTAAATTCACTAAAGATGATCTTGTAAAATTTATGCTAGAAAAATCATCGATTTCAAATAGATCCACAATGGGATTCAAAAGTACAGTAGAAACTGAACAAAATTGTTTCATCTGTTTATCTACTATGAATTTGGTGGCCATTTCTTTAGAAGCACGATTAGATGTTTTTTCTCGTAAAGAGATTTTTATACCGAAAGGAAATCGATGTTGTTCACATCATTTAATCAACGATCGACTTGATGAAGATGGTATGAATGAAATTAAAATTGTTTCATCAACCTGTCAAATCGATGATGATGAATTCATACCATTTGTTATGAGTCCACATGATCATTGAACAACTGTATTTTCAATCATTCGAAATTGTCATCTTTTTTTCACGAAAAAAATTAATAACCAACTTCAATGATTTCAATTGATTTCTTTTTCTTACACATTTTCATATACAATAATCTTAATTAATTATAATAATAATAATAAAAATCTTAATAAAAAGTTTTCAAAAATTTGATCAAACAATTTCATTGCCGAAATGAAAACAATTTTAGAAATTTTTTTCTAGCAAAAGAATTATTCTGGAATTTTCATTCACACACGCACACACACAGCACAGCACAGATAACGATTTTATTTTTGGTTTTTTAGTTTTTATTCTTTTATCTTATCGAAATTGTTCCAGAATCTTTGCCAATTTTCTATATGATTCTGATCGTTTAGTTTGATATGTAACACAATCACGAAATACTTTAGGATCCATATAAATGTAATGTCGATTACTACTGACACGTATGGCACAATGACCACCATTCGATAATTCAATTTCATCTTGATGATCCAAATCCAAACATTGTGCATCGGCAAATGGTGGACAACGTTCAATTTCATTTACGTTTGTTGTTGTTGTATTGATTGACAATTCAGATTGTATATTACCACCAAAAAGTATACAGGTATTTCCTAATAATATTATCTTTCGACATAAATTACCGGTAACTTTTTGTATATTACGATGACAATACATTAGATCAACATTGGCATGGCTACCAATCAAACGTATAGTAATAAATGTTGGATTTGTTCGTACAAATCCTGTCAATGTTCGTATTGATTCTGTCTGTGCTATAGGATTATCTGAATGGCCATTTACATTAGCTTTACGTAATAATATACCACGTTCAGATATAACATAGATTGAACCTAATTCTGTACCAATAGCATAAACACATTCACCACCATAATTATTTCCTGTCGTTGTTATTCCTACTACTATACCACCGCCACCACCACCACCACGATTTGGTCGATTACGTCGTGCACCACCAATGAAAGAAATCACTTCATCCATAATAATGTATATATATTGATTATTCGTTAGCTATTAATAGTCAAGAATGACGATCAAAATAATTTTGTTCAATGTTTAAATCATAAAATATTTGGATTCATTAAAATATAAATATAATTTAATTAATAAAGAAATTTTTTTTTCTTGTTTAATTATCAAACACAAACGGATTATTATTTACAACATTATTTCATATAAAAACTGACTAGTTTGATTAGATTAAAAATGATTTTTTGTTTTTGTCTTTTTTTTTTGGTTTTGGTTTTTTCATTCATTGATGATCAACATGTTGCTGTTGTTGATTGTTAGATACACCACCACCACCACCACCACTATTAATTTCTTCACTAATTTTTGTCCATTTAATCAATGTTTCAGGTGAACGATAAAGAAATATTAATTTTGCATATAAATCTTCTTCCAATTCAAATTCACGACTTTCACGTACAAGATAGATATCCAAACATAATTGTAATACACGATCAACATTTGGCATACGTGTATAGATCACTTTAAATGATGATTCTGAATTAAGTCCACGTACCCAACGTGATACTAAAAATACGAATGTAGTATAGATACCAATTATACCATAACCGGATAAAAATGCTAATAGACCAATAAAAACTTTATCATTGAATACAATAACCGGCAAATATTGACAACGTTCAGTAATCATCATATCGTTAAAGAATGGATCCAAATAATCAATATTCTGGCAATCATCGTGAATTTCCCACCAAGATGTCATTGAAAAATTATTATTCTCATAATTGCCTTTTTTAAGCAATATTAATAGATTACGAAAATTCATTGATTTATTTGTTGCCACAGTTTGTTGATTTGCAGCATTAAAACTTTTCTTCACCAATTCTGTCACAACAATTGGTTTGCCTTTTTCCGGAGCACGAAGATAATTTGGAAATATATGTGGTATAATGGCAGGATTCTGTTCTTCACTTTGCGATATCATATCAGCCAATTTATGACGTAATTCATAATCTTTCAATGGATGTAATTCAATAAAATATTCATCATAAATTGTCGTATCCATATCTTGTGTTTTGGTTTTTTTCCGTGTTAGAAAATAGGTGATTTTCATGTACAACATTGTTTGATTTGAAATTAATTCATTTTGCAGAATTTTCAGACTTGGTGGTGAAATTCCCCACACAGCTGTTGAATTACCATTCAAATTGACAATGTAAACATCTTGTTGATCATAACCATTGATGAATGTTTGTGCTACTGGATCACGATTAAAACTTGAACCAAGTTTTGCCCATTTTTGATCATTTATTGGAACTAATCCACTATCGGTGACACTCATTTTGAACAATGGTTGATAGCCACCGATTTCTAATTCGAATGTTGCACCAATCGGTGGATTTATCTCACCAACAGCACGACCAAATGCAAACAATACTAGTGGTCCCCAGATTAAAGCTATGGTGTGCGAAAAAAAACACAAAATTATAATTTCAATTCAACACACTATTATTGTCAATCATACCGATAATGATAATCACCCAAGAACCACCAATTAAATATTTGAAAAAACGTTTTTTAGCACGACCTCTTGGTTCAGGAAATTCTTCATCCAATCGAAGTTCACATTTACGTTGATAAAGATTGACAAAAATATCTTCCATCAATGACCATTCATCCAGTACAAGACTTGTATCGGTCCAAATCCAATCCATATACATACGAAGATCATATACAAACGGAATAAGCATGTATCTGTATAATGTTGGGTGAAAAATCAAACATGGATCTTATTTTTTTTAAACAAAATAAAAAAGACTTACACTTTGAATAGATACCAATTGACAAAATTATATTTTTTACAAAATGTATTGCCCAATATACGTGTTGGATAACCGCTACGTATTTGAAATGCGGATAATAAAAGATAGATACATTTAAAAATGTACCATAATTTTGGTGGCAAATTTGTTTTATCCGTAAATGCTCTATTTAAAAACAAAACAAATGAATTAATCGATGAATGAATTAAACAATTACTACTACCACTTGTATTGCAACTTACTTATCGGTCATGGCGGGTAATGCAAAAAATAGCCACAAATGTGTAAAGATTACAATGAAAATTTGAAATAATAGTTTTCCTTTAATATATTTTCGTAGATAAATAGCTCGATCAACGATAATCTGTGCAAATTGTATCAACAATGTAATGAGAAAACCAATTGGAATTTTATTCTCTTCAAGAAATCTGGCAACATCTTCACTGCCAGAATAACCACTCTGTAAGGAAATTCAATCAGAAAACCAATGGTAAACAATAAAAATAGGCAAAAACAAAAACTTACCCCAAATGCATAGAAACCAAAAACCAAAATGAAAAAATTGATAAAATCACAAAGAAACATTAATGAATATACATCATGTGTAATACGATATGGTGGATGAAGAACATTATGAAAAAATTTATACACTGGTCTTACAATTGTCGAAAATCTAGAAGAAAGTAAATTTTTTTTTTTGTTGTTACAAATTCAAAATCATACATTAATCATTCACGTTACTCTTACCTTTTACGTGTACGTGTAGGAATTTCCATTAGAATATAAATAAAATTTATCTCATCTCCTTCTGGTTCATCTCCATCGTCTTCTTGCTGCTGCTGCATCAATTCATTTTCATATAAATGCTGTTCAGGTAATGGTGGTGGTAATGTTGCTATCATCATTGCTGAAGAATTAGGTTGATGATGATGATGATCAGCAGCTGGATCATTAATTTGTACATCATTTGAAATCGATTGTTGCTGTTGTTGTTGTTCTTCTAATTGTTTTTCTTGACTAGATTTTTGTGTTAATTTATTTTTCTTACCACCACCACCACCACCACCACCACCATTAGTAGTGGATTTTTTCTTTGAATTTTTCGATTTTTTACCATTATTATTCATATTCTGTGGATTCGAATCGGACAAACCATCATTAATATCTTCAATACGTGATTGAAATAATTCTGCATTAGTCATATAGGCTTTGATTTCGGTTTCACTTAGATCCCAAAGGCCCAAACTTTTTAACATGAAACGATGAAAAAATAGTACCAACAATAGAATCAAATCATAATTGGCATAATTATCTTTTTTCTCAATGCCCAATAAACGTGGCCACCAAAATGGTGATGGTTTTATCAATTCGGTCCATGGCCAAAAATGAAATTGAAATACATATTTCAATACGACAACAATTTCAATATAAGTAATACAAGTGACCCAAAATGATTTCGATGGCCGCGGTACTGATAATGATCCCCATAGAAACGTTAACATTGGCAATGGTAACGATAGAATTGAAGCCGATGTAATTTGATTAATAACAATTATTATATAACAAATAACTTCTGAACGTGATAGTATAGCGTAGAATATTGCACGAAAAAAATGTATATAAATACTTGTTTCCATGTATCGTGGATCCAATGAAACATGATATAAATGTTTATTTGCATCCAATGATGTTGTATCTAATTCATTCCAAACTCGTAGCACATCTTTTGCATCACTTTTAGCAACATTTTCTAGATTTTCTTCAGTTAATTTCGATAATTTTGCCAACGTATTTTTCTTCCATATTTGATCGCCAATAAAATCATGACCAATACCTTCAAGTTCGTTGATTTCAATGATTTTTTTCAAACATTTTTTCTCCACAGCCAATCGTTTAGCAACGAAACGATAATCACGTGATACGGCATTCAAATTTGATGTTGAACTAATGAAAATACTTTCAGTGAATGTTTTGATAAAATCAAACCAACTACGAATCTTTTCCATAAACGTTGGTTCTTGTTCATCATCACTTTGTGATTTATTCGATTGTTCATATCCTTGTTGTTGTTGTTGTTGTTGCTGCTGCTGCAGCTGCTGATGTTGTTGTTGTTGTTGTTGTTGTTGATCTTCACAAATTGGTTGAACAATTTGTCCTGCAGTAATATTACTACTACCACCAGTTAATGATGACATTGCCGATAAATCAGTGGCTTGTGAATCCGGTATCGAAGTCATCGTAGTTGGACGTGATGAATCAGGATTACGTTTAATTCTTTCTACCGATACAATCGGAGAATCATGACTAGATTCACCTACATCTGTAATTTCAGCTGAAACAATAGCAGCTTCAGATGTTTCTTCACCTTTAAATATTTTCGAACAAAATGCTGTAAATCCTTTCGACTTGGCAATATTTCGTATTTCATCGCCTTCTGGATCCGGTATCAATGATTCTCTGGTCTTGGAATTCAAATCACAAACATCGGTATCACCTTCTTCGAACATATAGTAACCACCAGATTTTACAGCTAGAAAAATTAAAAAAAAATCAAAATTATTAAACTGGTAATTGATAGATGAACCATTGCAAAAATCATTAATCAAATAAAAAAAAGCAGAGCAAGAAAATCAACCGAACCAAAAAATCATCATCATCATGCAATCAAGAAAAAAAACCAACATTCGAAAAAAAAAAAAAAACAAACAAACAAAATATTCATCCATCACATTCAAAATTGAATAGGCACAAAATGAAAAATCGTTCACTTTACATGAAGCATGAGACATTCGTCGTTGATGTTGTTTCGTATGAATTGTTGTTGTTTTTTCTTCTTCTTTTTGTTGTTGTAATGGTACACGTATGGATGTTGGTGAAATTGAAATACGACGATGAATAGAATCGGTTCGTATATTCCGTGTTGTCAATGATGATGATTCACGTGTTCTAATCGATGATCCAGTTTGTTGATGACCATATATTGATGGTGATGTTTTTTCTTTGGTACACGAAACAGCAGCACCACCAGCAGCAGCAATCGAATGTTGACCGGAACCAAAACTGAATGAAGCAAACGTATTCGATGATAATGATGATGCATCGATTGGTCTTATTGGCCAAACATTATAAACTTCAAAATAACCCGGTTGAAGTGATGTAGCCGATTGTGGTGATGTTATTGTTGGTACACTTGGTGTTGGTGAATAAACCGTTGGTAATGTTTGTGATAATGCTGAGAACAGATCATCGGTTTCTGATGTTTGTGATAATGTTTCATCATCACCACCACCAACACCACCAACATATGGTGATATGTCATAATCATATTCATCTTATATAATATATAGCAAACCCAAAGAAAAAGAAATGAAAAATTTTGTCATCACAAATACACACACACACACAACCACACATCAAAACTCAATTGAACACGTGAAATAAAATAAACAATGAAAAAAAATAATAAACATTGATCATCTGATCTGTATCCACTCACCTTGTTTATGATATTTAATACTACGTGCTTGATTGGCAAACATTCGTTGTTGGGCTTCTTTAATTCGATCCATTTTTTGTTTAATTTTTTCCATCACTTCACGTTCAGCAATTTCTTGTTCAGCCACTTCTTGTGCTTGAATTTCATGTATTAATTCAGCACCACGTGCAGCCAAAAATTGTTGTGCTTTTATTTCACGTATTAGATATTTGAAATAATGGCTACAAAATATACGTTTCTGTATCAATAAAAATGTAAAACAAATACCATCCCAAAGTAGACCAGAATCAGTGGATGGACATTTAGCCAATAATTCCATGGTTTGTTTATCAATTGAACTGGATTCTTTTTGATGATAACTTAATCCCATCAATTGTACGGCCCAACACATATTGTTACGTAAAAATGTGAGTACAAAAACCTGTAAAATTGATTTCAATAACATTGCCATACACGTATAACCGATTATAGTTTTCCATGATTTGAAAATCATTCTGCTTGGTTTCAAATAGAATTCATTACCATTCCAAAGGAAAATAAAACTACCCAATACATATCCAAGACCGAATAAATTGATACGTGTTGTGCCGGCCAAAAATAGTACGGCCAAAGTGATCCAAAAGAAACAGAACAAAAAATATGATTTAAATGAATCGAATAATGTATTGCCAAATGAGAAAAAATCAAACACATTTTGTGGTGTTTGTTCTTTCGATGCTTCCAGATTTGATCCACCGTAAATGATTAATTTTGATTCCAATCTATGAGAAAATTTTTGAATTAAAAAAAAAATCTTTCCAACAAACAAAAAACTTACCGAAAATAAAAAAGTTGTCGACAAAGAAAAAAGAATAGCAAAAAATCTAGATAAAGTTTTTGTTTTGGCAATTGATGTTTGAAATCCGGTAGAAAATACCAATCAAAATCAGCTGGTGGCAGTTTATGCCATGGATAAAGCCAACATAAACCAGGTGCAATACCTAAACACATTAGATATTGATATGGTAATACTATTGACATAAATCCAACCAAATATGACCAAAAACGGCGACATTCCGAACGATTGAATAGAACAAATGCAATAAGAAATAGACAATAAAGTACACTGAATATATCGCCATGATTGCCAATAGTTATGGTCATTAATATTAGACAAATTTCAACACCAAATTTGTAGAAACCAAAATTGAGTAGATATTTGAAAAAATTTGCAAAATCTTTATCGGCCATTGCACGATCAACATCGGGAAATATAACACCATCAAGTAATGGACGATTACCATATTCATGATTACGATATAGATATTGTCGTAAAAGTATTACTGTACGAAATACTAACATGATGATCAATGCAATATATTCCCAAATATAGGAGAAAATATCATCAGTCTTAAGAAAACCGATATAAGCACGATTATCGACCACTTGAACGGTATTCGTACTATCAAACGTTGTACAAGTGGTATTCCAATCGATTTTTTGGGCAATTTTCAATTGAAATAACATTTTCAATAGTATCAATAATCCAGCCCATAATGCAAACATGAAACAGATCATTTTTTCGAATCGATTAAATATCATCAAAATGATTGTAAGTAATACGAATATAACATTAACAACCGATACATCTTGAATGGCAATCAGTACCGTACAAAGACAGACAGCTTTCATGATGTGAACTTCTAAAAAACGCCAAAATACAATCATCCATTGGTCAATAATTGTACGTAAATGATGAATACATTTGAAAAATATTTGTAAAATTTCTTCTTTAAATGTTGGTTTCATTGTTGATGGTAATAATAATGTAGATTTTGATTCACTTCTTGCCATTGATGGTGAACGATAATATCGTCGATCCATTGTAGGTTTTATATTACGTTTTGAAATAACCGTCTGTACAGATATTTCTTCAGATTGACTTGGTTGACTTTTTGAACGATCTGTTTCTGTTGATACTGGCTGTTGTTGTTGTGGACAATTATCGACAACAATTGATGGATCTAACGATGTATCGGATTGATGAATTCTGTTTCTGGTTTCTAAACATAAATCTAATGCAACAGAATTATTAAGACTTGGCGATGTAGTTGCCAAACGATCAAGAATTTCATCAATATTACTGGATTTTAAAAAATCTTTATGTACAAAATGAACTTGAATTATGGTGATAATGATGAAAAATGTTGGCGTAAGAAGTTCTTTGAATAAAATAAATGCATCATCATCGTAAACAACGAGCCCAAGATCAGCTTGAAGATCTCTATCGATATGAAGATATTGTTCCCAATATTTTGGAAAATTATTAAATTGATACGTATAGATGGCAATCAATATGATCATTGAATAAAGAATGACAATCAACCAAAATGGATAGATTAATTTACGCCACCATTTCAATGAAAATAGTAACAATAATGTGAAAATAAGAAATAGAAACATATAAACAATACGATAGATGACCACTTTTGAACCACTTAATGACATCACCATCAACATGATGGCTACGATCCAAATTAAATATTTGATCAGAATTTCTTTGAAACATTTTATCATTGAATCAAAAATTTCACTTTGTGATGTAAAACCTTGCTGTTGTGTTTCAAAATGTTGTTGTTCGGCGGCTTGTGTTTGTACAATAGCTGCAGTAGTAGTAGTAGTAGTAGTAGCACGTGGACCAAGATTAAATAATGGTGATAATATGCCCGATGATGATGATTGATAATCACTAATTATTGGATCCTTAAGACTTTCAGTATATTGGCGAAGTGTAATCCAGAAAAACATTGTATAAAATATCTTCGTAAATAATGGTTGATAAGAGAATTGGCCATATTTTTTGAAACCAATTTCTCCAATACTTATTGATCCAATTGTTATTGGCAATTCAGTGTCATTAAGATTTAAACTATAAATATATTGTCCAATAACCAATGCAATGGCATAGAAAACAAGAAATGGTGATGATCGTAGACAAGTTTCACGTGAATTTGGTGTCATCCATATTATACATGATAATAATAATAGAACAAATGATAGCCATGAATGATATGTAATTGACCATGTCATCATAACGATTAATGTTATAACATAACTAGCACGTTTAACCATAGTAACAAATTCAAAACAGAATAATGAAAATTGATTTGATTGATCACGACTTGTTGCTGTTATTGATTGTTTCATTCAACACAACCACCACCACCGCCAGGCAATACAGATGTTGGTGTTGGCGATAATGGCATTGGTGATGGCGGCAATGATGTTGACATTTGTTGCTGTGAATGTATATTGGTTAACAATTCATCATTATTACGATCATGATTATGTTGCAATGTTTGTGGTTCAATCATTGAATCGGCTCTACCACGTATAGAATGATAGGTTCGATTTAATCGATTTGTACGTAATAACTGTGGGGACGAAAAAAAAACGAAAAAAAAAAATAATAATTATAATCCATCATCAAATGAATATAAATAAATAATAAAATTGTAGTGCCAAAAAAAAAAAAAAAAAAAAATCAAGCTAAAATGTGCAAAAAACATACGGGTGTATGAACATTATTATTGCTTCTAATATCAAAAGCATAATTCATGTGCACTGATTCTGACAACAACATTGGTCTTCTTTCATCATCATCATATTCCATATAAACGGTGTTTGGTGATTTTCTGCCATGATGATCATCATACGTATCTGTACGCACTAATTGTTGCTGTAATTGAATGAATTATTTGTCCATCATTAATTGGAACAATCAATCATTATCATCAATTTTTGTTTTAATGTCATATATATAAAAATTATGATAGACAAGATTTATGAAGCACAATGTGTTAATGAACAGAAAGAAAGTTGCACACACACACACACAACACAAACACATAGAGACAGGAAACACATTTTTTTTTTTTTTTTGAAACAAAAACAAAAAGGAAAAAAAGAAAAAAATGTAAACAACACTTACCTGTGATAATTTTTTATCAATCAATATTGTTCGTATTAATTGAACGGAAACGAAATATAATATGAGCAATACTAATGGATGTAAAAAACGTACAAAATGATAATCATTAAGCTGAAAATGTCGTACATCCGAACAGGTATTGTTTATATAACCAACAAGACCAAATAGACGTGCATTAATATCGGTAGATGGAATTAATGGATAAAACATTGAAAATTGATAGAAATATAATAATGAAAAATGTAGGGCAACAAAAATGGCTATAAATAAACGAAAATAATGATAACCAGTACCAAATTGACGATCCAATGCAAACCATGAACCAATAAATAAAAAATAAAGAAAATATATTGATGATATTAATGATGGTTCCAATATGGCTGATGCACATAATGAAATGAAAAAGATGAATTCACTAATATAATAGCTAAGACGTTCGGCTTTTTCTCTTTTTAATCGCCGTTTACTTGGTGCTGCCATAGTCGATTGTCTATTGGTGAAACGTCTGCCAGACATTTCACCAACATAACTAACATCGGTGAATCTTCGTTCTTGAAATCGAATATCCTAAATAAATGAATTGATTTTTCAATTTTTCTGTATTTGTTTTTTTTCGAATAACACTTACATTCGTAATATTATCACCAATTGATGTATCCAATTTGGAATGATAGGTATGCGATGAGAATGCCAAAACTAAACAAGTTATCAACAGTACAATAAAATCCATACAACATAATCGTATTATATTGAAAAATGATAAATCATTATAACGATGTAGACCGATCAGGTTCATTATTTTGCCAATATTTGTACAATAATCAATTGATGTTGAATAATTGAATGCGGCCAATAGAATAATTTGCGTAATAATATGCGCTGAATTGGCTATTGAACTTAAAACGATTATACTCTTGAGATAAATTCCATTGATACCGTTGATAACATTTTCCGGTGTTGGACTAGGTAATATTGGCGCCAACAATAATAGAATCAAATATATTCCTGATAGAAGATTTTGTCGTAACAAAACGGCTTGAGAGAATGAGAAAAAAAAAAAAAAAAACAATAACAAATTAATCAATCAATCAATTATAATGTCGAAAAAAAAGTTGTTAAGTATGTAAACACACACAATCCAATTCACATTCTCATTCATCAAAAAGTCTGGTAAATCAAAAAAAAAAAGAAGAAAAATCATGCTTTCAAACGAAATAAATCATCCACACATATGCCAGAATTTTATAGAATCTTTGGTTTGTTTGTTTGTTTAAGTTGTTTTTTTTTCTTGATTTATGCATCGAAAAGCAAATAAATTTTTTCGTATGTTTGTTTTTTTTTTTTTTTTTGTTGTTAAATAAAATAAACTCTACACACATTGCCTGTTTTATTACCATCGATTACTATAATTGAATTCAAAGGATTTGTTCACTTACCTGCAGCCAATGTACATGGTATAAGAATTCGTTGCAAAAGATAACATAACGTAAGACTTATATCCATTGTTTTATTGATATTAGCGGTCGAATTAGTGGCCGCCGCTGCTGCCGCCGTCGTACTAGCTTGGCTTGATGTTTTTTGTCTATTTTGTGTGGCAATCGTGGTGGGTGTGTTGCCGGTTGTTTTGGTTGTGGTCGTTGCCACCATTGTTGATATTTTTGATACATCATCCATTTTTTTTTATTATTATTATTCTGTAGATTCTTTCAAGATGATTTGATTTTTTGTTCGTAAAAAAAACTTTGTTCTTTTCAATCAATCAATTAATCAATCAACCAATCAATCGAAATCCAAATCCAAATGCTTGATTCAAAAGATTATGCTGATGAGATTATTATACGAATTTTTTGTTTTGTTTGTTTTCATTCGAACGTTTTTAGTCATCACTGTTGATGTTGCTGTTGCTGTTTGTTTGTTTAATCAATCCTATACTTGAGAAAGAGAGAAAAAAAATTTTAGATTAAAATCAAAAAAAAAAAATCACGAAATGGCACTGAGTTTTTGTTGCACTATTTCATCATCGATAAAAAAGACATTAACGCCTCACATGTACAAACATCTGTTTGATTTTTTGTTTTGTTTTGTTTTGTTTTTGGTTGATATTTACAGAAGCCATAGCATTCTGATGGTGGTTGGCAAATTGTTTATTGAATGTGAATGTTAGCGAAAGAATACAGAAGAAATGATTCGGCGTGTAAAATAAATAAATAAATAGTGAAAGAATAACAAAACAAGTGGTGAAGAAATTTTTTGGGAGAAAAATCATCAATCGATTGTTGTTCGAATCATTAAAGATCAATCAAACGAAAAATGAAAATCAATCGATCTTTCGGAATCTTTACTGTCTGTCTGTCTTCGGAATTCTGATCAAATCACAGAAGAAAAACGAAAACGAAATTTTTTTTTTCAACAGATTTCAGCAGATTTTTTACTATCATCATCATCATTCGAAAAAAAAACTCAAAAAATTCTTTAAAAACACACACACACACACATATATCGTAACCGGGGTAATGATCACAATCTGACACATGATGACTGATGATGACACACAACTAATCACACCAATTACAATTTTTTTGGTTACATTTCGATATATGGCACGCAATGTCAATATCCAAAATATCCACAATATGAGACATACATCCACCCACGCCATATACAAAAAAAAGTGTTTAGTATTTCTGGTTCATCATCAAATAATCACGCGTTCATTGGCCGTTATTAAGATTGAAGAATTTTGTTGATGATGGTGGTGGTGGTGGTGGCAGGTGGGGGGACAACAACAACAACAACAACAAAAATGGATCGCGATTCATCCGGTTTGATCCATTTCAAAGCAATCACTGATTGACTGTATATGGACAGGTAAATGTAATGTTTTTATAACAACAAAAAAAGAAAAAGAAAGAAAGACTAACAGCAGGAAATTGCGTGGCAAACAAACAAACAAAATTATTATTACCTGAATATATTCACATTATTATACACATGGACATTTACTTTTCAATTCGATATACGATAATGACGAGGATGATTTTTTTTTTTTTTTTTTTTGGTTGAAATCAAACACCACCGAAAGTGAATTACAACAACTTGCCGAATGAATGAATGAATGAATGTTCGAAAAGTAGAATGAATGTAAATAAAGATTGTCGAACTTTTTCGTTTTTGTTGTGGCAAAATTAAGATGAAGGAAAAAAATTGAGTTCACATTCACTCAAAATTCTTCTTAAATTTTCCGCATTTTTGTCGCAGTTCATCATCATCGAAATTCTTTCGAATGAATAAATTTTTTTGTTGTTGTTGTTGTTGTTCTTGCTGATTCTTCTTCTATAGAATTCTGTGGTAAATTATTTTATCGTAGAAAAAATAATCGACAAAATTAACGCATCATTAGATTGATGACAATTTTTTTGGTTGCACGACACTAATATAACAAAATAATCAAAAATGAATTAAACCGCAGACACACACACACACACACACGCAAACCGAGAAAATGAAAAATAAAATTCTACATCAGAATCTCATGTTGTGTGTGAATAAAACAAAGAATCTAAATTGTTGCCAAATATATCACTAGACTAGATGTGACAATTCTTCACATTCATTACATTCAGCCACCATGATGAATGAATGAATGAATGAATGAATGAATGATGATGATGAATAAGCGAAATCGAATTTCAGATTATCAATGGCAAAAAATGACAAATTTGATGAAAGAAAGGTCATTGAAACTTTGGTAAAATTTAATCAATGGCGAAAAAACAAAAACATCATTGCATTTGATCAATGTTTGATCAGATGCACAATGAAAATATATGAAACTGATGATGAAACCTACCAATGAGATGAAAACAAAGAATTGAAAATTGAAAAACCAAGGTTATAAACAACAACAATAATAATAAACCAATCATCATAACAAGTGACAACTGACAAATTATTTGTGTTTGTGTGTGGTGTGTGTGCCAGAAAAAAAATGGAAAACAAACAAAAAAATCATATTTAAAGTGTACGCATTTCTTTTGTGTGTGTGTGTGCGGACACATTCCATATAATGGATGAAAATCAATCGATGATTTGCAATCGGATAAAAAAAAACATTTAAAAAATTGAAAATCTTACCTTTTTTTCCCTTCCCAATCAATGTAATGATCGATGATTCAAAATTATCGACGATATGATTGATTTGTTTTGTTGGATCGTAAAATTTAATTTAATTTTTTGTTGTTGTCGGATTAATCATCATCACATATACGCACATTATTATGTGTATATTTTGAGACCAAAACAAAAGTTTTTTTTTGGATGATTGATAAAAAGTCATTTTTTATCAATCATTCCTCTCTGTGATGTCAACCATCATCATCATCATCATCATCATAAAAATTTTTCAATCATCCATCAAGGAAAATAACCACAACAGTATATGGAATGTAGAAATTAATCATTCACATAGTGGTTGATGATGATTGTAATCATCAATTTGTAATGGATGTTGCAATGGTTAAAAAAAAAAAAAAATTTCATTTCAACGTTAATCCATTGTCGTTGTAGCCGTAGCCGTAGTCATAGTCATCACCATCGTTGTAGTTGTATAAATGTTGTGATGTGATAAAATGGTTATTATCCTGATTATGATTTGGTGTGCATGTGTGTTTTTAAACGGCCAAAAAAACAACACTGAAATCCATGGCTGCCGATTTAGTTGGTTGGTGATCGTTTTTTGGTTTGATGTAGTTAACCATTACCATTACCATGGCCATCATAAACATAAAAAATGGTGGTGGCAGTATTGGTAGAGTTTGCATCTTCTTCTGTCATTCATTTGATTTTTTTTTCTTCGATAAATCTTTGATTGGGCGTTATTTATTTTTTTTTCCAGTTGCAATTCTCCACATATTGAACAAATTGAATGTGCGCAGCAGTTGCTGGAGCGAAAATAAATAAATAAAAAAAAAATTCGTGTCGTTGTTAACGACTTTTTTCTAGGCAATAGGTTTCAGATTTACCTGTGAAATATTAAAGTTTTCGGATTTCAATTTGTGATCCCCCTTCCCCAGTCGATATGGATCGTTTATTTTTTTTTTTTTTTTTGTTTAGCCATAAAATGATCGGAATCATAAAAGCGAAAAACTAAAAAAAAATGTAAATTCTGCATTATTCTGACATTGAAAAAACAAGACATTTATTCTCACTAATAGAATCTCAAAGAATTCACACAAAAACAGAGAAAATATAAATTCAAAATTTCCATTTACTTTTCCGTTGAAACAACAGATGTCGCACTGTTGGCCACTACTGCTGGTGCTGATGTTGTGATCATATGGCTTTCTCGTTTTCGAATTTCAATCAATTTTCGACGTAAATATTCAATCATCATTTTTCTTATACGTACTTCTACCAATGTATTTCGTATTCGTTCTAAACATTTATTTTGATCATCATCATTATTATCATCATTTGTAATAAATTCTTTTATCATTTGTGTATTAGAATGTAGAATATTTTTAATTACCGTCAACATTAATCTTCGACGAATGGCTACAATGAATGATACTTTTTTTCGTGGTACATTTTTCGAATCAGAGAGAAAGAGAGAGATATATAAAAATTATAAATCAATCAATAATCCAAGATAAAAAAAAACAATTACCAAAAATCGTCAACACTGCCATGATAATGGTCATCCATATTAGTCGTGTATCTAGCATATTTGTTTTTTTTGGTTACCAAATTCCAAATTTTTCTGGGTGAAAGAAAAAGAATGAGCAAAGAAAAAATCGAATGTTTTCTTTTATCAAGTTTTTTTTCGATAAATTTTTTTTTCATTTATTAATTCGAAATTTTTTTTCCGGTTTTAGAATGAATTCAAAGTCTATAATGGTTATTGAATAACGTTACGTTACTGTGGTTGGATATTTAGAAAATTGATTGATTGATTAATGATAATGGTGACGGATAAAAAATCGATACATTTTAATCATCAACAAATCCAAATTATCATCATCATGAAATTTCAATTTAAATCATCAAAGAACACCATTTTTTTTTATTTGAATCATCATCGGAAGAGATTTTCTTTATATGTACAATTTTGTACATTGATTCGAAGTGATTTGAATTTTATTCATTTTCTCAGATATATCACATTACTTTTTTTTGGTCAAAGAAAAATTTGAATTTTAGATCATTCACATTCATCATCGTACGAATTTTTTTTTCTACCGAATCAAACCTTTACATCAATCACACAATATAAAATCAATCAATCATCATCGAATCATAATGTATGAAAAAAGGTTGAAAATTTCCATGTTTGGCATTGTTACTAACCGCCATAAACTTTGATACATCAAATCAAATTGAGAATCTAAAGGTGTCCGGATGTAATGATGATGATGATATACTGTAGAAAATAAATACATTTTCAATGTCACACACACACGCAACCAAATGGTAATCATCATCATCATCACCATCATGATTTACATTTCATCATAACATAATCATAAAGAGAGCAAAATAAAAAACAAAATTTCATATTCAGGAAAAAAAAGTGCCAAACAAAAAAAAAAAATCAACATCCGACAATTGAAGAAACAGACGATAAATAATAACGAAAAAAATTGGGTCAAATACCCTGAATAATAATGGATCGTAAACAATGTGGTTAATTATGACCATTATACAGTGGATAATGTCGATAATCGAATTGTCAATCAAAAAAAAAAAAAAAATTCTTGAATGAATGAATGGTGAAATGATCTCAATTTTTTTTTCTCTTCGATCCAAGCCATTTGTAGTATTTCAAACTGAAAAAAACTAATTAACAAATTTTAATAATAATAACCAAACGATCGATAGATTTTTTTATTATTCTTAATGATGGAAAATCGATTGTTCACCACCACCACCACCACCACCACCACCACGCAACACATTGAATCATCATCATCATCAAACAACAACAACAACAATACAAAAGAGAAACTGGCATGTTATTAAAGATGTAAAACATCATTAAACATATGATGATGATGATGATGGAGAACAAAACAAAACAAAACAAATCTAAATGATCGAAACATTAATGATGATGATGACTAACTACCCCCATAACAGATGTTCATTTTTCCATCACACACACACACCTAAGAATCATAATCAAAGCGAATCATCATCATTTTTTTTTGTTTTGTTTTGTTTTTCAATTTCAAATCCAAAATGATTTGTATTGAATTTTTTTTCGATGCAACAACAACAACAACAAATATGGATACAGCTCTCTTTGGATCATCCGTTTGATTAATGCGAATCATAAAAAAAATAATTTCCGAATATTCACATTATAATAATGTAATTAATTAATTTCTCGCCTATTTCAAAATGTGAAAAACCATCATCATCATCATCGACAGCAGAAGCAGCAGCAGCTAAACACAGAAAAAAAACCTTAATCAACAAAACAGATTGCATTCGTTAATCATTAATAATGGTTGGCCCTTATTTTAATTGATTCTTTTGCTCTCTTTCTTCATCTTTCATTCCCAAACACACACATACATACACAGTGGATGCCTTGAAGGTTTTCAAAATCGATTCCCTTCCACCCCTACTACCACCATAATAATAACAATCGGTAGTCGAATCGGTCACGATTTTTTCTCTCTACAGTTTGGTTTCAATGACCTTAAAATTCAGAACACACACACACACACAGACAAACCACAAAACATCAAAAGCCAGAAAAAAATGCAACAATTATCGATTTGTATCTGATGGATCAACCAAAGAATGATCGTTATAGCGAATTCAATTTTTTTTATCATAGAAAAAAAAATTAAATTTCGAATCGAAGCATCGAATTGGATTTGAATTGAATGATGTTTTTTTTCTGGTTCAACACACAAATCTTTAATCATCACCATCACCATCACCATTCAATTGTTTGTTTGTTTGTGTCGGTTCAGATTTCGGATGGTAAATATTTTTTTCATTTGTTTAACAATTGTGAAAGAGTTATATAGTAGTATGAGTTTTATTACTTTCAAGTTTCAAGTGTTTTGGTGTTCACAAGTTTTTTTTTCTCTCTTTTCATTCATATATAAATCCTATTTATCGCATACACAAAAGTTCAAAGTGCAAACAAACTTTTTTTTCTATTAAATTGAAATGAAAAAAAAAGAAAATAAAATGGAAAAGGAAATCCTTTCTTTGATGATTATGAAGAAAGAAATCACAACCATTATCAACCATCAATTGAATTGAAGAACCACACACACACAATAACCAACAACAACAACAACAACAACAACAACAAAACCAAACCCTATCTGTACGAAAATTGAATGAAAGAAAAAACGGAAAGAAAAATTGAATTGAAAACCTCAACAACAACAAGCATCAAATTTTTTTTTCTATATAATAAAAAATAATCAGGTGAATTCAAATGACGACCTCGACGAAACCACTGAATGACATTCAATTGACCTTTATCAATTGGTTGTTGTATAACCCTTTTTTTCTAGCTCTCTCTCTCTCTTTCGGACAAGGACAAATAGAAAAGGATGTAATGAATGGATGGAAAACATTGAACAATTTTCATTTTGAACGTTTTTTTTCTGTTTTGTTTTGTATATACAACACACTCCTATTTTTTTCCCTATTGTAGTAGTGTGTATTTTTTGGACTACGTTCACATACACACACATTTGGTGCTGGTAGGGTTATTATTATTATATAACCTTCAAGGTTTCATTTAACCTTTCATTTTTTTTTCTCGGAAAGGATGTTGTGCATCACACACACACACACACACACACAAACACGAAATTTTAACCTTCGAAATTAAAAAAAAAGATAAAGATGATGATGATGGTGAAAAGATCACCAGAAAAAAGGACATGTAACCGAGAAAAAAAAACAAAATGTGTGTGTGTGTGTGTACGTGTGCCTTTCAATGTCATCCATTTGAAAACAAATGAACGATTAGGGTGTCGACCTTTGGCCAATTTCTGTGTGTAAAAAAAACAAGCAAAGTATTGAATTAATAATATGTGCATGCATGTTTTCAACGTTTGTGATTTTGACACATTGGAAAAAAAACCACCAAAGGTTTATTTTTGTCCATTTTTTTTTCTTCTTCTTCAAAGACCTTGAAGATGTTCTGCATGTGTGTATAAATGTTCACGCTGGTCGATTTATAAAAATGACGACCGTGAACTAAAGGGTTGAAAAAAAATGTATGAATGATGATTTGGTGAATAATAGAAAGGAGAAAAAGAAGAAAAAGACGAAGAAGGGTTAATAGTAGTAGCAGTGGTAGTAGTAGTTATATAACAAAACGAATCAAGTGATCCGAAACGAAAGTAAAAACAAAAAAAAAAAAAAAGAAAAAAAATACGAAGGTCCCATGTGTGTGTGATGTGATGTGATGTGCAAAATGTGATTATATAACACAGTGTTAAAAAGAAAAACAAAACAAAACAGAAATAAAAATCTTATTTATGCGATCGACAACACAAAACATTTGACATTGGATCAGAAAAATGAATGAATGAAAAAGATTTAGATTTTTCTTGCAATTTTTTTTTGACAGATTAACTGATTTGCCATAGTTTCGAAAGATGATTCATTGATTTTTTTTCGTTTTTGTTTTTGTTTTGAAAACAACAACAACAACAACAACAGCATGAAGAAGATGAAAAGGCATGAAGAAAAGAGTTAAATCTTTTTTTTCATCATCATCTTCTTCTTCTTCTTTTGTCAAATCGAAATTCACGTTCAATCATTTTTTTTCGTTGTTTCATTTCATTTTTATTAATCCTAATGATGCCTAAAATACATACATACATTACATACATGCGCTTGCTATAGCTGTGTATTCAATGTCAAGATCCCTAATGTTCATATTTCAGATAATATGATTTACTAGTAGACCTTTAGGTCATGCTTGTGTGTGTGTGTGTGTGTGTTTGACCTTATTTGTGATGTTAAGGTTAGCTAGGTACGTATCATCATGATCAGCATCTTAGGGCTTGGCGGCTTTTTTTTGTTGTTGCAAAAAATTTCACATACACACAGAAATCATACCAAACTGATACGATCAACGAAAGAATGGAATATGTAAATGGCAAAAGGACCAATTCATCCGATCCGATCCATTGATGGCCAAACCCTGTGTGTGTGTGTGTGTGTGTGTGTTAATGTCAGATTTGACAAGAGAAAGTAATGGAAAAGGGTAAAATAAGAAGAAAAAAAAATTAGAGACAAAAGATGACGATGACGACGACGACGACAAAGTTGCCAAGATTCACACCAATTGATGCGTTTACATACACACACACAGATGCGTGCATAAAACATCCTTTTTTCTGATTGTCAGAAAAAAACAACAACAACAAACGATTTGAAATTAAACGGTCCGTAAAATATAAAATTTTTTTTCTCTGTTTTCTTCTTTAACAATAACCTTGAAAAAAAAATCCAAACATATCAATCTGTCGATGTGTCTGTGTGCCCATCACCGTTTTGAATGGTAAAAATTCTCATTCTTTGTAATTTTTCGTTATTTTTTTAGAAATTAATTTCAAATCAATCAGCATACAAACAAACACCAGAAAGATTAAGGTGTGACCATGTTGTTGTTGTCGTTTGATGTGTATCCATCCAAATGGAACAAATGAACCAGAAAAAAACTAAAACAACAACAACAACAGAGTCAAAGTAAAATTGTTTGCCAACTTTGTTTTGTTTTGTTTTTTTTATAAAGCCATGAACAAACA